GTATAGTATAACACTTATCACAGTTATAACAGTAAGCTATGCGAGTCCGATTGACTAGATTGTTTGCCTTTGAGCGCACTTTTCTCGGCAGATGAATATTTAAAATGCAATTACGAATTTCGTTGCATACTTTTGCGCTTAGTCAAAAAATGTAATTTCTTAATAGAGTTGGTAACGTGCGCGCGGCAATTACGTTTTTTGATCCTTACGTTTGAAGCTCGTTCGCGCGACTGTTTTGCGCCTTCGCGTGCTACCGTTGCATGCATGCGGCCCAAGCTCAACGTGAGCAAGAGAGAGAGCAAGCCGGGTGTGGGAGCGGGCGCGAGAGCGCACGTTTGACTGTAACTGTGTGTGTGTGTGTGCGTGGAAGAGAGAGAGCATAAGAAATGTGGCACACGAAATGTCGCTCTAAGTGTCTTCGGTTGCGATTAAACCTTATTTTTTGGAGCAACAATTTCGGGAAGGTGTGTGCGTAAGTATTATATAGACGTGAATGTAATTTTAAGTCTGTTCATAATTGTATGAAATATGATTGTTATAAAATATGCCAAATAGAGTGATGAAAATACTTTACATACTCAACTAGCTCACCTTAGCTCTTACCTTTTTGACTAAAGAGACACCTTAAACCCCAATTTATCACCAAATTTGGGTCAAGTGGCCCGCTGAAGCGACAAAGCTGCATATGTAATCCACGGCTAAGTTGGACATCCACTAACTTCAACCCATGCGCCGCCTCCCCAAAAGTATGCAACAAATCCGAAAAGCGACCAGACTATAATATACGTGACTATGTAGATGTCGATGTAGTTGGAAATGAACTACATAAAAAAGTGCCGAAAGTGCGAGCGAGCACGAAATACATTTGTCCATGCTGTCCACATTATCAAGCACCAATACCAACGCAAGCTAGTCTCTGGCATGACTCGCTAATTTCGTTGACAATCAGACGCGCTCTGTCTCTCTCGCTCAGCTTTGATATAGCGAAATTCATTTTTTTAAAGTGGAATAAAGAAATTATAAGAGATTTGCATAATTTAATGAATTAAATAGAGGTCTCTCTGTCAGGCAATTATCCACATCTATTATTGAATAAAAGGGGAAATGCAGACGAGAAAATTAAATATTTATAGGTCAAAGACCAACAAGAATTTTATAAAGATTGTATAAAGATATATATATATTACTTGAAATTTAATTTTTAATGTAAACTAAATGCTTAACAAAATACATATAAAATATTTAATTAATGAAAAAATTAAAATATTCCCTATAAAAACAATCCATGCCCAGAATGGCCAAGCAAGAGTGATACTACTTACGATAACAATATTGCAGCAGCTGTTTAAGTTACCGATATCGATGCAGCTGCTGAAATAGGCAATAATATTTGCCATTTCATATATATAAATAAAATAAATTAAGTAATATACAATTCCTCATTATATTTATATAAAAATATAACAAAAATGCATCAAAAATAATTTTAAAAGAATTTTGACTCAAAGCGAAATTTAAATATACAAAATCTATTAAAAATAACAAGGATATATATAAAAGAAAAAAATATATATATAAATAAAATATATAAATTATATAAACTTAAGCAAAAATTTTTACATTTACTAATTCTAAAAATTAAATAAAAAACTGAAAAATAAAAACCAAAATTCTTAAGACAGTTAAAACAAAAAAATATTGCTTCAGCTGAAATATTATTCTCGCGGAAGTTTCAAGACAAAATTGTTATAACATATGGAGGAAGTATACCAGATGCAGTCAAGCCAAGGCTAATAACCAATAAAACAAAAAACAAACACAGAATACTTTGCTCTACAAGTCTCAAGGCGGCCATCAGAGCTCACATTTGTGTTTGCCGGCAGCCTTATGTTGCGCGTTACCTTTGCAATGCGCGCTCAAGATAAGTTAGGAGAGTATATTGAGAGAGTATATAAAAAGGCCAGAGATCTGGGAAAATCACTCTTAAATATCAGACTTAGCAGTTGAATCACTTTACAGCTATTTTATAAGTAGTTCTAGTAGCGCCTGAAGTTCTGTAAGCATTGACTTACGCCTAAATATACCCGTTTGTGCGCCGTGAACGAGTATCGGGCAGTCAGTTGAGTGCGACTGCAGCGCTATTTTCAGCTCAAATATTATGTTAGACCATATATGTACATTCATTTGGGACACTTTACCAGCTGAAACCAGCCCCTGCCCTGGCCACACCAATACCAAATGAGCAGCGAAACTATTTTTAGGCCAAAAGACAAAGTGTTTCGGCTAGGCAACAGACACGCCAGCCGCTCGGCCATGCAAATGCAAACAGAACAGTGCAAAGCCCCAGGAGAGAGCCACTATATAGCATATGCGCTTTTCTGTGACAACAGCAGCGGCAACAACCACTGCAGCAGCAGCAGCAGCAGCAGCTAGGACAACAAATAGAAGAATAGACCATAACAGAGCGACATGTGCGTTCTATAAACAAAAAATCAATCAAAAAGTTAGCTGAATATATACAAACACAGCTATGCATAAATGTGTGTGTGTGTGTTGGTGTGTGTAGCACCCTTTGGCCAAGCTTCGCACAAATGCATTCTAAATGAGCGCACAACCATAGCCCATATTATAAAAAATTCAAATTTTTAATCGAAATATAGTGTAACCACAACAGAACACGTTAGGAGCATTGCAAGCGGGCATATCCGACTGCCTGATGCGCGCTAAAAATGCAAAAAACACAAATAGTTGGACAGCTAAAGTTTTTGCGTGTGTATATCGATAACTTGGCAGTTATCGATATGTTAAGTGAGCCCATGTTGCAGGCCCTGAGAGAGAGTCTTGAAGAAGTAGTGAAGAAAGAAACGTCTTTGATTTGTGATAACAGCTAAAAGAAAACTTATTTTAAAATAAATAATTTTATGAAATTTTTTATGATTAAGCTTTAGAGGAAGATTAAACTAACAAAAATAGACTAGACATCACAGCTCAATAGCTGCTCACACTTTGATTTCAATCAACCAAATATGCCCCATACTGCACATTATGAGCGAGCATAAGTCTTATAAGAAAAGCATATAACTGTTTAAATATTAGCATAAGCAGCACTGGCAACAATTGCCCACAGCTCAAAGGCTTCTCTGGGGTACAGAATTTGAATGTCCATTGTAGCTTGGGTGGCCATATACCCCTTTGAGACCGCGCTGCGCGGGCATAACAAGTACAACAGCCAAAGCAAAAATAGAATCCAATGTCCCGTCGCAATATCGTACAACATCCAATGTCCTATTAGCGATGCAGCAAAACAGATAACAAAATGCGCTGAAATATAAATGCGGTCAGAGCGCGCACACACACACACACACACACACACACATGTTTAAGGCTAAAAGCTAAAAGCCAATTGCTGCAGCACTGCAGGGCAAACGCCTGAGCCGTGAACCAACTCCAAGCAGCCAACACCACCCACTCCTCCCTCCTGCGCACACGCGTTCGCAGCAAAAAAATGTAATGCGAAAAAAAAACGCTGCACTGTTTTTCTCATTTTCTCATTTCCCATTTTCTAATTTTTCGTTTAATTTAATTGGCTAAAACATTGAGGTGTGCAATTTCAGCTAAAACAAAGCAGGGCACATATGTGTGTGGGCGGACGGGTGTCAGCGACTGCCGCATACACTGGGCACAGTTTGGCAGGCACTGAAAGCACTTCAGCTTCATTACTATATACATATAATGTATGAAACATGAACTAACAAGGAAAGCTTAAAAAATATATGTATAAATAATTATAAACAATTTTATAAGAATTTCAAAAAATTTGAAAAAAAAATTTTAAAAATTTTAAAATAGTTTTAAAAAATTTTGAAAAAAATTGTAAGAAATTTTAAAAAAAGTTTTAAAAAATTTTGAAAAAAATTGTAAGAAATTTTAAAAAATTTTAAAAAAGTTTTAAAAAATTTGGAAAAAAATTGTAAGAAATTTTTTTCGATATTTTCTTGATTTCTCTTTCATATTTTATGCTTCTTCTTCTGCAGTTGTGGGCGTGGCATTTTATCTGTAGTCGCGTCTTGAACACTTTAAGATCTGTTTTTTGCAAAAGATTTTTCTCATTTGACCCGCCAAACGCCTGCTTGAAACAGATAATATAATAACTCGAGCTTTAGGCAAAGTTATGAGGCACGAATATGCCCTTTTGGCACTTATTGCAAGCGGGGCATAAAAAGTAAATGTAAATGAAGTTTATGGTGTTTGGGTTTGAGCACTAATTGCCGACTTGCCTGGATTTGTTAATGCCAAGATGTTTAGAGCTTAACGTATGGGTTGTCGCTAAGCCACCCGCCAACCGACCACCCGCCCTCCCCCCTGCCACTAACTACACAACACCCACACGTAATTAAGTTCGCATATGACTAATTATGATTGGACGACAGCGCAACACAGCTCATTTATTTAAATCAAATACCTCGCACAGTAACTACAATTAAAGAAAAAAAGTTTTATATAAATAAAAAGAGAGGATCAGGTTATGGCCTGATGAAGTAGATGAGAGATTGCGAATATAATAAATTGGTATTTTCTGCTACTCGAATGGAGTAAAATGAATTGAAAAATTAAAGTTTTAAAAAAGAAAATCTAATTCTTGAAACTACATAAAACATGTTTGAAGTGTCAACACTTTTTAGCTCAAAATCCAAGCTTTAAAATCCTTAAAATGTGTTTTTCTAGAAGTATGCATTTTTTAAGCAGAGCTGCAGCTTTCTTTTATTATACATTTTAGATTCAACAAATAGGTATTATATATCTTATACATAAACCTAACATAAAATTAAGTACTCTATCAAATAAACCCCCTATTTCCCCTTTTAGAAGCGCTAGGGTATAACATGCAGTATTTTAAAAACTTGTATAATGCATCATTATTTTATGGCATATATATGAATATATAAAATAAGAAATAAATATTAAATAGTAAAAAATCAAGCTTTAACGTCGAAACGCTTTTTGGGCTTAACTATAATGTCTTTCCAGGTAATATCCAAGTTAACTCGCTCGGTCCATAAAAATGCGCCAGCTTTGAAATCTGCAGAACGAAAAGAAAATTAAAATATTCTAATTATTTAACGTTAAACATTTTATTTAAAAAAAAAAACAAAAACCAACTTAAGTTTTAGCTGCTTAAGCAATATAAATTAATATAAGGTATTTGCGACGGCAGCACCGACTACAAAATACCCTGACGCTTTTTTCGTAATGAGTGGAGAAGAGCTGACAGCTGAAAAGTATGCAAAAAATATAACAAAATACTTATAATTATTAAACAAATATGTTACTTATGCTAGAAAACTTTAGCTTTATATAGATTTTAAACGATTTAAGGTCAAGGATTTCGAGCAAACCTCGAAAATGTCAAGTCTCTAGTGATTAATGCTCCTCTATAAATAGTAATATTCATAAAATCTATATAAAATAACTTGAAATAGAACCTTGAGTAACGTCCTCTAAATCCAGCACAGTTTGAGAGTCACTGGGAAATCAGGTGTGACTGAATTTTGGATTTTTGTTTTGTTAACTTCATCTTTCGTGCACTTCAGCTATCGACTTTATCTTTTCTTGTGTTTTTGTCGTTGTTTTTCGTTCGAAATCCGTTACATATTTATGTGCAGATAAGCGCAACGCCAAACGCTTTAAGTTTTGATAAACACGAGAAGTCGTGACAAATTGCAAATTATTTTGCATTTCACATCTGTTGCGGACTTCAGTTCAATTCGATCAGTTCGCCGGGCAACGTGTGACCCACAGCTCTAAATATTAATTGTTACACAAAAAAAAATAAATATATATATATATGTATATATATTTATATATATAAATATATTTATATACATAGATTTCCGCTTAAATGGTGCATAAGTCATGGAATTTGCCCACTCAGCGAAACCAGGAATCCAGCTGCCGCCTCTGGGGCTCGGCGAGGCTCACCTACACGCTCTGCGCCTTCATCGCCAATGCCCTGCACATGGGCATGCGCAATATGCTGGGTCTCATCATTCTGCGCATGGTTCAGGCACAGCCCAAGGATGCACTGCAGGCCCCCAGCTTGGCTAACATTACGTTAAGCCCGATCTGCGGCAGCACTGGAAGCATAGGGCAGACGCACAGCTTGGATGTGGTTCAAGCAAGTTTTCTGGCTCCCAAATTGATATATCTCTCTCACTCACTCTTTCTATATCACTCTCTCTCTCTCTGTCTCGCTTATTTTATCCACCTACTATCTGTCGCTCTCTCTCTCTTTCGCTCTTTCGCATCCTCACTCTGTCTCCCGCTCTCTCTACAGTCAGGTGATCTCCAATGGACTCGCAGCCAAGCTCTGGCATTTCCAGGCATCTTCTACTATGGCTATGTCGTTGCCTTACCTTTGGCTGGGCGCCTGACAGACCGTTTCGGAGGCAAGCAACTGTTTATCAATTCGTTAACCTTGCAGGCTGTCGCATACCTGTTACTGCCCTCATTAGCGTATTATAGTTATGCGGCTGCAGTCACCGCTTTAGTATTTGCTGGCATTTTTGCGGTGAGCTTTGCCTGCCCTAGGGCCTGAGCTTGCGAAACTTTACATCTATAAATTTTTAGGGTTGTGGCACGCCAACTCTTTATCAGCTATTTGTGACTTGGGCACATCCCACGGAACGCACATCGATGCTGTCCTTTGCTTACAGCGGCTTGATCGTCGGCTCAATTAGCATCTATCCGCTGGCCAACTATCTCAGCGAGTTTGGCTGGCGTGTGCCGTTCTATGTGATCGGCAGTGTCTCCCTCTTATATGGCATCAGTTGCAATTGGCTTATCTACAATAGTCTGGATCAGCATCCGCGTCTCTCGCAAGCTGAGCGTGAGTATTTGCTAGAATGTGCTCAAACACCACAGGTGAGTAGCTGCAATGACGTTTGCTATCGATAATTGGTATCGATATCTTTTATTCCTGCAGCATTTGCGAATACCTTGGCGCTCGCTGCTGACCTCGGTGCCCGTCTATGCTTTTGTGCTTACCCATGTCTTTCACAATTACACCTTCCTCATATTTTCGCTACTAATGCCGCGTTTTATGAGCGAGGCTATGCAGTTCAATATGAAAGAGGTAGGCCAACTTGTAATATATATTTGTAGTTATAAGAGTTATCATCTACAAATATTTCTTACCCATCAATTTTATGCCTCTTCCAGATTGGCTTCTTATCGTCGGCCCCATTTCTGGGCTCGCTGCTCTCCAAGTTTATTTGTGTTTTCACTTGCTCCTATTTAGAGCGCCGTCTGTTTGCCGAACGCAGTTATCCACGTCGAGTTTTGTATGCCATCTGTAAGTGCAGATTGCCATAAGTAAAACACTTTCAACTGACATTAACAATTTATTTAGGCACCAGTGCAACTATGATTTTGATAACGCTCATCATTCTGGCCGACTGTGAGCATAGGAAATTTGTTCTGTTTATCTTTGTGATACTGGGCGCTACCACAGATTTGGGCTTTAGCGGCGGCTATTGGCCAACTTTATTGTACTTTGCGCCGTCGTTTGCTGGCATGATTTCTGGCCTGGCCAACAGTATTGCACACATATCGGGCTTTCTGTCTTCCCATGTCGTAGACAAATTAGTTAAAACCGTAAGGCTCTGGGACTTAACTCACATTAATCTGAAAGTACAACTAATTGTATTTCTATTTTAGGGCAACAAGTCGGAATGGAATTCCGTTTTGCTGACGCTAATTCTTTTCAATGCTTTGGCCATAATTGTATTTGGGTTTTTCAGCAGTTCAAGTCTTCAGCCATGGGATCCACGTAGCCAAAAGTCAACAGTCGAAGCAAAGCCCCCAAATTACACAAAAGAAACGACTAACTAACAAAGTGCTGGCACATAACTGATAATTTGTTGTACATATTTATTAAAACCGTCCAAAGTCTTCTATTTCTGTATTATATATTTAGTTGCATCAGTTATATTTTAACTTTTTAACTTTTAACTTTATTTTGTAATATTTTATTTTTGTCACTAACAATCTTTAAAATAGAAATACTAGTGTTGTAAACAACGTCATTATATATATATAAAAAAAACTAGCTTTAAGCATGGATCAATAAATATAAATTATTCAATTATTTCATTTTACAAAAATGATCTGATAAAAAATGTGTACGTCGACACTCCATTCTGATTGTATCAGCAGTAATTTACTAGTTATTTATATACATATATACTCGATAAAATTACTTAGTACGTAAACATACATATTTATATACCAAATCACCAGTTTTTCGAATTGGCTTCTTTCAAATTGCCCGCGCGCCTTAATGTTGTTGATAAGCAACACATTTAAAAGCTACCGATATAGCTGCGATACATCGATTAAAACTAAAAATATCGCTAAATCTATCGATGTACTCTAGTAAACCCGAACAGCTGTACAAAATTAATCGTCTGTCAGTTTTTGTTTTATAAATCATTTTCGATTCGTTTGCTTGACGTTCATGGACGTGTTTCCGCACACAGCATTTGAATTGGTTTCGCAATAGAAAAATTTGCGTGTTTTCTATCTGGATGCAACAATAAATTGTCAGTGTCTCCCTTTATACTTTTGCAATACAAAATTCTCAGTGGATGATCAACAAAAGCAGAACATAGACTTCAGTTTGGCAGCTCTTCAAGTAAAATAGCAAAGTGAGTACAATAGATAAACAACAAAACATTAGTGGCTTCTAATATTTAGGGCTAATTTATAGAAATACGCAAAGAAAGGCGGAAGTGTAAGGCACAAAGCTGGCATAGCAAAACGTTTCCTGATTTATAATTGCGGGCTTTTATTTGGTTTGTTGTTTTTTTTTTTGTTTAGTATTTCCGCTAGCAAATGCTTCTTGACAAATCAATAAACGCTAAAAATTTCAACGCCGCGGGGCGATGACGTCTGCCCCTGTGCCAGTCGACTCTATGCTACGTGCTATTTGTTGTTAAACGCAATTACAACAAATAATAAAGAATATAGCACGAATGTTAATTCTTTAGTTGAATGTTTTAAAGTTTTTCGAAACACTTGTTACCTTGAGTGCGCCGTGTTGTTTTAACTGCTTGCGATACGAGTTGAGGGAGGTTCATTCAATCATGTGTGTAGATGTGCAGGTGTGCGTGTGTATGTGCATATGTATATTTATGTGTGTGTGTTGATATATATTTATTATGCACGAAGTGATCGCTTAATATTATATCCATACAAAACATGTGTGTGTTGGGTTCACAGAGTAAATACATTTTAATTTTTTGCAATATGGCAACTGTAGCAAGAGTGTGCGTGCGTGTGTGTGTAAATGTTTGTATATGAAGCATACATGTGTGTTTATGTGCGGGGCCGCACGTTCACACCGACACAGTCTATCACACTCGTACACACAGTGAGCAATTTGTTTGACGGCTCAAAAAGTTAACTACGCCCATGAATCAAACAACGTTCATGTCCGTGCCGATCCGCATATGGGTGTGAATGTGTGTGTATTTATGTATTTGTTGTCTTATTGCGTTTTGCATAAATTCAAGACGACGTCATTGTCGAATTTATTTATAGTTTTTTTTTGTTTTCATTTTATTTGTGTTTTTGTTTGTTCACGACTAAAACAGGTGATAAGACCGTACCATTAAACCATTAAATGTAATATGCTGATATGCGCATATACAATTTAATAATGCCCTGATACGGCTTATCAAATATTTGAGAGACTGTGTGTGTTTGCTTGTACGTACCTATGTGTGAGTTATACACCCAACTTGTTTATAAACAATTGCCGTTGCTCTGTTTTCCAATGTACGTGCATATGTGTTAGTTGTGTGTGTGTTAGTGCTCATTTCTTTTCTTTTCTTTTGCTTTTCGCTTGTCTTTTCTTTTGCTCTTGTACTTTGAGCTTAGTCATTCTGTATTTGAAAATATTTTAAGCGCCGCGACGCCAGCAAAAATGCAAAAAGAAATGGACTTCAATTCACATATTGGGCAAAACAAAAGTGAAGAAAGAAAAGAGAAAATTTTTTCGTTTACTTGTTACGTATTTATATAAACAATCTTTTTGTTATATACAAACTGTCTGTATGTGTGCGGAATCGAATATATGAATGCATTTGTGTGTAGTTGTTTATTTTTTGTTTTGTTTATCTCAATTAACCGATTGTTGATGGTGTCAAACCGGTTTCTATAAGAACGACGCAACTAACAACTTTTTGCCGGCTCTAAACAAGAATACTTACATACGACACACATACATGCGTACAGACGGTCGCGACACTGCCAAACACATACACAAAGTTATTGCACTCATTTATATAAACATACACACACATATGCATATTTCGATTGATATTATATTTGCGTGCTAAAAGTGCGTAGAGAGGGTTTAATGAAGTTAAAGTTTAGTGTATTTGCCAAGCATATGTAAATATTTATTCTAATATTTTAAATTTATTTATTTAAATAAGCATGTCCGTATGTCAACAAATAAGCTTGTAGTGCATTACTATATACCTTTATAAATAACTCAAAGAATTTTTTATAGCTGGCCTTGTTTTTCTGCATTGGCCTTCTCGGCGACTGTTATGACTAAGTTAAGGCCCGTTGATCCACTTTTAATATGTTAGCAAAAAGAGTTGAAAAAAACAGAACATTATGGGTTATTTCTCGAAGTTCTTCGCTCGAACGGTCTCTTATCTTTCCTTCCCTTATACATTCTTACACAAACTCTAAATTTTTCTGTTTTCCAGTATTTTTTATCCGAAAAAACAGATTACAGGGTATATATTAGTCAACTACTCCCAACTCAATTTCTATTTAATTTTCAAGTGTTTTTAATTTCAATTTATCACCTATTTTTTACAGCATAACCATGTTGTTAAAAGTACCATCTGTTGACTGGACGGATCAAATAGTTTACGTGGTGGACGACGACGAATCACTGTCTGACTTTGACGATGAGCCAGATTTCTCAGAATATATGTGGATGGAGAACGAAGAGGAATTCGACAAGAACGTAAGTGTTACCAACGCGAAAGTAAATCTTATTCTATATGATTAATCATGTTCACCTCTGGCAGGAATTGCAACGTCTGGAAGAGGAAGAAATTATGCAAGAGTGTTTCGAGGCCATGATCGAGGATGAACTCGAGGAACAAATAAACGAATGGGAAAAAGCCAAGTGCGTAAAGAAAGCATTGACAATATGTTTACATAATAGTAATAATATGATCTTCTATCTTTGCAGAACGGAAGAACAAAATACGGCCCTATCTGCGCTACCAAAGAGTCAATGTAACATTGAGAAATCTGTGCTAAATCCCATGGCTGACGAATTCGTACCACTCTGCCATCAAATGGATTTTATAGCCTCGTAAGCGCCGGCCCCCGATAGTCTGAACTATATAACCTCACACAGCAACGCTTTCAGATGCGTGTCTGAAACGTAACATAGCAAGGATAGTCCATCATCCCATGCAATAACTCGATTAACGTTTATATATGATATTCACCTCCCTTGTCCAATCAAACATTTAAAAAAAAACACAAAAAACAAGCCAATATCCAAACAGGCAACTATGTCGAAAAGTTGAAAAAAAACAAATATAATACAAAATTTGATGAAATTTACGCGCACATACACACACACGTTATCATATGTATAATAACCAACTCAACCGAAATGCAAACGAATACCATAAACAAAATATATATATATATACCTAAAATCATTAAAAAATCAACAATATATATATGTATATATATAAAAAAACATACATAATTATAGTTAAAAATTAAACAGTCCTGATCCATGACATACAAACTAACATTACGAGCGACAAATTGCGCGATTAACATTTATCTTGAGCCAATTATATAGACGACCCGTGCTTAAGCTAGTGAGAAAACTTTCGTATAAACGTACAAATGACTTTACACACGCTAACTGTGAATTGCAACATCTATTTAGAAACATAAAGTTAAAAGAATATTTATATATATATATATATATATATATATATATATATATATATATATATATATATATATATATATATGTATAAATTTCCAACTAAAGTAAATGTAAACACTACAAGACTCAATTGTATTTGAATACCAACCGTCAGTTCGATTAATTGAAATTTAATGTAAAGACTAATTGTAATTAATTTAATGCAAATGCCCACGACCCAAACTCGCTTTAAGTTTAATTTTTTTTTTGTTTTTTGGCCTTTATTTTTACTTCGTTCGCATTGCGTAATTGTTAACTCGTTGTACGTTCTGTCTATGTTACAAAAAAAAAGCGACTTTACCTCCTTTTGACTCGCATACTAGTTATCTGCAGCTGTAAATAAGTAACTAAAGTTGGAAACGAAAACAGAAACTAATGCTAATTATTGATATAACTATGTACTAATGTTAAATGACTTCTTTTACAGTATACATATTTGCCTGTATATGTATATCTAGTATTAATCAAATGCGCTGCAATACCAATATTTTTTGTAAAACTTTAAAATTAATTCTTGTACATTTGTTCGAAGGCAAATGTGTATGAAACAAAAAAAAAAAAAAACAAAAAACAAAAAATCACAAATTTAATATAATTTACTTCTGTTTTCGGATGTAGAAATAAAAATATAGTTTTTTGGTTAGTTCTAGATATTTAAGACAGCATTAAAAAGATCTTATTTACGTTTTGTGTGATATAAAGATAAAAACGAATCAAAAAAAATATAAAATACTATTTTTAAAAATCCCAATAAAAAGAAGTATTATAGCATAAATGTTTCATTTTATTTTGAATAGCAAATGAAAAAACAACTTTTATATATATAAGAAATATAAAAATGTAAATTTGAATATATTGGGAATTTAACTGCTTGTTAATGCTTGTTAGACAAATTCCCAATAAGAATATACCCCGTTATTTAATTCTCTGCCTTAGTTACAGACAGTATGGCAGCACCTAACGATATAATACGATAAGTATCGATACGAAGTCGATAAAAACAGAGCTGATAGCAAACATGGCGTCGTCGCCAATTTCTGGCTGATTTTTTTTGTTATTAAACGAATGCAGAAAATGTTGCAATAAATTGTGTGAAATGTGAAATATGTTTAGTGCAATCAAAGAGCGCGCATTGTAGCAACAAGCACCACAGCAAAAGCAGGCTTCAGAGATGGCTGCGGCTGCTGCAGCAGTGCCAGCTGCAAACACAACAACAGCGACAACAACACCTGCAAATGCACCTGCAATCGCAGCGAACGCCAGCGCGGCGCAGTTTCGTGAAATACATAAGAATACGTGGTTGAAAAGACTGACGGCCGATGGCAAAAAGTTAACCGTGGGTCCCAAGGTAAACTATTTAGTTACTTATCTCAGTCTTATCTACGAAGACATTCTCATTGATTTGCAGAAATCGGAATGCAGCTGGGTGGTATTCTGTGTGCACGATGACACCGAAGCCCTGCTGGAGGGCTATGCGGAACCACGACAGGCGGCTGCTCATATGCCTGAGTGGGCCGTATCACTGCGGGATACGCTGCACATATCACACGCCCTCATACCCAATTCGCATGAATTTGAATTTGTTGTAACGCTCAGCAATGAAGTGTTGCGCTTTCATGCCGTTTCATGGTAAGTTGCGCGCAACACACGCACACAGCTACACGCGCAATTAACAATATTTTATTGTGCAATGCAGGGAGATTATGCAAGAATGGGTGGAAACGCTGCGAGCTAAGCTGCGCGAAATGAAAATTCTATCGCCGCGTGAAAACCTATACACAAAGTTACCTGAAGTGCGAGCCCCATTGCTGCCCACACGTGATCCAACATCGCCGTTGCCGGCACCACCGCCCGTACCAGCAGCCATAGTGCCAGGTGTAGAGCGTATTCCGGCTCATCAGCATCAACAAACAACAGTTGGCAACGAACAGATATCTAGAGCGCCAGCACCAGTCATAGAAGTTGCCCCAGCACCCGTAGTAGCCGTAACAGCACCTGCAGCAGCGCCACAACCAGCTATGTCCAATACTTTAACACAACATTTGCTGAATATGCTCTCGGATCCTATTAGCACGTACAGCGAACAAATTAGCGAAACAGCATCCACAGCAGCTGCTCTTGATGAAGAAGAGGGGGAGCAGCAGCAGCAGGCAACTACAGCCGAACCCCCAAGCGAAGACAGCGCCGATTCAAATCTGTTCGAAGATGAGATTTTAACGCCCATACTACGTAATGGTGTGCGAGTCGATGTTGCAGCTGCGTCTGCACAGCGCATATCAGCGGGTAAGCGCGCAATACCAATAAAGCCTCAAACACAATTTAAATGCTTAACATTTTTTTCTTACAGATCAAATCTTAAATTTTGAACAAATGCAATGCGAACGCCTAATACCAAGGTAAACGGGGAATGCACTTTACAACGCTTCGGCTATCTCATTGTATTGATATTGCAAGAAATTCAGCACCAGTTGCTCCACATGACTGTCGCCCTTGTAGCTGCCCAGAAAGAGTTGACGTAATGTAACCAGATAACGCATTGTTATTAGGGACAGATCATGCAGCTGTGTTTCTTCCTGCATTTTGATATCTTTCTTATAACGTTTGGTCACCTTTTCATGTATTTCTTTGTATGCTCTGTTAATTTGATCTCGCGTAGTTAATGAAACATAATACTCCATATGGCTGCGCAATATACGACCCAACTTAAAATCCATTAGCTCGAAGTGTACACGATCCTGCTCATCTTCACAGAGAACAGAGAACAGCGTCACAAAATAGTTTGGATATTCCATAAAATCTGGCAGTCTAAATAATTGAAGTGCCGTCACAGCCGAACAGGAAAATATGTGTTTCAGACAGTCTATTTCTTTACTGCTCAACTTAACCTGCTCGCGTAATGTTTCGGCCTTGGCCTTCAGGCCTTCGCGATGCCGCAACAAGCTTTCTTTTTGTGACTGCAATGCCTGCAGCTCCTTAGCCATTTCCTTATTTTGCTCCATCAGCACCTTGTTATCACTCTCCACGCGTAATAAATTCTCTTCGTAATTCATACCTAAGGATAGTGAACTGATCTGCGAACTAGTATCTATGTTATCATTATCATCGCTATCAGCATTATCATCCCAGTTGATATTGTTATTAGCATCATCAACGCTACTCTCCGTATGCTGCAACAATAAGCTCATCTTATGCAATGCTCTCAGATCCCGTTGGCAACTGCGCGCATCCGTAAAAGGATAACTCAAGCAGTTATTGTCATTGAGCTGTTTGTGGAGCAATAGCAACATGCAATTGCGTGCAAATCGCTCTGCGGGCGTTGCTTGTTGAAAGATCTTGAGCCAACGCGCACATGTTGCCATTGCGACATTGCTGGGCAAGTTTTCCACAATTTTCACCACACTGCCCACTTCTTTAACAAACAACTCGTCCAGCGTTTCGTCCGTTAATTCATCAGTCATTTTAAAAAATATATATAAATATTAGTATAGATTTCTATTGCTTTTGGGAACACGAAGTAACTTTTATTAGCATGTCTTATGTAGTTTACAAAGCTTTCTCGACGCTTACTATTTTGAAGACAAGCCTTAAGTTGAGTTTCTGCAGGACTTACCTTATCAATTGAGTATATTTTATACTATTATATCGTCAATTAAAGCTTTGTTTTCCATCTCCTCATTAGACCTCAAACGTCACGTTCCATGTCAGCGGGTGCCGCTGACAAAACCAAGAGACCGCAACGCCAATCACCGCAGCCTAAACTCCAAGCTTCAGCCACAAACTCAACTGCCGCCCAGGAGAATGGAGATAACAATGTTACGATTATACAGGTGTCCAATACTACAAATACAACAACTACAACTACGACTCCGACTACGAACGAGACGCAAGCGCCGGAACTGCCTCCCAAAAACAAAATCATTGCGGATATTTTTCGTTTTCCTGAAATCAATTTGAAAGCCAAAACGAAGTCGCAGCCAAAAAGCGATTACAAGAGCAACGTACAAATAATTCCGTCCAATTCGAATACAATACAAGTGCTCAACCAGGCGAGCAGCAGCAGCAGCAGCAGCAGTAGCAGTAGCAATCCCTACACCATACCATTAAAACCGAATGCTTCCAATGCGCCAACTTCAAATGCTTCCACGGCAACAAATGCCAATACCACAAAGGTGCAGGTACTGGCCGATGGCGAGGCAACCACGGTGGCAGTATATGGCACCTGCTACCCGACAACAGCCAGCAGTGGTGCGAGCAAACCACTCACTCCGAAGATGAGCAAGAAGATCATACTAAGTGCCAACAGTTCGGGCATCACGAACATACGCATTAACAATGAACAGGCTCAGGACTTAAATGTAATTAGTGGCAATGTGCATTACGAGAAGGTGTTTCTCTCGTCAAGCATACCCATTAGTAGCAACAGCAGCAGCAGCAGTAGTCCAACGGCTGTGCGCGCCACGAGTAGTCAAGGCCAGGCTGCCACACAAACTCCAAGCAACGGGGTGGTCAATGTGGAGTCGACACCCGTTAATGGCAGTCCCGCTTTACCACGTCGCGGCGTAGCTATTGCCTCGCCCACGCCAAGCAACGGCCATGCACGGCCACAGTTGACGCGCGGACTAACTGAGCTGGTCATTAGTACGCGACCCAGTCGACGTGATTTCCATTATCTGAAGCTGCTCAATACTCCCCTCAAGACGAAGGGAACGCCGAAAACCTCGAGCACCAGCAATGCCAACAATAATGTTGAACAAATTGCTGCCAACACGTCCAACTCCAGCGCCAGCAATGCGACAAGGGATGCAGCCAGCAATATTTCCGCCAGCTCCAATACGGACAGCATAGAGCAGCGCAGGCGCAGCTCATCCACATCGGATGCTCAAGCGCCACTGCAACGTGGTGCCACAGTCGCTGCAACAACACAGCAGAACAGTCAGCGTGGCGCCAACAACAATGAGTTTGTGCCAGGACGCAGTGCACCAGCGACAGCTTTTCGCATACAATCTTCACCGCAGGCCGCGGCCAGCCAGTCCAACAGCAGCAATAAGCGACTCACATTGCGGGAACAGCAGGTTATGCAGCTGCGGCGTGAGATCATGCATCCGGGTGGCGTACGACTAAATCTACGGCGCAAAGATTGTGTTGGCTCCATTGCCTGGGTGGATGCTTTCGGTGGCGTCTGGTAAACGATAGAGACCACCTACACAAGCCTAAAATATAACTAAAATGTATTTTGAATATTTGCAGGATTGCGGGTTGGAAGCAAAAGGAACACCCTGTGCTCTATAACGCCCTTCACATTGGCGATCAGCTGCTCTCCATTGCGGGCGTCAGCATCAGCAGCGCCGCCGAGGCAAATAAAATAATACGCAATACCAACACGTTATTTGTAAGTATTTATTATTTTAATATATATATATATATATATATATATATATATATATATATATATATATATATATATATATATATATATATATATATATATATATATATATATATATATATATATATATATATATATATATATATATATGCAAGTGTGCGCTACTCGTTGTCTTACGTCTTAACATAAATTACAATATAATTGTCTTTTTAATTGATGATGTTATCTTTATTCAAACGAATTCGTTTCAAAATCTACGATTAGGTTTTACAGTTAGTTTTATGATCGAATTAATGACAAAAACAAACATGTAAATTTAAATTAATTTACTCTCTACTGTTTTATATCAAGAAATAATCTTTGTTTGCATTGATTATAAATCAGTCAAATTAAATTAATTAGGTCAAACCAGTAATTCAATTAGTATATGTACTTTTATGTGTAATGTATATATTTAATATAATATAATTTTCTATATTGTTTTTAGGTTGAAGTGCTGCTGCGTCGCATACCTTTTGGTCGTGCGTATGCCATACGTCGGGATCGGGACGGACAGTGCTTGGGACTTATACGTGATGGCAATACCTCAACGATTGTGGATGTGGTGCCAAACAGTCTGGCGGCACGGCATGGATTGCCACCCAAGGTGGAGTACAAAATGAATTTGTAAATAATTTCTAATTCGGCAACTCTATATAACGATATTGCAGACCCAATCATGTGATGGCAGCACGTTGACCTTTTGGATACTCACAGAAATTAACGGTCGACCGTTAAATCTGTTTTTCAAGGATTTGGAAATACGCGATCGCCTCAATTCAGTGGGCAGGGATATATCGATATTGGTGCAACCGTCGGATTTGATAACCAAATTGAAAAAGCAACTAAAATCGTTGCGCGGCTACAAGGATTATTTAGTACAGTAAAATGTCGGCTACAGCCTCACTTTAAAAGTGGTCGGCTTTTTAATAAGTACACAAATACATATACATACATATATAGGAAGATATATAGCAATGTAGTAACTCAAAACTGTTATACTATGTTATACGTGTATATTTTTGTATAACACTGGGCCAGATAACCATTCCAATAATCACATAAAACAAAATGCATGTTTACTTAAACAAACGAAATGCTATATAGTCATCTTTTATATGTAGTAACTTTATACATGCGAGCATTAACGGAAAAACATATATAAATATATATTTTTGCAAATTTTATATAAGTAGTTTATATAGAAAACTATATAATGCTCTCACTTTGAGAATATGCACAACAAAATTGTTCGAATATTATAGAAACAAAATTATGAAATTTTACAAAAAAAAAAAAAACAAAAAGAAGAAAAAGAAATATGTATTAATTTGAATATTTTTCAAAATATTTTATTCGTAAATTGAATTGATTGTACACACAAACACACTACAACACACACACACACTCACACGTATTATACAAACCTGTGCAACTTAGTATCCTTATGCAATATTAGAGTGCCTCTGATTTTGTTTAATTTACGTTATGTTTTAAATTTTGTATTTGATTTGTTTTTGATGACAAAAGTAAAATGATAAGAAGGAAAACATCTATGTAACCTTAAGATGTGATAAACTGAGTACTCAAATTTAGGCAATTTTTAAAAGGTACATTTGTAAATGCTTTTTAATTTGTTTTACACGTATATATATATACATATAAAATTTGTGTTAATTTTTTGTCAGTATACAATTATTACATTATGACATGCAAGTATAATATTATGTAACTTCATTGCGAAAAGTTCATTAAAGCAATTCCATATACATAAACCTATACGCAAACCGTATTTCGCTTCGCATCCCTAGTGTCCTTCTTCCAGATTCGGAAGTTAAATACGTTTGCGTCCAATGTGGAGTAAATGAATATGGGCATCGAGTTGGTCATTACCCACATGGTGCCATCCTCATCGATCTATACGAAATGTAATTTCAATTAGTAATAGAAATTAGAATTAAGTTCATATTCTTACCGTTAAATCGCTGGGATAGATCATGGTTTGCTCATCGGCTGCCACAGTGCCATGGTTGGCATCTGTGAATGGATTCTTTGAGTTCCAACAGCCGACACCATTCGTTTGTATCTCAGCATAGAAGACGACGCCGGTGCGCGGATCGTACTGATGCATTGTACTTTGTTTATTTTGACCCCGGCTGCCCAGCAAACGGAAATCATTGCCATGATCGGAACGTGCCGCATTCGACTCCATCTGGAGCACACGGTTCGAGACGACAAACTCATTGTTGCTGGCCATGGCATGGAAATAAACATCGCGACTGCCGTCCGGTTGCTCTGGACCCATTGTCACGGAAAAGATGCCGTCATCCCAGCGGAAAGTCTGGCCACCAATATGCAAGTCTCCGGCCACAGGGTCAAAGTTGAAGTAATTGTGCTCAAAGCTCCACATGCGATCAGTGGCCAGGCTATACACATACAGCCGCCTATTGACCAGATCTGGTATATAGGCATACGCCTGATCACACTCATTGCCCGAGGGCACATCAATGGTCAGGCTGGCCAAGCCCCGGCCCGTCTCCACGATGTCTTCGGGTATGTCAAAGCGTTTCAGCTGACGATCAGTGCTCAGGTCCACTATCCAAATACTAGGCCGTCTTATTTGCTGTCGATTATCTGTTGTAAATAGATCATAAGTATTTATATACACACGTAATTGTAATTGTCATTGTCGACTCACTTGGATACTCCAGCATGCCGGTATCAATGAACCACAATCTGTGGCACGCATCCACAGTGGTGCGATAAACGGAAACTAAATTCTGTTCACTAATATTGAACTGGTTCGCCTCGAAGCTGGGGTAGGCGTAGAGCTTGGGACTGTTCTGTTTGCCGTCACGTCCCATGTCTATATAATTCAAGGTCGAGGGTATTCCCACGCGTCGCCGGGGCATGGTGACAAATACTCGCCCACGAAAATGCGTTACGCCCATCGGCACATTGTTGTAGGGTATGTAAGGCATGGAATCGTCATCATTAGCACCGCTGCGTGACTGTAAGCCCTGGAATATATCCCGAGAGGTAATCACTTCGCGTTTTTGCCTTCTCCGGCCGTAACTACTTGGAAATACAACGGGCGCTGCGTTCGGCAAAACACATGCAATTAGCTTCATTGTTATATAGATATATACAGAGACAGACTATATAGAGTGAAATTTCCCAATAAATGGAGTTAATGAAAGTGAGTCAACTGCAGCTATAAATAGATTTTAATAACGAATTAAGTAAGTAAATTAATTGTTTTCCCTTTGACTCTCCTTTTCTTCTATAATGATTTAAATATATGTCATAATTTATATACGATATTTAATAACACATAAACAACAGATTAAACTAAAATTGTTTGAACTTGAACTTTTGCTCTTAAAATTCGAATGCGGTAATGAAACATTTATGTATTAGCTGTACCTGATGGATTTGGCTGCCGAACCGCTCGTCCGTCGCCGCGATTGTAAAAATCCATTTGTTTCCATTTAAAGACCTCTGTCAATCCTTCTCCACATACAAAACTAAACGCGATCAAGAATTGTATACAACACAGGAACACTGATCTTGACATCATTTTTTATTAAGATTATTTGCTTTGCTTTTATTGTTTTTTTTTTTTAATTCAGCTTTGCACACTACGTACTTATAATCTGATAGCGAGAATTCAAACTTTCCATGTCAAGATCTGAAGAGCAACTGAACGTTTTTTGCTTTAAAATCCAGCTAGAAATATTTCAAATGTCAATTGATAAGAAATCTTTGCGTGAGAGTCGTGCAAACAAACCGGAAACCGGTTTTTTCATACATATATATATATATATATATATATATATATATATATATATATATATATATATATATATATATATATAATGGAAGGCTTACTTATTCAAAGTTCACTTGCCATATATATGTATATTATTAAAAATAATTACAAATAATCAATTGGAATAATTTAAAGCGTGTTCATAAGAATATATTCATAACTTCCAAAAAAATAATATATTTGCAATATCATATAGCAAAACTTAATATAAAGATCGATAATTCTTACATACAAAAATAACTAACAATGCACAGGGAAATTTAGTTGTTGCTTTCAGGCAAAACAAAACTTTTATTGCATACTTTCAGGCGGTATATAATTGAACATTCAACAAGTGTTGAGAACTATATTTATTTGCTTTATACAAGCACAAATATATTATACAGATATAGTATACACTTAAGTCCAATATTTTCATAATGCATATTTCGTATTCGTTTAGCGCCACCTGCTCGTGCGCAATACTGGTCTATCGATAATACACAAATTATGTGTATGTATATCGTCGATAGACCATTATTCGTTTGATCGAAAGCAGTGCAACGCTGAGCCAATACAAACACGCTCACGTACACACACACATACACTCACACACTGTCAAGGCAGAAAATTGCAATTGCACCGAACGGACGACGAGCGAAACAAAACGAAAAATCCCAAACATTTCACTTGTTAAATAAATCTATATACATAACTGCACAGCAGTCCAATTAGGCTAAAAGCGTATCAAGGTAATCGAATCAAATTGTCAAACGCCAAGAAACGCGCACAGCTCGTTGACGGCGCGCGCGTTTTGGGAAAAAACGCGTTGCGTTCTTTTCATTTTGCTGTATGTGAGAGACTTCTTCGACACAACACACAAACATACACATACACACACACACACATCGCCAGCAACAGCAACGAAAACGACGGTCGGTCCGAGACGAGGCGAGTGAAAGTGTCTCCACCACGGAAGTGCATCTGTGATTTGTATAATAATGCGTCGCGCATACTCAAATTTTTGTTACGCGAAAGCCCTGGCTGCGTTTTAGCCCAATTGACGTAGTGGCTTAATGTTTCAGAGTGTGACAAAAAGAAAAAATAAATAAATAAAAATAAGATATATACAAAAATATCTAAAAATTTCGTAAATCAAATAAATAAAGATGGCTGAACAAGTGGAGAAGGCATTGACGTACATCAAGGCAATGCCCGTTTCCACAACGTTACAGGTGCCAGACGCAGATGCAGCAGCGGCAGCTGCAACAGCAACAAAAACTTGCATGAACTGTTGCAGCCACGAGGACGATGCCCGTCCCAGTTGCAGCGGGATCAGCAGTAAGCCCAAGGGGGCCAAAGCCAAAACCCGTGCCAGCAGCATCGACGCGAGTGTTGTGGCTGCTGCCGAGGCTGTTGTCAATGGTGAATTGGATGCCGCCTCTTGCTATCATGTGAGCATGAAAATGTCCATTGATGCAGCCACACCGCGCATTTGTGGCGACACAATTCCACTGAAATGTGATGCATTGGCAGCAATGCGAGAGGCGCTTAGCGCCAACAAACCATTGCCCCTCCAATCTAAACAACAAGCGGGCAAAAGCAATAGCAGCTGCAAACCAAGCCCACCACCACCGTGTCAGCTGTTGGAGCGTCTCAATTTTCCCGAAGGCAACATCATAAATACGCTGCACACGATATTGGCGCTGCCGCCGTTTGATCCTTACGCGCCAGCGCCCAAATCGGATGTGGTCTACAAGGAGGTTGTTTCGCTAATGCAATGGAGCCTGCGCGAAGACAATGTCATTGAAATGGAGCTAAGCGATAAGCTGCTGCACGAATGTAAGCCGAAAAGCAAGGATCCAAACGATGAGACGCGCTCGTATTTGGTAAGTGGCGACAATGATATCAAATAGTACGGCAGCTCATATATTTATTGTCATTGCAGATGGCCATTGAGAATATGCGTTTATTCTCGGAGGATCCAAAGAATCCATTAAGGGATGCCGACGGACAGCTGCGTGCAATTACGGTGTGCTCCTATTGCCATGAAACTGTCATGCTGAAGCCTAATCCATTGCAGCTTTATTTTCAGAATCTTGCCTTGATATTTGTGAAACATCGAAAGGAGGAGTTCTTCACATTTTGTTCCTGCAAGGAATGTCTCGAATATCGCGAAACAATCATGGCCATTATGATGGATCAATTCAAGGCTGCCCACATGGTCGTCATGTTGCTCGACGTGCTAATTAAGGCATACAGCCCAATGTTAAAGTTAGTTTCAAACTAGTCAATACATATATAAATCAATTAATCTATATATTTGATATATCTAGAAACGATGCTGCCTACAACAAATTTGAGAAGCTATTGGAGTCCAATAAGCAAATCTATTGGATTACAAGCGGATTTCTCTACGATAAAAATGCCGAATATCTTGATTTTATTGATGATACTGCGATCTCTGATAATATGATATTAGTGCTATTCAGCGCCATGTAAGTTGATATAATTGTTTGTACGCTCGAGTATATCAAATGATTCGAAATAAACATTCCGACGTTCATTTACAGACTGATGGCCAATAATCCAATGCTGCTGCTACAAATACTCGCCTATAATGTTGAGTGCATTGTCAAGGCATTTTCCGAGGGCATGATCGAAATTGCTCAAAATGTGCAGGAGAACGAAAAGATATCTGCCGAAAAGATGCTCACATGTAGGTCCAACAGAAGGGTGATAACTTTCAATTGCTTTAATATTGAAACCGCAAAGATTAAACAGATTATCTGATTAGAATCCTTTTTCAAATGTTTACTGCATTGAAGTCAGTGGAGACATAACAAATTACTAAATATCAACTACTTTACTTATCGTTGTATAGCTAATATCAGATTACTTATAACCAGAAAGTCTACTTAATCTGTACGACCTACAGATAACAATTATTTGTTGTTGCTTTTGAAACAAACAAAAACTTAATATTTAAGAAACCTTTAGATTACCTGTATCCTATAAACACTTTCTCCGTTTCTATTACTAGATTTACTGGACGGCTACTCCGATTTGAACTGCATCTCACAGAAGATTTCGCTAAGTCTGTTCGCTTTTGAGAATGATTTTCTGCGCAAGTTCAAGCTCTCTTGGGTGCTACTGTGCCAGCGTCTCTTTCAGCAACATGTGTTCAATCCGCTGGGCGATACCATGCTCGCATGCATATTGTCGCTGAAGGAGGGCGAAAGCTCGACACAGACAACGGCGCTAATAAAACGCTATATGCTATTTGATGAGCATATGCACTCCATTGAGCGCCGCTGGACGGACATTTGGATGGAGCTAAACAAGTTCAACTTGTCGCCCACGGAGCATGATCGTCGCATGGGCCTACTCGATGTGTATAACATATTTGATAAGGTCGTCATGGATGCCACCTCTTTCTCGCTGCCGGATATCAGTGATGATGAGTTCATAGATTTTCAGCGTATTGTCGATCGTCAGCTGGCTTGGAAGAATATAATGGCATTCACCAAGCTCAAATGGCCAGACGGTTTCTACGATCCGCCCAATAAGCTGGTGCACGAGGACCTATGCAAAAAGTGTAATGCAATGCTGGAACACCATAACGAGTAAGTGATGCAATATTTGAACTATGCTTATTCTTATGCTAACCGTTTCCTTTTGGTTTTAGGAACTGCAAATGCATCACTTGCTCCATTGCTGGTACGCCTCTAATGCCGCGACAAGCCGGCCATTGTGCCAAGTGCACAACACTCGGCATTGTTGAGAAAGACGCCAAGCTAATGAAATCGAAAATACTGAGCACCTGCACCAGCGATGAGGCCAAACACCATATGGCAGCTAGCACAAGCGCCGCAGCAGCAGCGGCAGCAGCTGCACAGCAGCGTAATCAGCTAGAGGGTGTTGGAGCTGCCACCAAGGAGGAATCCAGTGGTGTGACATTGCGACGTCAGGAGATGGATACCGCTTTGCGCACCACATACCACGTTGCATGGGCTGTGTTTCAACATTTAGCTACACGCAAACGCTATCGCTATGACACCGTCGAGCCGCAATACTTTTGCGGCGAAAACTGCCGAGTATCCGCTTGCCAGCTGGCGCGCAAGATCCTTGCCAATGAATTGTCGCCGCCGCTGACTAAGCATTTGTTGCGTTGCTTCCAGCCGCTGTCATTTTCGCGAGAGGAGCTACGCACCACGCTGCCATCGCTGATGTTCTTCAATCGCAAGCTGGCGCCTAGTCCCGCCGAGCTGCAGGAACTGAAGAACCAGCACTATGTCTACAAGACCTACTGGACCTTCGTACTGTCCATCTATGCCAATTTCTTTGTCAAGTTCAATTCGACGGCAACGGACTTCAAGCATCTAGAGCTGCTCAAGGGCGATTTGCGATTGCGGCCAAATAGCGTTGTTGGCGACAAGGACGATGGACGCTTTGAGCAGTTCTTGGCTCAGGTCATCGGGTCCGTATTTATTCTATAATATTAAATGTAACAATTAATTAATTATTGTTCTTATTATTGCAGCTATTCGCCCTTCAAGATTACGGATGAGTAAGTTAAAGATTTAATTAATTGAACAGGGTGTACAACAACTTTATTAATATACCCAAGTCAGTCTGCTTAAATGCTAAAATTTCCGTATATATATCAGAGAGGACTGAATCATAGACTACAAAGCTTAGTTAAATAAATATTTAATAACTGTATGATGCATACATGAACATAGATTACATTCTCTGAGTATCCGATTCCCCAAGTTTGATGTTTATCTTTAACCTAAATGCCAACATTTTCATTTTCCATGATTCACTCAGACTTTTTGTTCAAGGACAAACTAAATTAGTTATGAATTATAAAATATTGGAATCATAGCAGGTTTTGCTAAGCGTGTTACTCAACAAAATAAAATTATTGGGTTCCCTTAAACAATACACTTGTGATAAGTATTGCTTTGAATGCAATACACCTCGATATCGCTTGATAGTTTTTTAAGCCCCAAGTGGTTTCTTATTCGCCAGCTTCACACTCGGTGACGCCAACATCGACAAAATGCAATTTGGTGTGGATCATCTGATGAAGCTGCACGACTCGCAAATGATGTAAGTAGAGCAGCTGGCAAAGTTTACACATCTATTAAATAATATCAAAATTTTTGTCTATAGAAAACGTGGCAAGCCGGATAGCACCACGAGCATTGGATCTGGCAAGTCAAAGGTGAATGAAACGACGCAAACGGGCGCCGGCAACGACTCGAATAACTCCAAAAAGTGCAAGGAAAAGATGCGCAAATGTGAGCAGCAGTTAACTAAATATATTATATGAAATCAATTTTAATTCTTATCCATTTCGATCGATAGGCTGTGCGGACTACGCGGACATCGGCGAGCCCTGCAAGGAGAACCACTCAAAGAAGCGTGTTAAAAAAGAATGCAATCATGCTCGGTTTAATGAGACGCGCGATCGCTTACGCAAAAAACTGACACAGATTGTCAACGATCGCAAGAGCAAGAACGGGCAAGAGCCGGTGACATCGGCGCAAATGCCAAAGGCACATGTCGAGCCAACTGTGGGCAGAAAGCATGAGCCAGTGGCAACACAACAGCCGCCCACACTCAAGGTGGTTGCCTCGGCGCAGGTGCAAGCGGCCACACGTAAAATGCCCGCAGCAGCAGCGGCTGCGGCAGCTGCTGCCGCCGCGGCAGCACTCAATGAAATTGGCGAAAATATCGAGGATGGCGACAATAGTCTACTCTGCTTGGACAGTCTCTGCAAGAGCATACAGATGCACACGGATGCCACAGGTGGCGGTAGCGGTGGCAGTGGCAGCAGCAGCGCTGGCAGTCTGCCAGCCGATCTGAGCAGCTACAGCAAGGAGGAAATGATGCAGGATTTTGCCGAATTCTTGGGCAGCTATACACGCGAGCAGGATCAAAAGCGTTGGATTAATGAAACGTTAAACTTCATTGAGGGCAAGCCGCAACAGCCGCAAACGGCAAACCCCAAGAAGGCAGCTAAAAAAGCCAAGCAAAAGCAGCGCAAGGAGGAGGAGAAACGGATCAGGGAGCTGGAGGATTTGCGCAGTCAATTCCTCGATATCTACTTCAAGGAGTTCATTGATAAATATGAGATGAGAACCTTAACGGCTGCTGGCGGCCGCAAGCGCGAAAAGAAACGAATTTCCGAACTGGAGGCCAATATTAAGAACCTGCAGCGAGCGAAGGGCAAAGTAGAGACGACCATATTGGAGCTAATTGCAACCGTCAAGCAGGCGAACAACGAATTTAAATTCTCTTACCTGCCCACCAAGGAGCAGCAATTGGCCAAGCTGGCCCAACTCGATGAGATTTTAAAAGGCGGCCTGGGGCTGCCACAGCTGGAGACGTTACCACAGCCGCCAGCACCGGTTGCGGCTGGGCCGGCAGCTAATTCGCATTATCCCAACTTTATCAGCTCTGCCGCCTTCTTTCCACCACACCTTGGGGCGCCACATACACCCATGTGCTATGCGCCGCCCCAGCCGCCGCAACAGCAGCAGCAGCAATTGCCACGGGATGTGATCGCCGCCATGGCGGCCAATGCCATAACCGCTGATCCATCCAAACGCATCGTCACAATACGACGTGTGCAGCTGCCGCACGCTGGCGGCGAGCAGCAGGTGACGGTCGTGGCTAAGGGCAGTTCGCCGGATGAGGACAAGTTGCTCTACACATTTGTCAATGGTCATATGGTGGCCTCAACGCAGCCAACGGCAAAGAACTCAGCACCGGTGGCGCCGCCTGTGATCGAGAAGAGCGCCAAGGCCAAGAAAAAGGAGGCTAAACGGGCAGCAGCAGCAGCAGCAGCGGCCGAGGCAGCAGCAACTGCTGCAGCTGCCGCCGCAACCGCCGCTGCTGCTGCGGCTGCTGCTGCTGAGCTGGAGGCAAAAACAAAGAACAAAAAGCATAACAAAAAGGCAGCGGCGGTGCAACCACCACCTATCGTATCCAGTTCCAGCTCGGGCACTAGCTCCAAGTCGCAGACGCCGCAAAGCAGCGCCGTCAACACTCGCGAGAACTCCGTGTGCAGCATTAAGCCGAAGGTCAACAAGAAGGCGGCGTCCAAGAATGCCAACAAAATTGTGGCCGAAGCGCCACCACCCAAACCGGAGCCTGAGCCAGCGCCGGAGCCTGTAAAGAGGCACAAACGCTTGAAGCAGCGACTCGATCAGGGTCAATTGGACAACAATCCGTTCAAGTCGCTGCATGTGCTCGACTCCTCGGATGGCGAGTGGGAAACCGGCAGCGAGTCGGAGGTGTGTGTTGAGCCTGCGCCAGCAAAATTACAGCACAAGATAAGCATTGCGCCCAAGCCAGCGGCAGCTATGCCCAATTCCAAACAGAAGCCGGTGGCAACAGCGGCGCCCATCAAGAAGTCCAAAAACGAGGCACCGCGAGCGCAAGCTCCTCAGCAGCAGCAGCAGCAGCCGACCAAACCCACGTCAGCTTCTGCTGCCAATCAGCGCAAGGCGACGTCCCAGCAGCCGCAGCAGCAGCAGCAGCAGCAACAGCCGGCGCAGGCTAAAATTCCATCGCACCGCTCGTCCGACTCGCATTCGAATGGCAGCACGCGTAAGTCAAAGTCCAGCCATGGGCAAGCGCAGCCGCAGGTGCAGAGCGTCCAACCGGTTAACGGTAACGGGCATCGCGGGTCCCAGTCGCGCGGCGGGCGTGGCAGTGGACGTTCGAAGGCAACCAATGGCAGCCAGCAACAGCAACTGCCGCATGCGAACAGCAATAGCACTTGCTCCTCGAACGCCGCGGATCAGAGCTCCGCCGGCGGTCAGACCTCAAAGCGTTCGCAGCGGGGCAAGCGCGGACATCGTGGTCAGAAGCAGGGTAAAATTTATTACAATTCAATGAAGACGGCTAGCACTAATCCCAATCTCAATCCGAATCTGTATGATTTTCCAGAGGATCTCTCGGGCATACCCAATCACATGGGCTATTTCAATCCCAACGAAGTTGCCATACCACCGCCGATGCCGCCGCATGCCGGCAGCTATGCCAGCACGCTGACACAGCAAATGCAGCATCTGCGCATTGGCAGCGGCTCATCCAGCAAGCAGCAACAGCAGCAGATGCAGCAACCCAACTGCAGCATCATGGACCAGTTGAATCGTGGCGTTCAGGTGGAGCATCTATCACTGCCGCCGGGCATAACGCTAACCAAGGTGGATCCGGCCAAGAGCGAACAACTGCGCCAGAAGAGTGAATCCATACGCAAGCTCTCTAAGCCGCTCGCCGAGCAGCAGCATCATTCGCTGCAACAGCAACAGCAGCAGCAGGCACATCTCATGAACAGCTACTATGCGGGCAATGCGGCGGGCATGGACACCGCCGGCGGCGTCATTATGGTGGAGGCCAATCCACGCTCCAGTGCCCGCAACAACTGCCAACCCCTAGCTATGCCGCCCAATGGTAATGGCAGTATCAATGTGGCTGCCGCAGCTGCGGCGGCCAGTGCCAGTGGCAAATCGTCGAGACGACGTCGTCGCAATCGTGGCAAGTCTGGCGGTAATGGTGCTGGCACTGGTGTCGCCAGTCTTGGGCACAAGCAGCGTTCTGGCCCGGACAACCAGCAGCAGGCACAGCATGCGCTCAGCTCGGCGCCCATTATGGAAGCCAGTGCTGGCGGCAACATAATAACGCTTCGCAATCCCATGTTCCATCAGGGCGTCAACAATGGGCCAGTGCCGAGTGGCATCCTGTCCAATCCCAACCCCATTCCGCCAGGTACAAATGCGAACATCTCGCCAAAGAGACGACGATTACTAAAATATATTTATTTTCATATTTTCAGCTAGGGCTTATGGCGCAGGTCTGCCAATTGCCGCATCGATGCCAATGGATCAACCGGCCGCGATTATTAAAAATGAGAACGGCATGTTCACCATACGCAATCCAGCGTTGCATCAGGCTGTGACCAACGGTTTGGCCATGGGTGGCTATCGTCAGTTCGGCAGCAATGTCAACTACTATACGCCACAGGAGGCGGTGGCCGAGGCGGCGCGTGCCACACAGCAGAAGCTATCGTCGCCACCATTGGTTGTCACGCCCAGCAACACTGCCCAAGCTTCAAATTCCGCACCAGTTCCAGTTGCTCCCACCAATTTCTCATACTTTTCCAGTGGCTCAGCCAGTGGCGGCGGCAGCAGCAATAGCAGCAGCGGCAGTGGTGTTGGCGTCGGCGGCGGCGGCGGCATGGTCGACACGCACAATAATATCAGTATTAGCTGCACAAATGTTCCCATGGCCAGTAGTCCGGGTCGTCTGGTGGGCGACGCGGCCGTCATCGCCCGTCCGAAGCAGGCGCAGAAATGTTTGTCCGCCATTGGCAGCGAGCTAAAGCAGAAGACCAAAGACAACCACTCGTCCGCATCGAGCCAATGGTCCAGCTTTGGCCAGCCAACGTCGGAGTTTGGTGCCGGCCCAGCGGGCTCCACGCTTCAGGAGAAATACCAACAGTCAAGCTATTACAATGGCTTCGAGGTATTCCCCTCATCCGTGTCAGCTGGTGGTGCCGGACCCAGCGGTGGACCTGGCGATTGTCACATGCATCATAACTGTGGCGATGATTCGCCGCCGCCAACCATCACCGGTTTCAATTCCTATCTCGAGGGCATACCCAACACGGGTGTCATACGCTATGACGATGCGGCATTCCTCAAGAATTTGATACCGGGCCAGCATCTCAACAACGAGGTGCGTTCCTGCGAGCCACTCTGGCCGAGTCAAACGAATATGTTTCGAAAGGATCATGTACCATTCGAAAAGTTGTCGCCTACCTATTTCTCATTCTATTCGTCCTAAATGCATTTATTAAGAACAATGATATATATTTGGCTTTTCTGGATTTCTTATTACTAGACATGTGGCAAACTTTCATTTCAGATTTTTATAATCTAAAGTGTTAGCGTAAATTGTCCAATTAAATTTGTTTCGTTCTCAGCCTTTTATATCAGCTGAATCAGAGTAAGAAAATAGTTTAATTAGATTTCATACTTCCAATTGGAATGCGTTACAAGAATGCCATGCCGATAAACTAGCGTTCTAATAGGCATCATAGACTTCTAATTGGACTTCGTACAGTGGCTTCTGCTGTTCGCTGAATAACTTAAATGCATATACGAAGATTTCTATATATAAAATGACGATCATTAATGATAGGAATCAGAAATTATGTAGACATTTCGACAACTTGGCAACATTAATCGATTCGATCCGCCTTCGATAAATCATAAGCTTTCACTGACACATGTATTTGCTTACAGGTCTCCATACACAACATATCGGAGTCCAACTTCACGCGCAACAATACATCGCCATCGCCGCATCATGTGGAGATAACAACCGTGTTTGGCAATCGCAACTGCTCAGCGAACGCCTACGAACAGCAGCAGCAGCAATCGCAGGCGAACAGCTACTGCGACAATGTGGCCGCTGACTATGGCAGTGGTTAGTCCTTGAGTTGAATGCACGTTCCTGTGCTTACTTATGAGTATCATCTCTTGCAGATTCCACCCACCTGTTTGTGCAAGGCAACATACTGCCACGCTTGTCACAGCCGCCGCCGACATCGACGCAGGATCCCTTTGGCTATGACTTTGAGTCGGCGGCTGGCTCAAAGCCCGCCAGTGTGGCCAGCGATCTGAATGAGTTCTTGCGGCGCAGTCCGCACAGCCAGCGCACCTCGCCCTACAGTCCCGACGAGAATGTGGCACTCGAAGCATTTGTGCAAAACATGAACGCGCTCCAGATAGCCAGCGATGCGGAGCAATGTGCACGCCTGAATGGAAATGCAGCTTCCGCCGGAGATGCGGCTGTAGCAGATGCAGCTGCGGGCGGTGGTGGAGTTGGTGCTACTTGGTGGTAAAGTGGCTATGACCATGACAGCTGTTGCTTCAATGTCAACAACATAAGTACACACACACACATACACACACTCACACACCGATCCTTCACATACATCCGCCGTAACGCAAACATTTCATTGATAAGGCAAAAAAAAAAAAAACAAAAAATGATACCCCATGAAATCATTAAAAATGACTTAGATGTCAATTTCGATGTTTCAGAAAGCAAGAAAAAAAAAAAGAAAACAAAAAATAAAGATAAAAGCAACTTAAATTAAATGGAACTCAATTTCTGCTTTATTCTTCATACAATTTGCTGCTAAAAATATTTATAAAATTTGACTTTCAGAGGAAATACTTCATATATTGCTTTTTTCTTTGCATACTTTGTTTAATTCTCAAAGATGAGCGAACCGGAGGCATAGCTAACGCTGGAGTCCTCCATGTCCAGGCACTGGCTGCTCTGCGCATATTTCAGAAATTTAAAGCTCATATTTTTAAAGCCCTGATCCTGCAGGGCTTTAACAGCGCCTAGCATAACGCCAATCGGATGGCGTCCGCATATCGTATTGTTATATTTGCGCAAATACTCTGTAAACGCAGTTGGACTAAGCGTCTCGATGATGTCCATGCCCTGCTTGTCCAGCTGCTCAATGCACTTGTGGATGGGACCGCAGGAGCGATCGTAATAAGTGTAACTGAAACGCTGGCCCCAATGGCAAAAATCGGAAGATATCACAAATAGGTTCGTTGGATCCATGAAATATTTGGCCAATAGACTGCCATACTGTGCCTCCTGCTCCGGATTCAGCGAGCCCACAAGTATAGGCACAATGGTGAACTGATCCTTAAAGCTGCAAAGCGACGATAGTTAATGTGATATTTGTTGTGTTAAATCATCAGCTGACACTTACTCCTCCATAACTTTGGCTATGTAAGGCAAATGCATTTCAATTGAGTGCTCATCCTCGTCCGTCTTCATGTCCATCCAGGTGAATTGGCCCGTCTTTTCAAGCTCGGCATTGACTGAAATTGCACATACATGTTTAAATTCTTTTATAGGTATTAATTGTCTGTTGCACACCTTCCGTATCAATTTTGAGATCATATAATGGTGTCCTATACTTTTTCGTCACCGATAAGGCACAGCTGCGCAGTCGAACGTGATGCGATGGTCCCAGTATGAATATGCGTTTACTGCAGAAATCAAGAAAGGGCATCAGCTCAGTGGCATATTGCATTGTGTCTCACTTACACAACAACGGGGCTCACTTGGCGATAGGCAAATGCACCGCAGGCACCACAATAGGCGTAGCCGGCATGTCTAAAAGGTATACAAGATATATATGCATAAAGCTGAGTTCTTAATTGAATTAACGTTTACACTTACGGCGCAATAATGGCACGAGCTGGTCCATGGGATAAATCCGCAGCGCCCAGCCAACGATCCAATTGTCTGGAAAGATCGGAGGCTGCAAAATATAATAAAAAAATAGATTAATAGTTATTTCTTATTGAAATGAAAGCAAGGAACATTTTCTTATGAAATTTGTTAATCATGGGAATTTGGGGAAATTGTAGGCATTCGAAGTATAATGGGAAATACAAACAATTATCTGTTACAATTATTTTAGAGGGAATTTTTATTTTACAATTAATTTAATTGAAATTAGTTCTAAATTAAAAATGTATTCAACAATTTAAGCATGTGAGAATTCTTTAAGGTGAAATTCAGGAGTATCTTTTGAAACTTAGTAGCCTCGATGTTGCTAAGTAACAAAACAAACAAGTTTCCTTGAATACATATATAAAATTCCAGTTTTTGATGAAACTGCGCTATCCAAATACACTAGAAATAAAATATTGAGTCATAGTCATATTATATTGTATATAAATTCAAGTTGATCGGAAATATGGATAAGGAGAAGGATAAGCAAAGCGATGACTTATTAAATCGCATACGAAATGAGTTGACGGCCATTATGAATGAGAAGTGAGTACCTTATAGAAGATATTTACCATAAAAATATGTATATACTATATGTTGAGTTATCTATCCATTCCAGCAATAGCAATGATCCCAAACGTAGAATTTCATTTGAGGATATTATGAACCCTACGCCACTGCCTATTAAGCTACAGGACAAGAGTGAAAAGAAGAAAAAGACCTCTAATAAAAGTCAAATATATCACAACCCACAATCGCATCGCTTGTCAATTGGCGGAAAAACAATTACCATGAAGCCATCAAGTGAACGAATGACGGCTGGCCAGGAACAAGCTAGCGAAGCATCATCGTCATCATCGGCAATGGGAACATCAAGTGCCACTTCGTTGAGGGCTATGCTGCCCAAATTGGACCACAGCGTAACAGCGGATTTTCTGCAGTCTAACAGCGCAAAGTCTATTGATGAGGATATGCAAAAGATGCAGCTGGAGTTGGCACAGAGCTATCAATTGTTTCAGGGTATTGGTGAGAAGTTCGACTCCATCAATTTTGGCTCACTGAAGTCTCGCATACACAACTTACGTATAAACAATATGACCAATGAAATGGGAAAGGTCACAACCAGCGAACTACAGAAAATGTTCGAGTCTAGTTTTTTGCAGAATCGGTTGGACAAGCTAACCAAAAATGTTAGCGAAGATTTTCGTCAGCATCCCGGTGAATTTGGTGATATACCCGAGTTGAGCAACTTCTTCCAGGCCTGTACCCAACTAGAGCACGGCCTGGACACGTTGAAGCAACAGCGTCAACGCACCAACGAGCTGGAGCAGCGTTTATGTTGGGCCACAGAGATTGCGTACGATCGCATGGAGGAAATACGCAATTCAGTAGGCGATAACCCAGAAACTAATTTCTAAGCCTTTTAAAAATTGATTTTAATTTGTTAAGTTAAGCATTAAACAATAAATAAAAACGGTTTGAACTGCGTAGAATTCATTAAGATCGATAACAAATACATATGTACATCTGTGGATATTGGTTTATTTTACATAAATTGTCTTTATATCTTATCTATTTACGCCATCTTCGTGATCAAATTATATCAGCGGAATAACCATTTACACGCCTAAATTGCCTGTATTTTGCTCTACAACTTCAGGGATATAATTATATTGGTAATGATGTTTTAGAGCTTTTATATTCTGGTTTAAGCAAGTTCTGTAGGATTCGCAGAATTTTTAATTATCTTAATCTATTACAGTAACACAGGGGTCAAAGACATCGATGTACGAATAAAAAAATTAACTTTACCGGAATCTGTGTACCAGCTTCCTGCGTGTGTTGCTCTCCTGGCGGACATGATGATTTTGTTGCTATGTGCGTAAAATTGCCTTTAATAAGTTTCAGATAAGCCAAATTAGTTTAGTTTTCACGCCCGCACTTGTCTTTGTGCCTCTTCTTCTTTTTATGCAAAAATGACGGAACACGAATACGAATACGAATACAAATGCAATGTGCATTCTTTGGCATCGAACAAAGTAATTATGTTTTTATCGTTATCGATACCCGGACAGTATCGTGCAAGCCCAGCGCAAGTCGCATTGAGCGTTGCGCGTTTGTTTGTCGGCTTTACTTATATATTTTTAGTTTTAATATTGCCGAATAAATTTTTTTATCTAATTAATGTGAGTGTAAAAGGGCTATGTGCATTTTGAGAAAAAATATATTTAAAAGAGTATCTTTTATAATCATTTGGCATTGCGTTTGCATCTGAGTGTGCGTGGGAGCGTAAACACGAGAATGGTTGTTTCGCGTTAAGAAGAAGCACAAAAGAGAATATTTTTTGTGCAAGTGGATGGAAAAGAAAAATTGTGTAGTTAATAGTGCAATTCGAGCTCGTTCATTAAAGAGTACGTAATTATTTGTCAGGTGTGTTATATTAGATCGAATATTGATTGTTCATAAACAATTACATACATCATTAGCAATACGCGGCAAATGAGTAGCATCGCGGTAGTGAGTAGCATCGCGTCATTGCTGTACTAAAACTAAAAATTGCCGTGTTCGTATTCCGCCATTTTGAAAGCGAGTCGAAAGTGGAATTTGGACGCGTTGCTGGTAAAAAATTTGTTGAAAAATATATAAAAAGTACACAGAATTTATAAAAAATGCATGAAAATTGTGCACTAAGCTAGCCGGTAAATGTTTGTCTATTAATTGTGCGTGTGGGAAAGTGTTTAGCACGTGAATTTTGTGCAATTACAAAATCGCAAAAAAAAACGCGAGAGCTGCGGCCGCCACCGTCGCCGTCGCCACCGCCGCAATGAGGAAAAACGAAATGAAAAATATATAGAAATTGAAAAACTAGTGCGCTGTTGCTACGAATTTAATAACAAAAAAATATTATGTATCTATACATATTTTGTGCGGGCTATACATCGCCTCTTAATCTCTAATATGGATAAATGTCTTGCTTCTTCTTTTTGTTTTCGACCAGCGTGTGTATGCTCATGTGTCTCTCAGTCAGTATGTGTGTGTGTATATATATGTATGTTTGCGTGTGCGTGCGCGATAAACGTGTACAAGAAAAAAATTTAAACGTGCAGAATTTCGTATGAATTTTTAAAGCCGATTTACATGCGCATATATGTGTGTATGCATGAATGTGTGCGTATATATATATTTTTAGTATCGCTGCTGAGTAAGCCAGTGTGTAACAGTGTGTCTCTTTATGCGAGAAAGCGAATGATAGCAATAATTATTTTTATTATTGGCAATACGCAAAACATAAATATATTGTGCAATAATATTTGCACAAACACAGCCTCATAAGTTACACACATTATCTATACATGTGGCAGTGTTGTGTGTGTTTGTTGCTTTTTGCCGATGCCGAGTGACAATATACACGCAAGGTTCACTGCGCAACGCCCCTGTACCTTTCAAAATCTCCGCCCCACACTGCTGCAACATGCTGGCCAACGCCGCTGCTGTGTCTCATCGTTGTTATTTTGCCGCCGCCACAATTTCGTTCGAGTGAACAAACAAACGAGCCAGTGAGCGAACAAGCAAGAGAGAAAGAGAGAGCCAGGCTAGCTCCTCCAGCAAGCGAATGACATATTTCAACAGCATTTCTGTTGCTGTTTTGCAGCGCCGCGTTTGTTTGTTCAGCACAAAGAGTTGAGTTTGCGAGTCCTTTAAAGGGTGAAAGTGTATCAAATTTTCGTTAACTTGAAAAGTTCGTGCAAAATGTGTGAGCGAGAGCAAAGCTTTGAACACTTTAAACACAGTTAAAGCTTCCTGCTGCTCTCCGAGTACGAGTGCGCATTAAAGTTTAGTTTGTGTTTCTGTTTCTGTTCCCCCTTTGTTGAATGGTGGTCCGGTCAGCCCGTTTTGTTCTATAAATAGCCACCGCGCTTGCCCGCTTCATTGTGACTGACTTCTTGCCCAGTGGCCTGCAACGCCGCCACCGCCTGCATATTGATTGAAAAAAGGAAGAAGTAGAAAACATGCATAGCATGGGTAGTGGAAGGTGATGGGGGTATCGATGCCAGTCCCGTTCATATACATGTGTGTGTATGTACATTGTTTTTGTTTTGCAATTTATGCATACATAAATAAATAAGTAGCTACAAATGCGCGCACGTATAAAAAGAGTTTATAAAACCGTTGGTGCTGTCGATGTCCATAAATATTTTACTCACACACATACAAACAACTTGCTGTGTCTCCCTTTTATGCCCCCTTCAGCCATACTCTTGCAGGCCAATGAAATTGGCGCTTGTTTCTAGTTTTATTACAACATTTTTTTCGCTTGTCATGTTTTCCATCGTTGTTTCGTTCTGGCGCCCCTGCTGTACCCGTCAGCAAACACACACACATACCGTCACTACACTTGTGCTCGCCTGTCTGCGCTGTGTAATCATATTTTTTTTTTTTTGTTGGCACCGCCTCCATCCAATTTTAGTCAATTTCGCATATTTGCATTGTTATGAATTTTCTCGATTTCCATATAACGATCTTTGTTTTTGGGGATGAGCAGACAAGACAAACTCGAATTAGCTTTGTTTTTACTTCGTATCTGCCCATATATATATATATATATATATATATATGTATATATATCAAAATGTATTGTCTATGAGTTTTGAACATGAAAATTCCACTTGAAAAAATTCTTTTAGTTCACTCAGGTGAGGCATAATAAATGTTTAGTGTGTGTTTGTGTGTGTAAATCTACTATCAATGCGCATGCAGTTGTTCCCTTTCTAGTAGCTCTTCTCTTTTCAACTTTTTGTTTTGCGTGCATTGCAGCTAACGTGCGCTTATCATTTGTTCATGTTTATTGTACTTTATCTTTTGTTTGTTGCTGACTGCCAACATTAAAAAAGCAAAGAACAAACGAAAAACAAGACTAGACACCTGCGACAAGAATTTCACACTTTGAAAATTGCAAAACAAAAACCACCAAAATAGAACGTAGTCTTTCAATTTGTAATTTCTATTAAATAAGTTTAAAAATAAATACAGTAAAAACTCTTGAACGGAAACAAAACATATGAAAACAGATGTTCGCTTAAAATGTTCACTTCAAAGCAAAAAGAGAATCTACAATGTTTCAATTTGAAAATGAATAAAGATATTATGATTATGAATCATAATATATTATAATATACATCTGTCCAATTTTTGTATGGCTTTGTTCGTTAGCAAATTTTGGTTTCTCGAGGGATAGTTTTTGACAAGTAAACCAATAATAATAAATAAAAAGGAATTTGTTATTGTGCGATATTCGCCCAAGAGAGCTATAGATTAGTATAACTTTAGATGTACAGTAGAACCACTTGTATTTAATATCATCTTAATTAAAATGACAGACTGCTGCGAATATTTGGATTACGTAGGCTTCACTGTACATCTATATGTTCGTGCGTATTTCAAAGAGGAGAAACGTGAGAGGAAAGTTTGCTTGTGCTGCCTTGCTGGCTGCTTTGTATCATCGATCGATCTGCGGCCAAATTTACTGACGCGCTTTTATTCTAAATAAAAAAAAAAAAACATAAATCAACGCAATACACAATTTGATTGTTGTGCCAAATGGTTTTTTTAGCAGCAGTAGCAGCAGCTGTCCGCAAATGGCAAAAAGCGTGCGAGCCAATATAAATTGTTTTGATTTTTACTTTTTGTTTTTGTATTTGTTGCTGACCAAAATGACTTGCAATGCTTGCATTTTTTATATTCGATTTGCGTCATTCAATCTAAACACAGAGAACCGTTTTTTACTCAGGCAAACAGACACAGATAGCAAAGAAATAAAGAAGTCGAAAAAACAAAAGACAAGCATTTATTCATAATGAAGGAAGAGCAAAAAAGCTTTACTTAAAACAGATCGACAGCAGCTTTGCCGGCTTCAATGCTAATTCATGAGCAAGCCAGACGGAAGAAAAAAGCGCGCGAAATGCGACGTCACGAAGTAACCGTTAATTCAAAGGCAAAACAAGTTACGAGCAGACGAGAGAGCGAACATTTAAAAATAAAATGGACTTGCTGTCACACTGCTGGCAAGCTCCAGCATATAATTGAGTACAGTACAGCTTGACTATAAACAATTGTTTAATCATTATATCAATATTTCAAATAGTATAGTGGTGTTCAAATTTTCTTTAATTCAATTTGATTTTAATGATTCCAAGTCAAAATAGGTAGACAGTAGGCAGTAAAGTCTATAAAGTGCATCAGCTTGTAGTTTGTGTGTCTGTTTTGTAGCTCCCCCATTTCATATGACCCCCAACTCAAGCGGAAAGCACACACAAGTTGGGCTTTCCTATCTCTCTCCCTCGCACACAGACAAACACTTTTTCTCCCTTCCCCAGATTTTTGTCTCTCGCTCTGTCCTCTTCGGCGTATGACTGTTGACTGTTGCAATGGCGTCATCAGCATGAGCACTTTAAAAACTTTTTGCCTGCCCCAAGACTCACACAAACACGTACTGTATATGTTTGTGTGTGTGTCCGTGGAGTGAACAAATGCGCATGACTTGTATATATGTATATTTAAACGTGTTCCAAACATACACTCACACTCGATTCGATGTGACTTGTCGGCTCGAGCCAATGCTTCGTTTTCGTTATTGTGGCATTAAGCCAACAAACAATTTAAGCCAACATGAGTTTTTCCTGCCTGAAAAATTGTGGCAAAAAGAAAGACACAACAAGTAAGAGTGCTTTAATCTAGCCGACTCAACTAAAAAATACCCTATACGCGAATATCAAGTTAAATATTTTATTTACTTAAATAATGCTTGGTTACTTTCCGTTAATATTTGAATACTACATATTAATATTAATCGATTGCAACAAAATAATATCGATATATACAAATTAACGTGGTGTACTTGTGCTATCGAGACTAAAATGTTTTTGTAGAGGGTCAAATCGATTTTGAATACTGAGAAATATATATATATATATATATATATATATTTATATATATATATTTAACTGCAAATTTATTTATGATATACAATATTTATGTTTGAAAAATGCGATTGATACTAATTGAATATTCCCCTTGCTTTTGTCTATTATTAATGGTTCCAGGGTATAAAAATACAAACCCACACACACACACACATTAAAAGTGTACTTTTGCTGCTTGTTGGTGTTGTTGTCGTGCGTCCGACGGGTTGATAAACCGGTTTACTGCTGGCTTGGCTTGGTTTGGGTAAATAAAATAAAGAAAAATGAAAGAAAGAAAGAATGAGATACAAAATGCCATTCGCCATCGCAGTTTGTGTTTATGTGTTCGTGTTCTTAGTTTGACTTTTTGCTTGCCGATAGACAGCCGCCGGCTGCTCAGCTCAGGTAGCGACAATAACTATAGCAGCAACAACAAGAATAGTTGAGCAGTGAAATGTATCTGTTAGATATTACTGTACACTCATCTGCGGCGCTTGAGTTTCGTGATTTATGTATAATTGTGTATGATTTGTAGTTTGTGTGTGTTTGTGATAATGCGTGTGTGTATACATACACACATCAACAGGTTTTTTTCTTTCGACTTTCTCAACTGCGTGGGCGCATGGAACACGTTGCTGCATCCTGTAGCAGCAGCACAGAAGTTGCTGCCACTAGTTTTTTTGGTTCACTTGCAAAACTGGTTTTTGGCGCGCTTTCAAATCTGTTGTGACTCTCGGTCTGCGGCTTCCTTTCACTGTTCGCTGTTCAACTGTTGCCACACAAATTTCGATCGAACAAATATAGATAATTCAACGTAATCAGTCCCAACAGCGAAAAAAAAGCCATGCGCCGCAATCTTAAGCAATAATCACAAAAGTCTTCAAAATTGTTTTAAAAATAAACAAAGCATGGGCACAGCTCTGCTTGAATGCTACAAATACTGCATATATCATATATAATATATACTATACGTATATATATATTTATGTCATAATTGTCTGCTAGACATTTGTTGCCATTATCTGAGCATCTGTGCAATTCGTTCTTGTTTTTGTTTCGTTTCTTTTCGCTGACATTGCTATTAATATGATTATGGTTATTATTGTGGTGGTATGCACAGTACAGTGGACAAAGGCTAATTCAAATTTTTTAGTTCATAATTTGCAATTTGTAAAAGCGTGATTTATTATGGGTTAGAAGTAAAAATTTCATGTTAAAGTTAATATTTTAGAGCTAGTTGTTAGTCGTGCATTGCTCTATGGTTTCTTAAAGTTGCACTTATCGTACGACTACTGTACGCTGTTCAGTTGATTCAAGTCTATGATGTGTCTTCTCATATCTGATGTGCTTATGACAGCCGACCCATGTGTCTCTTCGGTTTGTTTCGACTCATGCACACGCACGCACACACATCAGTATCTACACTTGATGGCTTATCAACTTTTATTTTAATTTTTGTAAATAAATACTGTATGTATGCGATATGAATAGTCGTTCTGTGTGTGTGGTTCATAATCGTCTCAGCCAACTCTTAATTGCACTAATTTTTTAAACATTTATAGTCTATAGTAATATTGGTGCCATAATGATGAAATACAAATTCTGCCATAAGAATGTGGCAGTAGGGCGCAACATACCATATAATATACGTTGGTGATTCAAAAATACCTAAATTTATTAAATAATCAATGTTTTTTGATTTGTCATATCTCAAATATGGAAACGCAAAAGTATTCGCAAGTATTTAATAAAAATGTACAGTCCCTAGTTTTAAAATTATGTTCTTTGATTTTACAAGGAGAAACAGACGAATATCAAAATCAATCTTGTACAAACCAATATACTCTTTCACTTAATCCTGATTTTAAATCTTGAAAGTATCTAATTGTTGCGAGGGTGCAAAACATATTAATGTATGTTAGAATTGAGATACGAAAAATCAAATTTATAGAGATTATTTTATTGACTGGTTTAAATAGTCGAAATGTCATTATTCATGAATGTGAAACAGCGGATATTTCGATTGAAATAAGTTTTTTTTTTTTTTTTTTATTACACTTAACAAAATACTAGAGCAATTGAAAAACTTCGGTTTTTTGAATTTCTAAGCTAGTTAGAAAAGTTCGATATCTTGAACATATATTGTATGCAATTAAAGTGACCTTGAAAATTATAAATATAACAGAAAAGTAGTCTCAACGCGAAAACTCGATCAGTCTTTGTCTTCGCTTATCACGAATGGACGAACTACAGATACAACGACGTTATTCATTTCTGTTCTATTGGTCATGATAAGATACGGGCAAGGAACACGTCAACTAATCCAAAAATCAAACACAATAGAGCAATACCTGAATAGACGTCGCTATTGCTGTCGCTGTTGCTGTTGCTGTTGCTGGTTACTGTGCCTAGTTGTCCGTCTAATCAAAGCAAACCGTTGATAAGCGCTTTGGAAATTCTAGGAACCTGTGGAATGAGGGGGCAATGCCATGTGGTATACTAAATCTTGATTTGTTGTTAATGCGACGATAGCAGCTGCTGCTCCAACAACAACAAGTCTTCCATATACGAACGATAGCAACACTTAACATAAATATATGAAACAACACACGCTGACCCAGACCGAAGCGTTAAATTTCTATGTTCTTGTAGCTCCTCCTCCTCCTTCGCCTCCCTGCACACTCGATGACTGATTGGAGTGTCGTGGGGAGGCAGGGTGCGCAAACAAATAGTATCTTTATCGCTGACAATTGCGAAATCCAAACGAAAACTTGTCATCAGTGAATATTGTGCTGACACTGGCGCGATTTGTTAGCAATTCGTAAGCGATTTGCTGTTAGTACTTTTGACATCAGATTTCATGTTTTTCCATTTAATTTGCATTATTTATGTATATCTATATGTGTATATTGTATTATTTATGTATATCTATATGTGTATTAATTGTATTTTATTTATTTTGCAATTGCAGGATTCTCGATTTCAATATGAAGCGCCAAAAATGATTGCAATGTGTGAATCGTCGTCTTGAAAAAGGTTTTGTTTCCGTTGATTGAAATTAAAGCAACTGCTACACGCAACGAAGAAACAATTGCAAAATCAACACACACAACACAGATCAACAACAACTAGAAGAAGTAAACGTTAAGGAAAGAGATATATATATATATTTATATATATATAATATATATATATACATATATATATTTATATATATAAATAACATACAAATAAGCAGAATCCATAATATATACATATAAAATAAATAAACAAAATAAAATATGGACAAAAATCTTATGATGCCCAAGCGTTCGCGCATTGATGTCAAAGGCAGCTTCGCCAATGGTCCGCTGCAGGCGCGACCGCTGGTTGCGCTGCTGGATGGACGGGACTGTTCAATTGAGATGCCCATACTAAAAGATGTGGCTACAGTGGCCTTCTGCGATGCACAGAGCACATCCGAAATACACGAGAAGGTGAGTAACATATAGTTTAAATATACTTTGTATGACTATCATAATTAATAAATTTTTGTTTTGCAGGTGCTAAACGAAGCAGTTGGTGCCTTAATGTGGCACACCATTATCTTGACCAAGGAAGATCTTGAGAAATTCAAAGCTTTACGCATCATTGTGCGCATTGGCAGCGGCACAGATAACATTGATGTCAAAGCCGCTGGCGAATTGGGCATCGCTGTATGCAATGTCCCTGGCTATGGTGTCGAGGAAGTTGCAGACACAACAATGTGCTTGATATTGAACCTATATAGGCGCACCTATTGGCTGGCGAATATGGTGCGCGAGGGCAAAAAGTTTACGGGCCCCGAGCAAGTGCGAGAAGCGGCGCATGTACGTATAGTGTGAAAGATCGCACGATCATCTACTTATATATATTATTGACCTTTATAATATTTCTGTAATCTTTTCTAAAGGGTTGCGCTCGCATACGTGGCGATACCTTAGGCTTAGTTGGTTTGGGTCGCATTGGCAGCGCTGTCGCGTTGAGAGCAAAAGCATTTGGCTTCAATGTAATATTCTACGATCCCTACCTACCCGATGGCATTGATAAATCTCTCGGCCTCACACGCGTCTATACGCTGCAAGATCTGCTATTCCAGTCCGACTGCGTTTCACTGCATTGCACGCTCAACGAGCACAATCACCATTTAATCAATGAATTCACAATTAAACAGGTATTTAAACGTTATGACCTCTGAATGCGGAACAATTATATGATTAATTATTGTAATTGAAATAGATGCGACCTGGTGCATTTCTGGTGAACACCGCCCGCGGCGGTCTGGTGGATGATGAGACTTTGGCGCTGGCACTGAAACAGGGTCGGATAAGAGCAGCCGCATTGGATGTGCACGAGAACGAACCATACAATGTATTTCAAGTAAGAGATTGTTGTAAAACGAAACATTTTACGCAATCTGAGACGACGCCCACAATCAAGCTTGATATGTTTTATACTAATTGAGATTCATTTCGAATTGGCTTGCAGGGCGCACTGAAAGATGCTCCAAATCTAATTTGTACACCACACGCCGCCTTCTTCAGCGATGCATCCGCAACAGAGCTGCGCGAAATGGCAGCCACCGAAATACGACGAGCGATCGTCGGCAATATTCCAGAAGTGCTGAGGAATTGCGTTAACAAGGAGTACTTCATGCGCACGCCGCCAACCACTGCGGCTGGTGGAGTTGCGGCGGCTGTTTATCCCGAAGGTAAACTACAAATGATATCAAATCAAGAAAAGTAGTGGGAGGCTGAAACAGATGCCAGGGAGAGAGCGTTACAAACAACATAACAAAAAAAAAAAAAGAAAATTGAAAACAAAATTCGAAACAAAAAACCAGAAACAGTAACAGAAATCAGAAATCGTTTAAACAATCACAATTACACACATACACATACAAACACACACTAACACACGCACACACACAAAACAACACACACACATTAATGCAGCGAGCGTCTACATATATACATACTTCTATTCTTCTGATTCATTTCAAAGCACACATACATATAAATACATATATAGAAAGTGAGAGAGAGAGAGAGAATCGCGTTGAATCAAGATTTCAAGAACGCGTGCTATAAAAGTTGATATATAAGTTAAACAGTTTAAGCTATATAAATATATATACAGAAAATATATATATATATATATATATATATATATATATATATATATACATATATAGCAACACAAACATGAATAATGGATATGTTGAGTAGAAGGTTTAGATGCGCGACCGATGTTGGGTAAAAAGTTATAAATGATTATACATACACTTATATGAATCCATATATGCAAAGCTAGCTATACGAACCGTAAAGCAAAGTAACAACTTTTGCGTACTAACTCAAAGATACATCTTCAGAGAAATACAAAGGAATACCGCTTAGAAGAGCACAGTTGGATCTTAAACAAAACAGCGACCAGGTTTTGGGAATTTGTTTTATTTTTATACTTACTCTTTTTGTTTATTTTGTTTGTTTTCTCTTTTTGACAAGTCCCTAAATTTATCAGAAATTATTGTTGAAACTGATTCCAAATGGTTTTTTATTGGAATTTGACTGCTATATATTTATTAACAAAAAAGTCGTTTTGTCCTCCCAAAAAATGAAAAAAGTGATCTGGCGCAGACTCCCAAAAAAAAGTTGTCAGCGTTTGTAGCTAGCTTAAAACTGTAATTTCTTTGTAGAATGTACAAAAAATCTATATTTATATATATGTATATAAATATATATGTATATATACATATATTTATATGCGTATGTAGATATGTATTTATGTATGTATGTATGTATATATGTTTGCATATGTATACAAAATTCATAATTACTTACAGCAAAAGGTGAAAGTAAACAATTTGATGGATTGTTGTTGTTAATTGTTTTGAGACCCCTGCCTCACACACTTAATCTAACTAACGATCTATACAAAACAACCAAATAAATAAATAAATAAACTCAACAGATTAATTATTACAAAACAAATGTAAGAGATTTTGTTCAAGCACATATATATTATATATATATATATACATATATCGTATTATACGTTGTAATATTTACTAACTAACCACACGCGATAGACATTTTTTATATATATATCTGTAGCTTCCAAATGCCTCCAAGATTTTGTAATTATCAAGCGAGAAAACGTATTATTTATAAGAATCGATTGATTTTGCGCCATAAATTACTGACTTTCCTTTAAGATATATTTATATATATAGAGCTATATATATATGCTATACATATTGAAATTGCATTGAAATTAAAAACAGAACCTTTGTTAAAAAAAAAAACAATTTATTTGTTGCTCAATACACTGCTCTATAAATGCAAAATGCAAAATGATCTCATCATCCGTGTTTATTTTCGCCTTGCCTAAAGATCTTAATTATGCTGAGACCAGAACAGAAGTAATTATTTAAATACGTTTATACACAACAACAACACACACACAAACATATACACACACACACCCACACAATAATTATTGAAAACAACAACACGGCGCGTTAATATAATTAAACCACATCTATAAATAAATATAAAATTAATATAAAAGAAAAATGCGAGAAAAGTAATATTAATGCATAGTCTATGTACATTTAAAACATAACAGAAATTATATTAAAAACAAAATAAAACAACAAAAAAAAAATACTATTAAAAACTTAGATTTACATTATTGAGGAGAAAATAAGAGAAAAAGAAAAAATACAAAAAAAAAAAGAAAACACAGCACATTATGATCAACCGAGTCATCGGTATATCTAAGAATTGTTAGCGTGTAAAATGTAAGAATATTTACAAAAAAGAAAAAACAAAACGAAACAAAAAAAAACGGCGCAAAGTATAATTTTGTAAAATTTTTGCAATTTAAGTTAATAATTAAACAATTAATGCAATTGACGCCAATTTTTCACAACTATTCTTTATTAATTTTCGCTCAAGACCAATTCAAGCAGAACATAAAAAATATTCCTTACGAAAAAATAATATAGACATAAATGCATCAACAGTTTTATTTCTTATTTTTATGATGTAATTTATTTTGTTTTCAAGCTGATAAAATTTGTTAATTTCAAGCACAAAACATAAATACGCATAGAAATACACACAAATCTAAATATGTATCTGTATATATATATATATATATATATATATATATATATATATATATATGTATACACACGCATATACACACAATCCCAACACACACATATATACACATATATATATTATATATATATATATATATATATATATATATATATATATGCACACACGATCCTACGAGTATATAAACAAGCTGCAACAAAATAAAACTGAGCAAAAGAAAGGAAATTAATAAGCATAAGCGTAAAAGTAAAAGTAAAAGAGACAAAAGAATAAAATACTGTTATTTTGTAATGTATAAAAATATTTTTAATAACTGTGAAAGCTAAATAAAATTAAACAAAAAAAGTATAAAAAAAAAAACAATTGAAACAGAGCAAGTTAATTTCGAGAAAAGAAAAACCAACCAACAAAACCTTTCCAGAAAATATAAAGAAAAAAAAAACGAGAGACGAAGAAAAAAAAATCAAATAAAAGAAAAACTTTAAAGAACCAATTTTTGTTGCTTTTGTGTGGCGCATTGTTGCAAAATTGTTTAACAAGAACATTAATTAAATTTTTTTTTATACAAATTTATATTTACATTATTTTCCATTTCGGGATGATGGCATCATTTGAGTGCAGAGCAGAGCAAGCTTTAAATCAATATCTTTAAACAATATCTATTAAGATATATATTAGACTTAGTTGTCCAATCCCCTCTAAAAACATTAAGTCGAAAGTCAGTAATTTATGAACGTCGGCCAACGGAATTGATAGTTCATATTTTAGACTATATAGGTACGCATTGTTTATAAGGCAAGCAAACAAATAAAACACATTTGATCAGCTGGGAGCTAGTTGTATAGGCGCCTGTTCTGAACTCATTCGCATCACATATATATGCATATATACATATTATATCTAGTATATATATATATATGCATCTATATCTCTTTCCTATTCGCCACTTGCCCTTCTTAGACCACACGCAGCCACCACAAAAATCGAGAAACAACAATATAACTGAAACTCCCTTACATTCAACTCCCAACTCTTTCCTCTAAAGAATATTAAGTATACCAAGATAAACAGCAACATATTATTAACTTTACCTAAATATCAACAAATACAAACAAATCGAAATACAAAACAGGATTAAATGGCGGCTATTATACAGGCGCACTGCAACATCGGGCACACAGCACCACACCGCACGATGGTCCCCACAGTACAACAAATCTTGGCAGCGGTAGCGGCGGCGGCGGCAGCAGCGGCGTCGTCGTCGGCATTGGCAGCGGCAGTAACGCAAGCAGCGCTGCTTTGATACCGCCGCCACCGACGGCAACCAGCAACAACTCTGTGACGGCGGCTGCTGTCGCTGTGGCCGCTGCAGCGGCAGCGGCTGCTGCGCTCCTGCCATCAACGGTACCACCACAAAATGCAGCTGTGCCAACCGTGCCGCATTTGTCGCCGCAAGTTGGTGGATTGCCGCTCGGGATTGTGAGTAGCCAATCGGTAGGTACCACCAGCCAGCACTGAGTGTTGTGTGCGTGTGCGTGTGTGTCGTGTGTGTGTGTGCGAAAACAGATAAATACAGTGTGTGCTCCAAACAAAACCCAAAAAAAAACATTCGAATACCGAAAGTTGTTTGTGCCCCGTATACTGTGTTTGTGTGCGTATGTGTGTGTGTGTACGTGTGTGGTCTAGCTTGTGTTGTTGTTGTTGTTGTTGTTTCATGTTGTTGTTGTTGATGTTTGTTATTATTATATTGGTCATTAGTTGTTGTTTGCCTAGGCTAGGGTTTACTAACACCTCTTACGTTTTTGTAAACTATATATATATATATAAATATATATATATGTATAGTATATACATACATACATGCATACGTACGTACGTACTTTTATTATAATTTGAAAAGTAATGCATTTCTAATTCCCATTTACATCTTGCTTTTAGCACCTGAGTGCGCCCGACCCTAATAACCATCTGTCATCGAGCATTAAATCTGAAGTGAAGGTCGAGTCAATGGAGGCGCCGTAGGCTGGGCAGGCTGCTGCTGCATCCTTTGCTGGAGGCAAAAACACACAAAATATTTAAAAATTAAATAAATTTAAATAAAAAAAAAAAACACAAAAACAACAACAGCAACAAAAACTGGTGTGACAACGGGCAGTGAAACGCTCACAGGGAGCAGGTAGAGCAGATCGAATAAAATGGCAATCCAACTACGATATAAACTGGATGACATTCGTTTACAATGTGATTATAAACATTTGTTGTAATGCCCCAAATTTGCAGTTAACAAACGTAAATCACTTGCAACTGCGGCATTCTCTGTGAACAACTGCGCCCAGCCTTTGATTTGAATTTTTCCAAGTTTCTAAGTTATAATTTAAAATACGATACATATTTGCATTACCAATCTAAAAAACAAAAACAAAAAAATACTTAAAAACCATAAAAGAAATCTCTTCCTAAACACACACGCATAACACACCTCAAAATTAACTACGTACGTATTTAGTATTTAATTTGTAACTATTTAGAATTTTACAGTTACAATTTAAGACTTTTATTTGTATTGCAGCAAATTGTAAGAGAAAGATATGTTACCTACATATAAGCGCAAAAACAAAACTAAAAAACAAACACAAACGAAAATGTTGGAAATTTTAACTTAAAAACAAAAAATAGAAAGGAGAGAAGAAAAAACACAAGATTTATGGCAAACACCCACACACACACACATTAAAGAGAGACGTTTAGTGCTTAAGATACGTTTAAAGTATATAATAAAAACAAAACAAACGCAGTGTATATATGTATGTGTAATACATCTTTACATATGATAGTACTTAAATATGATATAATATGGAGCTAAATCGTATTTGATCTATCATAGTCAAGCTAAGATTTGTAAAATCTTTCGATTTCTTAGTTTTGTATTTTGCAATATATTCTTTTATTCAAATTAAGGTTAGAAGGTTATCCAGGGATATTTGTCGAAAACAATTATTTTGAATTTTTTTAAATTTCACGATGAAATTGTGTTTTTAAAGTAAGTATCTAGAGTGGAATATAATAGTTTATTGTTCTATTTAGGAACTCATTTAAGAATATTTGTATAGCAAAGTTTTAAATAGATGTATTTGTATGGGGACATTTGCATAGCAATTGTGATATTTGGCAAGGTTCTATATAAGAGTATTTGTATGGCAAGGTCTTATATAGGAACATTGTTTCTTATTCCTAAAGACAAAATCAAATTTAAGTCGAAATTAGCAACAGCTTAACTACATTTGTAGCTTTCTTATAGTTTGAAAAACAATTTATTTAGAAATTCAAAAATGTCCTTAGAAAAGAAACCACATTTTTTTTTTTGGGGTATGTAAACTTTTATTTGAGTCAATTATACACAAAGTGGGATGCTGAAAGAGTTTTTCGGGTGGTTCACTATTTTAAATGCTAAATAACACCAGTTCTAAATTAGCACAAACTACGCAGCATCAAAAACAAATTGGCTTGTATTTGTAATACCATTTTTTGAAGATACAGTTCAAATGTATTTGTAGTAAAGTATTGCTAGATAGGTTATTTTTTGTTTTATTTTAGTTTAGAGCTTATTTGTTTTCGTTTTCCATTTTTCATTTTTCATTTGTGTCTTTATTGTAAAATTCCTCAATATAATATGCAACATTTAACACACGGCCATACTTCCAATATCGAAGGTCCATCACGTTTCCACTTAGTATCTAAAAAGTTCAGAGTTTCTACTACGGAATGAATAACATTTACATACACATGGATTAAGTCGAAAGTGTAAGTGTTTCTATCAGCCCATGGGCTCGGGCACGTTCACATTTAGAGTTTTGTTCAAAAATAATTTTTTGTTTTATACAATAAACTTCGGAATTGTTGTCTTTTGTTCTTGTGGCCTGCCCAGAAACCATTTAAATCTGCAACTACGACCTCTACCTGGTCCAAACAAAAGAAACGATTCTAACTAACTGTGTGATGTTTCGTTTTATCTTTAAGAACTATGCAGCAACAATTTAAAATTAAGTCCTTTTGTATAAGAATTGAATATGGATTGATATATTCACAGTCGCGATATCCATAGCCCAGTACGTAGCTATATATATATATATATATATAATATATATATATAATATATATATGATATATATATATAATATATATATGATATATATATATAATATATATATGATATATATATATAATATATATATATATATGAGATATATATCATGCACACGTGCTTATCTATTTTCATTTAGTTTCAGATTTGTTGGGTTTTTAAAACCAGGAATATGTTTGAATGTTTTTTTTGGTTTGCACACATAGTATATATGTATATATATATATATATATATATATATATATATATATATATATATATATATATATATATATATATATTCATGTACATATATGCCTGTATATATATATTCATATATATATATATATATATATATATATATATATTTATATTTATGATTGTGTATAAACACTTTCTATCAAAAGCATCAAGTACTCGCAATACTTATTATGTTGTCAGTGCCCATTTCAAGTGCTGCCGGGCTTCTTTTCACTTAATAACGAAAATAAATTCAACAAAGATATATAGAAAAGCATGCATCTCAATGAAAATTAAAAGAAACGCGTAAGACGCGGCCGCAAAAAACGAAAAGCGCCATAGGCGCCCAGTCCGATGAGTCCATACTTGAATGTATTCTTGCAGAGCCGCTGACTGAGGCTGGCTTGTGGTATTTCGAGTATGGCTGGTATCTTTTCGGGATCCACTTGACCCCACATCTTTGCAATACCATTGGCATGTCCAATGCCCACAACGCCAACGACTCGGACGGGACGCACCTGATGGGCGCCGGGGGCCGCTTGTGGCAGTGCGGCCAATTGTAATGAGTGGCACAGATACAGATCACGTTCACGTACAAATACATCCGAGAAGGCTGGAAACTCGCCAGCCATTTCCTGCATAAGTTTCTCAAGTAGATCTTGCTTCTTGCACTCCTCCACCTCCTCGATGCTGATGCTGTCCGTGAAGGTCAGGCGCCATACCAGCTTCATGGTCTGCCACAACGACAGAGCGCGCAGAGCACGATAAAGTGTGATGCGTATAGGTCGATCGCCTAAATGTAGAATGCAGCCAGGCAGCTTGTGTATCTCCTCGAAGGCGCGACGAAACTCCCCGCCCGGTGCCATACCCAAATCCTTGGCAATTTGTGCACTCATCTGCAGCAGCAGAATAAAGAAGATGCCATTAATATAGCCATGAGTCTGAAGTATGCCGCGAATCTGCAGGTTATTCAACTATGTTAGCATATGAATATTGAGAGGTGATTTAGTTTAGTTGCCTTGGGAATATTGATATTCTTGGCCTCCTCTAGCAGCGTCTTCTCATCGAGTTTCAGTATGTGTACACGGGATGGACATAGCTCCACCATAACCACATCTGGACGGACATTACGAATGACCTGTGGGACAAATAAGTAAAAGATTAGCATATGCTTGATGGAACACAGCTCAGTTGGTATTCTCACATAAGAGACGTCATCCTGGGATTCCTCGCTAAAGTGTGCCGTGCCTACCAAGTAGACCTTGCTGCCGAACGGCGTGTTCAATAGGGTCACTGTCGACGGTAAGTTTTGATCGAATTCCTCCAAAGTATCATAGATCATAATTTCACGTTTAGTTTGCGGTTGATCGATGATGGCTGCAGCCGGCTCAGCTAACTGCAGCTGCCGTTCGCTGACCCCATCTGCTGCTGCAGATGCCTCAGCTATTGATATGTCCAATTTTTGTTTGCTGGACTGCAGCAGGGTGTCGGCTTTGCGGCGTCGCTTCTCGGATGCATTGTCGGCAACTTTGCTGGGCGACTTCTTAAGTATATTTTTAACCTTTTCAACAGCCTCATTATTATCGTCGGTGGAGAGCTGCTCAATTAGTACCACCTCTTTCTCAAGATCCTCCTCTTTAATAGAATTCTCATTTATTTCTATAATTGACAAATTGGGATTATCGGTCTTAAATATTGTCTTATTGGCCAGCTGAGACTTTGGATCGACCTCCTCCTGTGAGGTATTCGTATCGGTGCTCTCGGATTGCAGCAACAACATGCTGGCATTAATTGCTGCAGTATTTGATGTATGGGAGACGGAAGCGGGCATACCATAGATGTTAAAAGCAGCCATATCCTCTAAATTTCCATTTCCGTTGTGGGCATCGTAGTTCTCAATGTTTAACACTTTGTGGGCCAAATTTGCGTATCCAGCACTTTGATTGATATCTCCATTTATGCTTTCTGTGAATTTAAAATGAATGTGTCGTGGATTAATATAAAATATATAAGGGCAACGTTCTTTAGAAATTGGTTAAGATTATAAGTCGTATGTCTCCTGATCATATAAGGTTTTCAGCTCAGCCAAATACGATGAAGTGTGCTGCTTATCTGTACAGGTTTCGTTTAGGAAATCCTGGAGCAGTTCGAAGCAGTGATTCCTAATCTGTTCAGCATTTAATCGTTGGGATTGTTCATTCTTGGACAGCTTCGCTTCGTACTTATCAGCCAGCTTCGAGGCCAGAACTGTTTGTTTTTTCTTTATAATATCCTTGTACTTGAGCTCTTGTGCCTGATATGCCTGCATGCGCAGCGTGTGCATTGTTTTGGCCAGCTCAACGTCGATGTGCATGCAGTGCTCCATTAACGTCTGATCTTCCGCGAAGGGTCTGAATATTTGAACTAAAAACTTGTGCGGAAACGTAATACGTGTTTGGGCATTGACCGCCAAGTGTGTGGACTTCATGAGTTCTTGTTTGATGTTCTGATTGAAGAGTTGCTTTTGCTGAGTTTGTTGGCTCAGCTTTTCTAGAGACTGCTCCATATGTTCGTTCTCGATACTTAGCGCAGAGAGATGCAGTTGTATGGTATGCAGTTGTCTTTTGAGCGATGATTGTTCAAACTTAAGCTGGCCATGGAGCTGCAGCACCTGCTGTAGCTGCTGCTCTTGCTCACTGCTTGGTAGCGGCTCTGCGTCATGTTTTGTGTTGGCATCACTCATGCTTAAATGTGTAATGATTTACTCACAGCTGTAGCGCTGACGAATGAAGTGCCAAGGCCAACTGAACATTTCAAATAGTCCCTTCTACCAATAAACGAACTAAAGTTTTAGCTCCTTACTTTGCTACTTACCATTGCAGGATCTGTAGTTTTCTGTTGGTGATAACTGATGCTCCACAGCGCTGGCATAGAACGTACTATCTCCAATAAACGATTTGCTCTTTTGTTCCGGTGTTCCCATTGTCGAGTCGCTTGAAGTTGATGCTGATAAATCCATTTGTGCACAATCGGTGGTTTTATATATATATTGTATATATATAAATAGATATATACAGTGAGGGTGTCGTTGAGCTGTGTGCGGGTGTGTGTCTTTGTATGCACAGCTGCTGCCTTGGAAGAATTGGTTACGGATGCAAATTCGGTTTCAGTTTGGTAGCTGTTCCTTTAACCACGTATCTACGTATCTATTTTTGTATATTAATTGTGTGTACGTAGCTCGAACATCAGTTGTTTTTGTTGTGGTGAGTACCGCAATCGGTGAATAACTGTAAGTATATAAAATAATGAGAGAGGGAGAGATCAGCTGAGAGGTACCAATAGATAATTCCAGTCGACCTCCTATCACGAACTTAAAATTTCAAAGAATCTGCGTACGTGTACATGTTTCTTGATGTTAAATACAAAGACTAATGTCATAATGACATATGGATTTCCAAAAACACAAAAGTATTCGGATACTCTGGTTTTTTTAAATTATTATCAGCTGCTGCTATCGACACTATTTTGATTTTGTTTTGCTTTCGTCAGCTAGTTGTACAAGCACATACATACATACGTACCAATGCATGTGTATATGTATGTATGCATGATTGTGGCTAGTGCAGCAACTTACCTGAAAGTCTTATGTTATTGTGCGCAGACCTATAATTGACGTAAAATTTATGCGGGATGTATTGTTGCTTGCTTTGCTTTTGCACTTGCTTGCATTTGTTTTGTATTAAACGAAAAACCAAAAAACTAAAGAATGAAATTGTGATTGTGGCAAACTGAGCTAGAGCGTTCGCTTCTTCTTGCTAGCGTTAACCAGTGCTGCCTATAATATCAAAATAATTTCGTATGCATACAGTGCATGTGCATGGTTTATGATTTGTATTTTACTGAAATAGGTTTAAGAGTTAAATAGCATTTCATATAATAATTTTTGTGTCAATTGTGTATAGATTATGTATATTCAAATGACTCAGATAAAGCTAAAATAATTTGCATGATGTAAATGGCTTGTCATACAAATATTTTTTTAATTTCGGCACAGTACGGCAACATTGTTCATAAACAGCTGTTCGCCGCGTTTTGTAGGAATTTTACTGTTGAAAAAGTGTAATTTAAATTTGATCAATAACAATGTCAGATGATGCAGAGGCGCCCAAAAAGGTAAGTGACAACAGAACATTTCAAACTGTAGGATATCTTATGTGATAATTATGTTTAATTCCGAGCAGAGCTTCTACATATTTGGACGGGATGTTGCTCAGATACCTTGCTTTCGTAACAGTTTTCTTTATGGCATCAGCGGCGGCATAGGGGTCGGCGTTTTGGCATTCTTAGGCACCTCTCGCCCCCACTTGGCCACGCATATTGGTTTCGGCTCCTTCTTTTGTGGCACAATGGTCTATTGGATGGCCTGCAGGTGAGTTGCAATAGGTTATGGCCGACATTCATTCTTATCAAATGCTTCTACCGGCAGGTATCAATGGTCGGCGAGGCGCTTTGAGCAACAACAACTGCGCGAGGCCATGCGCCGGCAAGCCATGTACGAGGGCACAACAGTCGAGCGTGAGTTGGATATTAAGTCGGCGTAACGTGTAGTATATATATGTATATATACAGACTGGCTAACACTTTAGAGTCATATATTCAGACGAGTTTGAGCTGAATCATGTATATATAAGATTGTTTTAAGATTCATAACTTTGCTGTCGAGTAAGTTTAATGCCCCGAGTTGTATATATTCAATGTACATATACACGAAAGCGTATATTTGAGCGATAAGGTATAGTTGTGGAATATTTAAGTGCAAAATACAAATACATATACACTAAACGCCTCCCAGGCATATGTATACATATATATGTACTTGTTTCAAATCTATTTAAGTTAGTTTAATTGTCAATAAATTATGTAAATTTGTTAAATGAATTCAGAAAGTTTATGTTGCTCTAACAAAGGCTCTTGATTACTTTTTATATTGATTGCTGTTTGGCGCCCATTTTGTAGCTATTAATTAATTCGGGGCTTATTAACTTTGTGCAAGCGTATGTAACAAGCAGTTGACATAAGAGTTCAGATATTAATAGTCTAGAAAAAAACAGTTATATATTGTAAACTATATAAGAATTATGTTTTGATATGTTTGTTAGACTTGACCTTTCTGACGTTTGAAATTTCAATACCATCAAAATGAATTGGAAAACATTAAATGAGAGGCACGCAGCCTTAAAAAAAGTCGTACATGATCCATCCGCACTTAATTACTTGTAAAAATGTATATGCGTAATTGCTTTTAAATTAGCCTATCAGGTAACGAACAACCGAAAGTTACAAGCGATCCTGATAATTGTCGTTAGGCTCGGCTCGCTTCGGGTCGGCTCGTTTCGGCTCGTCTCGTCTCGTTTAGATTCGTGCCGCCTCTAATCTCAAAACTGACGAGCCTCAGCGTCAAAACGATTTTGATTCTTAATCGAGCCGGTCGTGTTTTGTACGGAGTGTGTATTGTGTGTTGTGTGTGGGCACAGTCAATGAGGAAACACCCAGATCTGGCTTTTGAACAATTGCATATTTTATGTACAAAAATAGCTGAACACGTTTTGTACTATATTTAGAGGAATAAATATATATATATAAGTATATAGAAAACTTAAGTAAAATGTCAAAATCAGCGAAGGGAGCAACGTCTGTTTTAGTGTTTTTTGTTAATGGCAAAAAGGTAAAGTAATTTGAATAAAAAAATTTTATTGTCTTTCATATTAAAGTCTATGATTTCACGATAAAATTGGTGTACATTCATTTCCTTTATTTGGTTACGAAACTTAGTTGTTTTTCATTATTTGGAGTGGGCAAAAGCTATTCAGATCATGCCCGTTTGCTTTGCATTCAATTGAACAGATCGAGCGATCTTTTTCTGTTAAATAAATTGATTGCGATTGTGTTGCTGATAACAATTGACCTACAATCATGGGTCACTGTTGCTTTTGTGGGGGGGTGCCAACGTCACGCCTTATCAAGAACATTCCTTTCGCCAAGCGCCTTCTGCATATAATAAACTCATATAAAGATATGAATTGCTTCAGCACTAAAGTCTAGCATTACTTCATTTGAACAGCCGACTGTATATTTTTTAAATAAAAGCTTATTTTTTATTTTTAACATTTATGGAACAGCGTGGAGTACAATAAAAGTGCGTACATAAATTACGACACGTGAAGTCTACCGAAATGTTTTATAAATAGATAAAAACAGCAACAATCTCCTTGGCCACATTCAGCGGGCTGTGACTATCTTGAATGATATGATAACGTCTGCTCTTCACACTTGCCACAGATACCCGTGCATGTAGTGTAAAAGGAAGGTATATTGGCTCTTTGAAATGTGTGGCCGAGGCAGACAGGTTTAAACTGAACAATTTTGGTACTGCGAACGACCTACTTTCCAGATCAATATCTATGAGTTACACGATTCGCCCGCCTATATTGCTATCTGATCAACGGCAACTATAAGTGGATTGTTTGTTTAACAAGGTTTATGGCATTTATTACAAGTAAAGCACATATTGCATACTGAATACATATGCAGCCAGTGTAATAAAATTGGCAGACACAAATGCATTCAATAAACTAAGCGCGTGTTGTTTTTCAAGTGGCTCGCCTGATAATGACAGATAATAAAGCATTTCATGTCAGTCGATGGCTAAACAGGTTCAACCTGTTTAGGCGGCGGAAAATTGAGAATTTTCGAAATAACTTTTGAAAGTATTCAGTTGTTAAAATTTTCATTTATATAGTATTGTTTATCTTCTATATACATGTTACATGTTTTTACAAAATACAAGCAGCTTGTCTGTCCAGCTATATCAAGAACATTCCTATTCAATCAAGGCCAGACTTCGCCAAATTCATTTGAGTATTTTATGGCTGACAGACAAAACCACAAATATTTATTAATATAGTCATAGTTATTATTCTATAAATTAATTTTTATTTGCCTTTTTTTACATAACGTTGCTATTATTTATATTTCATATATACTTTTTTTTTTAATTTAATTTGCATTTATTTTTAAGCTTTGAGCGCTACTTTAAAAATGTAATTTAAGAAATATAATATAGTTTATATGTTAAAAAAATATAATATAATTTAAGAAATATATAAAATATAAAATATTTATTTTATATTTAACTGAATATAGGTTTACATTTTATTTAAAAACTTTGCATTTTATTTAAATTAATATTTATTTAGAAATATAATATAATTTATGAAATATATAAAATATTTATTTATATTTAACTGAATATAGGTTTACATTTTTTTTAAAAACTTTGCATTTTATTTAAATTAATATTTATTTAGAAATGTAGTATAATTTATATATTAAAAAATATAATATAACTTAAGAAATATATAAAATATTAAATATTTATTTATATTTAACTCAATATATTTTAATTAATATTTATTTAGAAATACAATATAATTTATATATTAAAAAATATAATATAATTTAAGAAATATATAAAATATAAAATATTTATTTATATTTAACTCAATTTGGATTTACATTTTTTTTTAAAACTTTGCATTTTATTTAAATTAATATTTATTTATGTATTTTTTTATTTATTATTTATTTCTAAAAAAAAACAAAGCTTTTTTTGTAGCCTTTTATATTATTTATATATTTATATATTACAGATTTAATATATTTATATATTATAGATTTAATATATTTATATATATATTATAGACTTAAGTTTTTTATGCTTCATAAATTTTCTTTATTTTTTCAAATATTTAAATATAAATATTAATTTTCAGTTTTTCATTTCAAATAATTTTCCATTGCAAAATTCCGCTGATAAAATTTGACACAGATTTAAGCTGAGTTTGCAGATTAAACTAAGTAAATATATATATATATATATATATATATATATATATATATTATATATATATATATATATAAGTATGAGAATATTATATATGTGAAGATGCTAGTTGCAGCTAAGACAGCCTTCAGTTATTCGAATGTTGTTTTGCGCTGATTACGGAGCATCTGCAAGTCTTGGCATACCCGACTTGTCTCAAGTAGCTACAAAATTTGTAATGACTTTGCGGTAAAAAAACCTAATCGGAGTTTTATTTGAACTGCGTCAGCTCGCAGTCAGGGCTCGGCACGTGAAAGATATAATTAAAGATTTCAAAGAATTCATTCAAAATTACAGATAAAGTTCATTGCTCTAAGAGTAATAAAAATATATATATATATAAATATTGTATTAACTTTATCTGTGACAGGTAATTGATGGCAGTCCCGATCCGGAATGCACGCTGCTTACCTATCTGCGCGTGAAGCTGCGTCTGTGCGGCACCAAGCTGGGCTGCGGCGAGGGAGGTTGTGGTGCGTGCACCGTTATGATCTCTCGGCTGGATCGTCGCAGCAACAGGATACAGCACCTGGCCGTGAATGCCTGCCTGACGCCCGTGTGTGCCATGCACGGCTATGCAGTGACCACGGTGGAGGGCATAGGCAGCACACGCACCCGCCTGCATCCGGTCCAGGAGCGTCTGGCCAAGGCGCATGGCTCGCAGTGCGGCTTCTGCACGCCCGGAATTGTGATGTCAATGTACGCGCTGCTGCGCAATGCGGCGCAGCCGTCGATGCGTGATCTGGAGATTGCCTTCCAGGGTAATCTGTGTCGCTGCACTGGCTACCGGCCCATCCTGGAGGGCTACAAGACATTCACCAAGAATGCTCCCTGCGGCATGGGCGATAAGTGCTGTAGAGTAAGTGGCAAAGGATGCGGAGGTGGCGACAACACGGACGACAACACGGACGACAAGCTGTTCGAGCGCAGCGAATTCCAGCCCTACGATCCCAGCCAGGAGCCCATCTTTCCGCCAGAGCTGCAGCTAACGGCAGCATACGACGAGGAGAGCCTGATCTTTCGCTCGGATCGTGTGACCTGGCATCGACCGACACAGCTTCAGGAGCTGCTCCGGCTGAAGGCTGACTATCCGAATGCCAAGCTAATTGTGGGCAACACCGAGGTGGGCGTGGAGATGAAATTCAAGAACTTGCTCTACGCTGTGCTCATCAATCCCATCAAAGTGCCCGAGCTGCTGGAGCTGCGCGAATCGGAGGACGGCGTTTACTTCGGTGCTGCCGTCAGCCTCATGGAAATCGATGCATATCTGCGCAAGCGCATCGAGGAGCTGCCGGAGTCACGGACTCGCCTATTCCAAAGCGTCGTCGACATGCTGCACTACTTTGCTGGCAAGCAGATACGCAATGTGGCGTGTCTGGGCGGGAACATAATGACCGGCAGCCCCATCTCCGATATGAATCCTCTGCTGACGGCAGCTGGCGTGCGTCTGGATGTGGCCAGCCTAGCTGACGGCAGGCGCTCGGTGCACATGGGCGCCGGCTTCTTCACCGGCTATCGACGCAACGTCATTCAGGGCCACGAGATTCTGCTGGGCATACACATACCGAAGACTACGCCGGATCAGCACGTGATAGCCTTCAAGCAGGCGCGCCGTCGAGACGACGACATTAGCATCGTCAATGCGGCCGTCCATGTCAGCTTCGAGCCCGCCTCCAATGTGGTGCAGCGCATACAAATTGCTTTCGGTGGCATGGCACCCACCACGGTGCTGGCCCCACGCACATCCGAGCTGATGGTGGGCCAGCGCTGGAGTCAGGCGCTGGTGGAGCGCGTGGCGGAGAGTCTGTGCATAGAGTTGCCCCTGGACGCCTCGGCGCCGGGTGGCATGATAGCCTATCGACGCGCCTTAGTTGTCAGCCTGTTCTTTAAGTCCTTCTTGGCCATCAGCCGGAAGCTGTGCGATGCCGGCATCATGCCGCCGGATGCAGTGCCCAAAGCGGAGCTCAGTGGCGCCGATGTCTTCCACACGCCCGCCCTGCGCAGTGCCCAGCTGTTTGAGCGCGTTGCCAGCGATCAGCCCAGTCATGATCCGATTGGTAAGCCCAAGGTGCATGCAGCTGCCCTGAAACAGGCCACCGGCGAGGCCATCTATACCGATGACATTCCACGCATGGATGGTGAGCTCTATTTGGCGCTTGTGCTCAGCACGAAGGCGCACGCCAAGATCACCAAGCTGGACGCCAGCGAGGCGTTGGCTTTGGACGGCGTTGAAGGCTTTTTCAGTGCCAAGGACTTGACGCAACACGAGAACGAGGTGGGCCCCGTGTTCCATGATGAGTACGTCTTTGCCAACGACGAGGTGCATTGCTATGGTCAAATTATAGGCGCCATAGCTGCGGCCAACCAAGCGCTGGCCCAGCGCGCGGCGCGGCTGGTGCGCGTGGAGTACGAGGAGCTGCAGCCAGTGATTGTGACCATTGAGCAGGCCATTGAGCACGCGTCCTATTTCCCCGACTATCCCCGCTATGTGACCAAGGGCGATGTGGTGCAGGCCTTCGCTGAGGCAGCGCACGTCTATGAGGGCAGCTGCCGCATGGGTGGCCAGGAGCACTTCTATCTGGAGACTCATGTGGCATTGGCTGTGCCCCGCGACCGCGACGAACTGGAGCTCTTCTGCTCCACTCAGCACCCGACGGAGGTACAAAAGTTGGTCGCCCATGTGGTCGGTCTGCCAGCCAATCGAGTTGTCTGTCGCGCCAAGCGTCTGGGCGGTGGCTTCGGCGGCAAGGAGTCTCGTGGCATGATGGTGGCATTGCCCGTCGCGCTAGCTGCCTATCGGCTGCAACGTCCTGTGCGCTGCATGCTGGACCGGGATGAAGATATGCTCATCACTGGCACACGGCATCCGTTCCTCTTCAAGTACAAGGTGGCCTTCACCCAGGAGGGTCTCATCACGGCCTGCGAGATTGAGTGCTACAACAACGCCGGCTGGTCCATGGATTTGTCCTTTTCGGTGAGTTCCATTTTGATGGCCACTGAATGACCTGCTCAATATGTGATCCTTGCCAGGTGCTGGAGCGTGCCATGTACCACTTCGAGAACTGCTATCGCATTCCGAACGTGCGCGTCGGTGGCTGGGTGTGCAAAACCAATCTGCCCTCCAATACGGCCTTCCGCGGCTTCGGCGGTCCTCAGGGCATGTTCGCCGGCGAGCACATCATCCGAGACGTGGCGCGCATTGTGGGCCGCAGTGAGCTGGATGTGATGCAGCTGAACTTTTACAAGACCGGCGACTATACTCACTACCATCAGCAGCTGGAGCGGTTTCCCATCGAGCGCTGCTTCCAGGATTGCCTCAAGCAGTCGCGCTACTTTGAGAAGCAGGCAGAGATTGAGCGCTTCAATCGGGAAAATCGCTGGCGCAAGCGTGGCATTGCCCTGGTGCCCACCAAATATGGCATCGCCTTTGGCGTCATGCATCTGAACCAGGCGGGCGCCCTCATTAACATCTATAGCGATGGATCGGTGCTGCTGTCGCACGGCGGCGTCGAGATTGGACAGGGCCTGAACACCAAGATGCTGCAGTGTGCTGCCCGAGCGCTGGACATACCTATTGAGCTGATACACATCTCGGAGACGGCCACCGACAAGGTGCCCAACACATCGCCCACGGCGGCCAGTGTGGGCTCGGATTTGAACGGCATGGCCGTGATCGATGCTTGCGAGAAGCTGAACAAGCGCCTGGCGCCTATAAAGGAGGCCCTACCCGAGGGCACCTGGCAGGAGTGGATTAACAAGGCATATTTCGATCGCGTCAGCCTGTCCGCAACTGGTTTCCATGCCATGACCGACATAGGCTATCATCCGGAGACGAATCCCAATGCACGCACCTACAGCTACTATACAAACGGCGTGGGCGTGTCTGTCGTGGAGATTGACTGTCTGACGGGCGACCACCAGGTGCTCAGCACAGACATCGTCATGGACATTGGCTCGAGCATCAATCCGGCCATCGACATCGGCCAGATTGAAGGCGCCTTCATGCAGGGCTACGGCTTGTTTACGCTCGAGGAGCTCATATACTCGCCGCAGGGCATGCTCTACTCCCGCGGACCGGGCATGTACAAGCTGCCCGGATTCGCCGACATACCCGGGGAGTTTAATGTCAGTCTGCTCACCGGCGCACCCAATCCACGCGCTGTTTATTCATCAAAGGTGGGGCAGTGGATAAACCTGAGAATATATATTTATTTATATATATAAATTAATTATTTCACTCATTCCAATTGCAGGCCGTTGGTGAGCCTCCGCTGTTCATAGGCTCCTCGGCATTTTTCGCCATCAAAGCAGCCATCGCAGCGGCACGCAGTGAGCGAGGCTTGAGTCCGAACTTCAATCTGGACGCGCCGGCCACCTCGGCACGCATACGCATGGCTTGCCAAGATAAATTTACCCAGCTGGTAAGTGCCAACCAGTTGAATACAGTTCAGATTGATTGAGTCATGTTTTTCAGCTTAAAATGCCGGAGACTGGAACGTATACGCCCTGGAATATAGTGCCATAAGACCGTATAGTTTAGATAAGCATTTGTTACAAACACCCTTTTAATTAATAACGATTTAGAATTAAGTGCTAATGGAGCTTATTATACTATCTAATGCTTCTTGAAAGCAATCCTTTCCACCCAGTCCAGGTAGGCGTATATCTTTGTGTAGACGCCCGGTGCGTTGGGCGCTGCGCAGAATTTGCCAAATGATGTGATGCCCACAACAAAGGCCACACAATTGTTTTCGGGCAGTATCGCATGCAGTGGGCCGCCGGAGTCACCCTGGCAGGTGTCCTTGCCGCCCGGCAAATAGCCAGCGCAGAACTGCGAATCGACAATGCCATTTGGCAGGCGACGTTCCTTGCGATAGATTTGTTTGCAACGCTGCTGCTGTACCATGTCCAGATCCACCTGACGCAACGTATTGGACTTGGCGCCCAAAAATTCCGTACGTCCCCAGCCGGTTGCCACCACCGACTTAACGTGCAGCTCCGGCATTTGCCATAGGCAGGCTGGCCGCACATGCTTCGATAGTTGGACGCGTTTGGTCAGCTTGAGCAGCGCTATGTCATGGTAGTAGGAAGAGGAGCGATACTTTGGATGCAGAATAATGATTAGAATTTTAATATCCTGCTGCCACGGACTGGTGGCATTCAGTTCCTGTGCTCCCAGGCGCACCATGTCCGGTGGCTTACTAAAAGCGAGATGGAGACAATGTACAGTCGGAACTTGATGGGAATTGTCACTCACCTACCCGATGTGGCGCAATGCGCCGCTGTGAGCACATAAAGCTCACTGATCAGCGTGCCGCCGCAGCCCCATTTGATGTCTCCGTCACTTTGTGTCCAGCCCAGTGCAGTCATGTGAGGAAAGATTCCGTGTAGAGTGGGCGTGCCACCCACAATCAGGGGCACGCTGGGCACACACTGTTTGCCCGAGAAGCCGCGTCCAGTGTCGCCCAGCCTCAGTCCCTTAGTTGCGCTGTTGTACTCCTGACATTCTGAAAAGATCAATGGATTCATGTTTATTTGATTGTTACTTGAGGTGCAGCTCGACCTACTTGTGGCACTAATACGTTGCGACTGGACATGCTTTTCGGCCAGTGGGCAACAAATGACCGGCACGTTGTTGCGGTGCGTGCAAATGTCAATGGGCGTGCCGTGCACTCGATATTCGCGTATAACATGCAGACACTGATAGGCCACAATACAATAGCCGCTGCGTCCATCAAAGCTGCGCCGGCAAAATGCTCCCTCCTGAAGCGATCGTTCCGTTCCAGAACGCAGCTCGTCGTCATTGTCGAATTTCAAGGAGCTCTCCGAAGGTTCATCCTGCTGTTCCCTTTCAGTTGGGATAGCATCGGATGCAGACGCCTCCTGGGGCCAAAGCTCTGGAAGCGTGTACTTTGTCGTTTGATAATTGAAAACCTCAAAAGCTGCTGGAAACTAAGCTAGTTACTTGGAGTTAGATAGCCAATGCATTCACTTATATTACCATTCAGTGCATGTATATGTAGAAGCATAAATTGTAAGCTGATAATTATAGACAAAATTGGCATTTCTTCATTTGTCGTTGCCTTTGTTTTGTCTCTTGCAATTTGTAAACATCTAAATAACGTAATCCCACTGCGCAACTAAAGCTGCCTGTGTTTTAGTGTTGTAAAGCGCGCAAAGCTCCTAAATTTAAATTAGGAGCGAGCATTAAAGGTTTTCGCCAGCGGCATACTTCTTTAATCGATGGGGTAGCATTGTCGTGCCATTTTTAGCAGTGCTGTAAAGTTCCTGAACCGCAATCAGGAGCGAGCACACCAACAGGCTGCTAGGCAGCAGCATATTTATTTAATCGATGGGGCAGCCTTGACACACCATTTGCAACATTTTAAATGGCCGGCAAAAGTAAAAAGAAACGAAACAGTAAAGATTCAACATCCAGCAATGCAGGCAGTGGCGAGGGCGACGATAAGAAAAAGAAAGAAGGCATTAGCGGCAGCAAGAAAAAAGGTGGTGTTGGCAAATCCATCGGCTGTGATATATTCAACGATGCAGCAATGGAGAATGCCTACTATGTTTGCCACAATGTTCAGGTGATGCGGCTCAATAAAGCTTTCTTAGTGCTCTTCCAATCTATTGTACGACTTTGTAGGATGTGCTGAAAACCCGTGGCTTTCCTTGGCCAGATGGACAAAAGAAGAAGAAGAAGGGCAAGCGTTGATGAAATACTAATGTAAAGTTTTACATATAATATGTTGACTGTATAAATAAATTATTAATAATAAAAATATCCTATAAAGTAAATATTATATTGCATTTACAAATATGGCTCAAATGTAAGATTGTACGCTTGTTACCTCTGCTTCTATTTATACCTGACCAAATCAAGTCGTCATCCTCAATTTCGAACCAAAAAAACAAATTCAATTTCAAACGTCAGCAACAACACTTTCTAGAACAAACATCAAAAATCTCCAAAATACGAAACCAACTCAAAATTACCGTCGTGAGAAAATTACATACACAAGCAAAATATTAAAGCACATTTAGACTCGTTTTTGTAGAATTGCCAAAAATTGTGGAAAGGCGGCTGGCGCAAAGATTGCACCATAAAAATCCGAGAGTCGTGCGGGCGCACGATTCAGTTGGGCGGCATCTGCGACAACGAACGGTTCAGTGTGACGTCAGCGTTAACGGATTGTTTCTGATTTATATATAAAACATGGTGAAGACACCGGCAATTGGTATCGATCTGGGCACCACGTACTCCTGCGTGGGTGTTTGGCAGAATAGCAAAGTTGAAATTATTGCCAATGATCAAGGCAATCGAACAACGCCTTCGTATGTGGCCTTTAATGACACAGAGCGCCTAATTGGCGATGCGGCTAAGAATCAGGTGAGTAACCGTGCTGTTGCACTTGACCTCAAATGGGGCTAGCCGTATACGGCTAAATTTGATCAAATAGATTTTTATGTACAAACTTGTCTGTATAATGAAAGCTCAGCTTGCCAACAATTTGAACTGGGTGGCACCTCCTTTAAGCAGGGAATTTCGTTGAATTCCCACTATATTTGAGTAATTTCTTGATAACGTATTTCCCAGTATTTTGTAGTTCAAAATATCAATTCACGAAATTGAAGAAAATTCTGATAGTTCATTCAAGAGAGCTCTCACTGTACATTGCCAAATAAATGACTGCATTTATAAGCAATTTAATTAAAGCGAATATATATATCATACATATATATCATCATGCATATAAATATAAATATACATAATTTAAGCAAATTTATGGAAACATCCCAACGATACGAAAATAGCCAATTTGCTGACTAATTGTTGAACCACACCCATTTTCCAAATATTTGTACAACTACAGGTGGCGATGAACGCCAAGAATACGGTGTTCGATGCGAAGCGTCTAATTGGTCGCAAGTTCGATGATCGCAAGATACAGGAGGACTTGAAGCATTGGCCTTTCAAGGTCATCAACGATGGGGGCAAGCCCAAAATTGAAGTCGAGTTCAAGGGTGAGCGCAAGCGCTTTGCGCCCGAAGAGGTCAGCTCCATGGTGTTGACGAAGATGCGCGAAATCGCCGAGGTCTATCTGGGCGCCAAGGTGAAGGATGCTGTCATTACGGTGCCGGCATATTTCAACGATTCCCAGCGCCAAGCGACCAAAGATGCTGGCTCCATAGCCGGCTTGAATGTGCTGCGCATCATCAATGAGCCCACGGCTGCTGCCTTGGCCTATGGCCTGGACAAAAATCTGAAGGGAGAGCGAAATGTGCTGATCTTCGATTTGGGCGGCGGCACCTTTGATGTCTCCATACTCTCCATCGATGAGGGATCACTGTTCGAGGTGAAGGCCACAGCCGGTGATACGCATCTGGGCGGCGAGGACTTCGACAATCGGCTGGTCAATCACTTTGTGGACGAGTTCAAGCGCAAGCACAAGAGCAACATCGCCGGCAACGTGCGAGCTCTGCGTCGTCTGCGCACGGCCTGCGAGCGGGCCAAGCGTACGCTCTCGTCCAGCACCGAAGCTTCGCTGGAGATTGATGCGCTGCACGAGGGCATTGATTTCTATTCAAAGATATCGCGTGCTCGCTTCGAGGAGCTGAACATGGACCTGTTCCGCTCGACCATAGATCCGGTGCAGCGCGCCTTGAACGATGCCAAAATGGATAAGAAGGCCATACACGATGTCGTCCTGGTGGGTGGATCCACACGCATACCGAAGATTCAACGCCTGCTGCAGGACTTCTTCGGGGGCAAGCAGCTCAACTTGTCCATTAATCCCGATGAGGCGGTGGCCTACGGCGCTGCCGTCCAAGCGGCCATACTCACAGGTGTGGGCAGCTCTCAGATACAGGATCTGCTGCTGGTGGACGTGACGCCTCTATCGCTGGGCATCGAGACTGCTGGCGGCGTGATGACCAAGCTGGTCGAGCGCAATGCACGCATTCCCTGCAAGCAGCAGCAAACGTTCACCACGTACAGCGACAACCAGAATGCGGTCACCATTCAGGTGTTCGAGGGCGAGCGCGCCATGACCAAGGACAATAATCTGCTGGGCAACTTCAATCTGACCGGCATACCGCCAGCGCCACGGGGCGTGCCCAAAATCGATGTGACCTTTGACCTGAATGCCGACGGCATCCTGAACGTCAGCGCCAAGGACGGCAGCACCGGCAAATTGGAGAAGATTACCATTACCAATGACAAGGGACGTCTCTCGAAGGCCGAGATCGATCGCATGCTCTCCGAGGCGGAGAAGTACAAGGATGAGGATAACCGACAGCGCGAACGTGTCTCGTCTCGCAACTCTCTCGAGGGCTACATCTATGGCTGCAAACAGGCCGTCGACGAGGCACCAGCGGGCGTCCTAACCGATGCCGACAAGGCCAAGGTGCGCGACAAGTGCAACAAGGAGAGCGCCTGGCTGGACAGTAATACGCTGGCCGAGAAAGAGGAGTACGAGCATCATCTGAAGGAGTGCCAGAACGTCTGCAATCCCATCATGTCCAAGATGCACACCGGCGGACAGGCACCCAAGGGCAAGTCGGCATCGGGCAGCTACAACAGCGGACCCACCGTCGAGGAGGTGGACTGATCGACTGACCGACTGACCAAGCGAGCGAGCAAGCAATCGAATTGAATATGTATTGGGAATTTATGTTAATAAAAAAGTTCAGTAAGTCAGTTTTCTGTCAGCTCTTCACCATTCAGCCCTCAGTTGTGTTTCAATGGTCGCCGCGAGCAGATTGTTTGTGGAGCAGCTCAGCTGGCGCAGCTGCAATGAGCTGGTGCATCCGCATAGCTGCCGGCGTGCCGCCTGGCAGAATCTCTATCGCTTCGCCTGGTCGAACTTGAAGTATTATCTGCCCATGGTCATACTGGATCTGCTGAGGCGTGCGCTGCGTGGCACCCACCTGCTGCAGTTGCTCCGCGATGCACTGCTCTATTATGCACAGTTGGTGTTCGGTGGCCTGGTCAATGGTTGCCTGACAGCAGGCTTCATTTGCTTGCTGCGGTAGGCTGGCTCTGCTCTACTCTTGTCACTTAATAATCTCGCCTATCTCTGCTCAGTCACCTGCTGGGCGAGTTCCGGCCGCATACGCTCCTATTTGTGCCTGCCCTGTTGGGCGGCGCCTTCGTTGCTCTGGTGCCCATTCGAGTCAAGGAACTGCAGCACACGGTCCTCTTTCAAGCTGTAAGAGCACTTCTTTCACCTAGACCTGGTACTCCATTCCACTCTTTCAGCTAATCGAAAGCCTGCTGCTGCAGCGCTCCAATCCGCTGACCAAGGCGCTGGCCTCGTCCCGTTGGCTGCAAACCCTGCTCTTCATGGCCTGCAGCGCCATCATCATGCTGGGCAAGCAGCGGCAGTGGCACAGAGGTTTCTGGTTCGTAATGCCCGACTCTCTGCAATCGGAAAAGAGCTCCAAGAGCGCCACACAATATGTTGTTCAGGGCATGCGTAAGTATTTGCTCATTGGTCTCGCCTTGGACATCTTCAGGGCTCTGATAAGCTGCATTAAGACGGGTCGCTGGCATCTGAAGCAGCTGAGCTTGGAGTCTATGGCTTGGTTGGGCTGTTACGTGGGCATCTATCGGGTAAAGTATATATAACTATTTCTAGAATCTAACTCCTTCAATTCGTCGCACGTCTTTTCATCTATTCATCCTCACATGCAATATTTTTCCCTTTTCATGTCCGTCCGCTCGTCTATCTTTAAGCCTGTCTCAAGGCTCATTCATATGTGTTTCATTTACCTATTTCTTCATACGTTCATTCGTTTTTACCTTAAAGTATTCTTGCATAAATAGTCATTCCATCTGATCGTTTGTTTATCACATGAAAAGTTTATATTCTTCCTGTTTAAAAGTTGCGCCAAACGAATTTCCCTGCATAACAATTTCCTCAAAATTCAAATTCATAATTTCCTCTACTTACCATTTATAATCAAATTTCCTTAAATGCATTATTTCCCATCAAAATGTTAAAGTCCCAACTGTGGGAATAATATAAAATTCCCAATATGAGCGCCTCATTTTCCAAAGCTGGCAACTTTTATTATACTGATTTTTCCTTAAAATATTCTTACTTAAATAATCATTCCCATATCAGTCCATATGATCGTTCGTTCATCCAGACAAGCTCTGACTCTACTCCCACTGCCTAGCAAAGAGGGCAAAAGCCTTAACACCTTCTCACCTATAGAAATGTTTCCTCAGTCAAATTTGCCTTCAATTGCATAATAAAGCGATTTGCATTTATTTAGACTACCCTATGCTATATGCAAAGCAAAACGGATGTCGGCCAGACACTACAGCAAATCGTGTCCAGCTTTCTGGGGGGGCTCAGTTTTGTTTGCTATCCAAAGCTGACCATATTGAGCTATGCACTGCTGGAGGCGGGTCGCTCGCTGTGGGGCAAGTATCACAGGAAACGGCGAAAGTCACGTTTTGGCTATAGCGATCTGGTCTATCCCCTGGTGCTGGCCTACCTGATACACACCTATACCTTCCATCCGAAGAGGGTTAGCGCCATAACGGGCATAATTATTGACAGCACGACTGCCAATTAGTAAGTTCTCTGAGAGACAGTGTCTATTTGTTGCTTCTAGAGATTATTTCCTTTTGCTCCGAACAGCGCCGGTAACATAAGCAAACGCCTACAACAGCTGCAGCGGCAACCGGCTAGATGGCATGGCAAATGGATTTAATTATAATTTTTAATGCAATAAGCCATAAAGAAAAATATATAATTTTCAAATTAACCTTCCATTTGAACTGCAAAAGCGACTCGAGTGGGTTTTGGGGTCTCTAGATGTGGAAGTCAGTCGCACTGGGAACGTAGCTGTAGCAAAATGGTTGCTCCCAGCAAGCTGTTCGGATACCCCATAAGTCATATACCGTGCGCAAACATTGTACACAGCCAGCCCAATCAGAGCTGCACGCAGGCTCTGCTCTGGAATCTGTACCGCAATCATGTGTCCAGTGCCAAATATTATTTGCCAACATTGGTGGTATGTCTACACTCACTAATCCGGCATGGATGCCGCGCTCAAATCTGTTTCGTTTCGCTGTAGCTAATGCCGTTAATTTTGAACTGGCGGCGACTGAGCAAACGTCGTCTGTGGTCGACGGTGAGAAACTATTTGGATACCATGTTTTTTGCTTCCACAATGAATGCGCTCACATTATATTTGATATGCGCTTGGAGGCGTCTGAACAGACGTTTTGTTTATTTGTGCACTCCGTTTCTATCATGTTACCTGGCAGCGCAGATCAACTGGTTGGCCCCACCAAAGGTGGTGCAATTCTTTGTTACGGGCATGACGCATGCGGTGAGTGTATTATTAGGCTTACACTATGTTCACAATGTACATTGGTTAAATTCTACTATGTAAAATGCAAATATTTAAGGTTTGTATTACATAGAAAGATTAAGTTCTTCTACTTTAAAAGTTGCGCTAAACCAATTTCCCTGCATAACAATTTCCTTAAATTGAAATTCATTATTTCCCCTAGTCACAATGTAAAATAAAATATCCTTACATGCATTATTTCCCATCCAAATGTTAAAATCCCGTATATGGGAATAATTTCTGGTTCCCTCATATTCCTTTTATTATACTGGGAACAAAAAATAATAGAATTCACTCATTTAAGGCTATGGAAGCCGTCCTACGTCAGATGAATGCGGGCTTGGTGCGATCTCGACCAGCTCAGACGCTGCTATTCATGTTGTCGTCGCTGCTGGTTCTGCGCCAGCAACAGAAACGTATATACTCTGGTTTCTGGTTCATCAAGCCCGACCAGATGCCGTTGGATTACAGCAAGTGGCCCATACTACGCCGCCTTAAGCAGGCTTCTTTGGAGCTGTGCACCTACCTTGGCATGGGTTTGATCATGGATTTGTTTAATGCGTTAATGCGTGGAAATTTAAAAAAATTTAAGATCAAGTCAACAAGCTTTATTGTAACCTATATGGGAATATACAAAGTAAGTTTAGTTAAACGCAAAAACTCCATTATATTTCATTTTAATTTTGATTTAAGTTGGTGCAAGTTCTAGTAGCGGGTAAACTGGAGTTGAATCAAACCAATTTACTGGCAGCGTTTCTCAGTGGCGCTTCATATGGCCTGTTCAGCCATATACCCATCAGCTATATGTGCTTTGCAGTGGTCATTGCCATCCAGGCATTGTATCAACAGCTGTGCAAAGTTGATGCCACCCACAATAAGCGACTTGCTGCCCTGCAGCCCATACCCTGGGCGAAGCTGCTTATTCCGCCTGCCATGGCATATCTGACGAACTGCATGTTCTACGAGCAACATGTGTTAAGTGGCTTGGCCAAGTCATTCATAGACGACACATGCGATAACAAGTGAGTATATTTACTATTATAATGCAAGAAATTAAAAATTATATTCTAAATTATTTCAGCGTTCGTCGCATATATACTATAATAAATCAACCCGTGGAAGCAATACTGAAAATAGCTCAGGCAGGGCCTAAAACAAATTTTCTGTTTTAGCTAAAATCAAATGAACGTTGGACTTTAATTCGCTATTCTTTTAAACAAATTTAAAGTCGTTAAAAATTGGATTTAAATACTTTTTTGACCCTGTCAGCGCGGCAATATCAGCATGAGTAATGTGTCGTTGCCACACTGTTAAGAAATTAAAAATGAAAACAAAAATATTCACATCATATGGCGTTGCCACGTTGTTGGCAAACGCATGAACAAATTTAACTTAACTGAAACTAATTTTTATATTAAGAAACGTCTCGCAACTAATTGAGAAAACGATCTTGAGTAGATATTTCTACAAATATGCTATTAGAATGCGTCAATCGCCGATTCTATCTGGCTAACAAATGTTGAATGTACGTGATGTGAATAAAGAGTATTCAAAAATCTTTTTATTGCGCACATTAGAGAATTCCATTGTTAGTTTATTTTTTTAAGAATCTTTAGCAAGCCATATATCTGAGGTGCAGTCTCCACCTGGATAGCGCATCTCATGCGGCAGACTGGGTCCGTAGGGTTCCTTTCCAAAGTCAACAAGGAAATCCTTATTCAGAGTCATCCCACCATTGACCATGTCGACATCAATGAGCACCACATGTCCGCCTTTCGAGGCCATTTTCGGATAGAACTGTTTATCCCAAGGTGAGTATAGTGAGGAGGACACATATAAGCGTTTGCCATCCAAAGAGAGCTGCATCATCTGTGGGCCTCCTTCCAAGCGACGACCCTTAATGATGCACGGAGGTGGCCTTTCCTGCATCATAGCAAATCATGTAATGTATTATTATACATATTATACATTCATATATAGAGCTTACGGTCAATTCCTTATCTTCCTTAACGATCACATTTGGAAGATCGCTGCATATGGCGCCTCCTAGCCAGACTCGCGACACGAGTTTGGGCTGATCCGGTATGGATATATCGTACTGCCTAACATCGCCATGCATCCAGCAGTTCACATATAGGAATCGATCGTCCAACGATATTATAATGTCTGAAATCATACCACCCATCTCGGAGGCGGTGCCACTGCCCGTATCGACGAGCTTATTGGGTATATCAATTACTTTCTTCACATCAAACTCATCGGAGTCGGCTCTCTTCTTGAAGTAGAAGACCTTGGCATACAAGGCACATCCCACATAGCCATCCGGTCGCTTCGGATCGTGCAGGAATCGAACCTCTAAAGGTGTTGTGCCCTCCACACCCAGATCAACTGTTTGATATAGGGTTTGCGTGGACCATTTGTAAAAGTTGAGTCTGCAGCCATACTGCGTCATGTCATCCAAATCTTCGTTCTTCCAGCCACTATAAAACATAGACTTAGAGCTGATCTTAGCTGACCACTGAAAACTTACCGTCTAAACTTGTTGGGTGCTCCCCATTCGGTTGATACCATGACATCGTAGTAGGGCTGATACCAGAAATCGTAGCCGCAGAGGGCTTTGCGGTCACCCTTTGTCCAGGTGCCAACGCAATTGAACTCCGAATCGAACAGAATGAATTCTCCCTTGGCATTACCCTCAGCATCACCCATGACCGATATCATGACATTTCCGTTGGCCAAGCAGTGGGTCGTATGTGGAGCAGTTACATTATGCTTCTTCAGTACTTCTCCATCGATGACCTTCACGATTTCCGGCTTGCGCGGATCAGTGGCCACGTCCAGAACGTAAATGAAATCCGAATTTAAAGCTGGTAATATCAAACGATTTCTCTTTGGCACACTCTTTGCATTCTCGTCCACATAATAGCAGCTGGAGCAGGCATTCCAGCCGGAATGATGCAACTCATTGCCCTTACGGTTCGAAAAAGTGCGATGGACAACCTAGTTATGCAAAATATTGTAATACAACGGCTGAACAACAAACAAGTCTATTTGCTTACCTGGCTGTAAGTGGGACTCTCAGGGTCCACGTCGATTGTTGATAGATAGTCGCCATGCGGCTCATCCAAGTTCGGCTGAATTGTCACCGTATAAAGAAGTTTCTCTCTGGGTCCACTTTTCAAGGCATCCAGAGGTGTGGCATAGCCGGGACCATGGCAACAAGCTAAAGGGTAAACAATATTAGTTAAAAATATTAAAAAAAAACGAAAATAAATAATAGCTATCAGTAGATTAAACAACGAGCCTTACCTTTTTCCGACATATTAGAATATATCTTTAATTACGACGTTGTTGATCGTAGAACAGCAAAGCACTGCAACTGATGAGAGCGTTTGCCTCAACATATATACGGTATATACCCATAAGTTATCAGCCGGTTCTGAGCGTGTTTTCGGAAAGAGCTTTGCTCTGCTTAGGCATTTGTATACGCTGCCTCTCTCTCGCTCTCTCTTACTCTCTCTCTCTTTCTCTTGAAGAATATCCCTCTATTACTCACATACATAATAACATGCAATACACGCTTATTTACTTATCTAGTTTTATATTTTGCATTTCTTTATCTTATCAAATATTTTTAGCACCTTTCTCAAGACAAATATTGTTGTTTACTGTTAAGTAGCTCAATTTAAAGATAATTATGAACACATGTTGTATGTATAGAAATAATATTTCAATTCATCATGATGATTGAACAATCATTTGTATTTGAGATAACAAATTTATTATTAGTGTTGCTTATCAGGCTGTGTATTTAAAAAATTGTGAAATAAGTTTCAATTGTTTTTTAAAAACAACTCCAAATTTAAATATTGGTAAATTCAGCAGACACCACGTATAAACCAGTTCCTTTCAGTTCATTTTTTTAATATAGTGCAAACATATTTTTTTTATAAAATCATTTAATTAATTTATGCATACAGTTTTTTTTGTTATATCAAATTTGCATACTTTTAGTTGAAGCTTACACAAACACGATATTTATAACGTTTCGTGTCACGTAAGAGCACGACGTGGGCTCATCCGCAGCACTTGGCAATTGTTGAAAGTGTGGCAACGCCGCTCTGCCTTATCAGCTGTTATTGTTCACATAAATTGTCTGTTACGTTTGCCGTTACAACATGAGTTTGTTATCCCAAATACGGAAAGCATCAACACAAGCTGCACGCCGGCGTGTGGTAATAACAGGTAGCGGCGCCGTCACACCCCTGGGCAATAATGTGTCAGAGTCGTGGCAGCGTTTGCTGGCAGGTGAATCTGCAATTACCAACCTGGGAGCTGAATTCAAAGGGCTGCCATGTCAGGTGGCGGCACAAATACCAAAGGAACGCCTTCAGATAGACAAGCATCTGAGCAAAACTGATATAAAACTTATGAGTCCTGCCACACAGTTAGCAATCATTGCAGCCGATGAGGCTCTGGCCGCCGCAAAGCTAAAGCCCAGCGAACTGAGTGAAGAACAGCGTGAACGTTTTGGAGTCTGCGTCGGCATGGGCATGTTCGATCTAGCCGAGGTCTATGGAGCATTTCAGCAGCTGCAGCGTGGCTACAATCGTGTCAGTCCGTACTTTGTGCCACGACTGCTGCCCAACATGGCGTGTGGACACATCAGCATGCGACATGGCTTGCAAGGACCCAATCATTCCGTTTCCACAGCGTGCGCAACCGGTGCACATGCTATTGGTGATGCTTTGCGTTTTATACGGAACGGCGATGCTGATCTTATGCTAGCCGGTAGTGGGGAGGCCTGCATAGACCCCCTGTCGATAGCCGGCTTTTGTAGGTTGCGCGCCCTCAGCACAACGTTCAATGATAACCCTGCCGTGGCCTCGCGACCTTTTGATAAAGCGCGTGACGGATTTGTGATGGGCGAAGGTGCCGCGGTGCTGCTTCTGGAAGAGCTGGAGCACGCGCGTGCTCGTGGCGCAACCATATTAGCTGAGATACTGGGCTACGGCTTGTCCGGCGATGCACATCACATTACATCACCTAGCGATAATGGCGCTGGTGCCACGTTGGCCATGAAACGTGCCATCGCAGATGCAGAGGTCGCGGTCCAGGATATTAGCTATGTCAATGCTCATGCCACGTCCACGCCCACCGGCGATCGTATTGAGGCTCATGCCATTGGACGTGTCTTTGGCGATCATTTAGATAAGGTGCTTGTCTCGTCGACTAAAGGCGCACATGGACATTTGCTTGGCTCCTCGGGCAATCTGGAAGCGCTGTTTGTAGTGCACGCCTGCGCAGAAAACCTATTGCCGCCCTCGATCAACGTTGACCAACTGGATGTGGATGTAAATGTGGTGACCAAGTCATGCAAATGGTCAGAGGATCAGTCGGCACAGCGCATTGCGCTTAAGAACTCCTTTGGCTTCGGTGGCACTAACGCCTCCCTCTGCATTTCCAGTTACACTGAAAAATAATATATTTTTAAGCCCTAATTGTTACATGTAAATAAATAATATGAGTTGATATTAGCATATTTTTTTTTAGGAAAAATTTTTAAGTTTTAAAACTTTATTTGGAAAACTTTTCGGTTTCTTGTACCCCCGTCCCTACCCACGAAAACCATGAGGATTTCTAGCATTCTGCTCGGTAAAAATGTATATATGCGTATTGCAGAGTTCGTACTATTATATTGTATGTGTGTGTATATATATCTGTATATAATGTTGTATATATGTAGCTCTGTTTGATTTGCTTCTGTTGCTGGCATACGCGCGCTTACTTTATAAATCGTAAACAAATATGTTTTATCTGGTCGTTTTTGCTGACATCAATAGCTGTTGTTTTCGCTCCCTTTTCTCTTTCTTTTCCTCATCTTTTTTTTCACTTAACTTGATTTAATTTAAAGAATTTTTTATTTTACAAAATTACTTAAATCGTAAAGTTAAAAATACATAGATTGGCTTACAATTAGAATTTCTTTATAATCAATATATATAAATGTGGTTGCTCATTTTTTTGGGTTTTTGTTTGTTTTTTTTTTTTTAATGCTGATCTACTTTTAGATTTTACTTGTCATCTGCCAAATGGTTTTTATTGTATTATTTATATGCTCAATACATTTATAAATGTATATTATGTGGTTTCGATTTGTTATTTATGTATTTTAATAGGCGTAAATAAAATATGCTATATTTGTGTGTTTCTTTTTGTGTTGTCTATTTTGCATTGGATTGAAAGGATCAATTTTCAATTTGTATATAAATTATGAAAATAAATTGTATTCGAAGTTATAAACTTTATCCCAATTACTGTACAATTTGTGGTTGTTATCCGCTTTCGTTACAGCGTATATTAATTTTTTAAATAATCTTGCACGTCACATTAATTAACAAGGTAAGTTTTCTCAATTTTTTTTTGTTTTTCTTTTTTAGTGTTTTGTAGTTTGGATACTTAAAGCATTAAAAGAATTTTTCAAATATCTTTCGTCTGTGATTTACATATTCAAATTTTGAATGAAAAATATTTCAAAATTACGGAGGCCTTTGCATTACAAATTTACGTATTCTGGTGTTTTAGCTAGTATGCAACAAACATTTGCTCAACAAAATCGAGGAATTATTTTCGTTTTCTGTTTTTGGAACCTGAAGGCGTGTGGTAGCCAGTTACAATAGACAAATTAAAATAATTTTGCATACATGATGTACACACAATGTACATATGTTGAAATGTATGCGCTTATGAAAATTGGACAATGCAATAAAAATAATAATAATTAATAATTATTATAAAATGCCTACAACACATAAACTAATATAGAAACAATGAACTTATTATTCCTTGAGTTTCTCATACATGTCCAAAATTGCAGTGAACTTCATTTTTGTGAGATTTAAAAAAAATTTAAAAATTATGTAAATTATGAATAAATATTTGATTTGTTTCGCGTTGTGTTTACTATTGCTTTCGATCTTAACACTTATTATCTTACTATTTGTTTTGTTCTTAAATTTTTGTTTTGTTTAAAAAGACATCTATTTAAGCGCTAGTAAAGTGGGGTTTTCTTGTTGCTGTCAGTTGTTGGTTTTCTGTTAGTGAAATGGTTACCAACTTCATATGTATAGTGGATGCTGCAACACTTGCCTACACTAGATGTATGTATGTATGTATGTATATTGTTTGTTTTTTTTTTTTGGGTTTTCTGTTTTTCTTCTTCTTGTTTTTAGCATGCAGGGGATGTATGTATGGTTGTATGTATGTATTTATGTACATGGCAAGCCACTGAAAGACAGAATCTGGGTCACTAGTTTAGCAATGCATCCATTGTATATGGAAATGGCGGATGTGGCTGTTGCTGTTCAAATCTGTTGGCTGAATATGACAGCAATTTTGTCGCTGTTGCTGCTGCTGCAAATGGAGCTGATGCGGACGCTGATGTATCTGCCGAAGACGGTCAGTCCAGTATTACGATTTGTGATTCAATAGGTTTGCTGCTCGGCTCGGGGGCCATTGACTTGATGGGCAGTGAACGCCATGGTTTGCGCGCCGCACGACGCAGATCCACAGCTGAGAGTATTTTTCGTGTTTTTCTATTAAAAATTAGAAAGGTTAAATAAGATATTGTTAATGTACATCAATTAATCAATGGAACTCACTTGTGTACGTCTGTGGCTCTAAAGTAAACATCGTCCGGTGCATCCATCCAACTAATAACTTGCTTGCGTCCATTGCCGCCACGTGCCATTTGCGCAATTTTTTGCTTCCCATTAAGCTGCAAGAACATTGAATAAAATTTATAAATATTTAAAAAGTTGCAGTTGAGCTGGACTTACGTGATGTCTAGAGAGGGGCTGGCCAGATGCTGCCATCATTGCAGCAAACTGCTCCGGGCTGGGGCAATGCGAGGGCATGGGATCCTTGTTGGGGCGTTTGGCTGGTGGCCCACTGGGCACAATTGTTACTACGAATGGAAAGACAAAATTATTATAGATTCCAGATATGTTCAATGCTAATTCTTAACTCACCTTCGGTGCCATTGAGTTGCTGTTCCTCGTGCGCACGTTTACGTATCGTAGACGTTGCTTGCGCTGGAATTATGGTTAGTTCTTTGTCAGCCACAACGGGCACTGCAACCACATCGGGCGTTTTATTGGGCACACGCTCGTAGAGCAAACTTCCATCTGGTCCTTTGGGCGGCTTTGGGAATGAGACAACAACGGGCTGTGGCATTTTATCCTTGGGCGTCAGCACCAGCCATTCATGCGGACCGCTGCCAGGTGCACCCAATCGATTTGCAATTTTTGTGACACTGCCCCGATCCTTGGGCTTGAGCAAAAGCATTTTTTTTATATCCGCCTGCGATTTGCCGCTAATACGATTCGTAACTACAATTCAAATAGTAAATATGATATAGTAATTTGCTTATAAAAATTCGATTTTTGCGACTTACATTCTTGTTTGACCAACAGCGCATTAATTGCGTATGCACTCTGCCGCGCCGCCTTCTTGGGTTTCACAATACTTCGGCAAACAATGCGTGCCACACGGGTCATGGGATTCGTGTGCAAGTAGAAGGCAGTGCGCGTCTTCATGATGGGCCGCGGCGATCCTGAACTGATGGCAATGCCATGCGCTTGTGCGTAATGGCGCGCCAGGTGGGTCTTCAGCTTAAACTCTTTGCCGCAGTTGACAATGGAACACCTATGATTTGCATTACATTATTAATATATAAATATTTAATTACATACGCCTATCATACCTGTGCAATTGACGATTGCTTAGATCACTAACTTTCTCATCATCGTTAAGATCAACCACAGCGGTGGTGGTGCCTGTTGCAGCTAACGCTGCTACTGGAGTCGCTGCTGCAATGGCAGCCTTCTTCTTAGCCTCGCCATCGTTAGCTTCAACCTTATGCGCAGATTTCATACTGCCATATTTTCGCCAATAGTCCCAACAGCTCTGACATAGTCGACTTGGCAGATGACCATTGCTAAAGGAATTCCACTGCGACAAAATTGAGTCTGAATTAGCAATCATTGATCACAAAGTATTCCCTTTAACTGTCTTACGTGTGATGATTTAGTTGTCCCGCACGATTCGCACGGTTTACCATTGTTGGACAGATCGGCGCCGCCATTGGTGGTGCCATTGTAGATGCCGCCAGGTCCGCCGCCACTGCCTGACTTCACGCTGGCACCGTTGCCTTTGCCATTGTTATTATATTGCGGTATATAGACTTGTTTGAGCTTGAGTTCCGCCTCGACAGCCTTAACGCGTTTCTGCTGCACATACCGATCGGTGGTCTTCCACATATAGTAATATTCAATAATTTGCTTTAGCGTTTTCCAAGGAAGCTGATAAAAACAAATCAATTACTAAATATACTTAATTATAGAACAATGAGTTTATCTTACAAAATCTTGTCGTATGTCATTAAAGTCTTTGCCATATTTATCTAGCGCCTCCTCAAAGAGATTTGCTTCCGATGCGCTCCAATCTTCGATTTCGTCGCGACAGAGAACTGGCCCAGTGGAAGGAACTAGCGAGGACATGGCCTCATCAATTGAGTAATCGTGCTGGTGCAGAATGTTCATGGCGTGAAACTAGAGGGAAGTAAATGAAAGCATTATTCAAAGGATTCAGCACACATTCAATATGTTTTCCAGATCTACTCACCAGCGTTATGTCTCGACTAGCGGCCGCTGCGGACATGTGCAATGAGGGCTGCTTTACTGAACTGCTGCAGTCGAGGGCGCGGGCAAAAGTGCCAATGGAACGCGACACAACAAGGAATTGATCGATTTTGCGATCGGTCAAACTATGTTCCGGCGTCCATACAAGCGACTCCAGCTCCTCCAGTTTACGTTCATCTGTGGCGGTATCTTTTAGCTTGGCGGGTATATCACACTGATAGCGACTGCCGACACGTATTTCGCCCTTGTCGGCAAGCAACGTTTTTTGATTCGGATCAAAGACCAGACAGTAGAAGAATGTGTCCTGTTCAAAATATAAATAATCAATTAATGCTCTGATTTGAAAAGAGCTAAAGCACAATTAACTCACGTCTTTATTGAGATAGCTTTGCAGTGACTCCGTCTCGTTGAGCAGCGTCACGGAGCACTTCCCTCGGATTTGTGTGGCGGGTATCGACTCAACTTGTCGCGATAGAAACAGCTCCCGATGTTTGATCTGGTATCGCTGTTTGCTGGTTAGCGCGTCGCTCTTCTCTCCATCTCCACCAGCGCCACCAGCAGCAGCAGAAGCAGCGCCGCTCGCAGCGCTGTTATTATTGTTGTTATTATTATTATTGTTATTATTGTTGGTATTGTTATTGGTGCTGGAATTGTTGTTGGCGGCGGCGGCGGCAGACGCTTGCGTCGGACTGGTGCGTTCCTCCTCGAGTGCAGCTGCAAGGCAAACGTAATCAAGACTATATAAGCAAATGCATTCCAATAGATCTACACAAATAGTATACATTACATACGAGCACTAAAAAAACTATGTTTTAGAACCAATTACAACCATTGCATAACCAATTCGGTGTTCGTAACTAGACTACAGATTACTGGTACTGACCTTAGTGAGAAATTTTGTGTGTAAAATACAGTGAACACTATGCTAACGGACAGCTGCCAATCTTGCTATTCGTCAATACGCATTTCATTCAAAAGTGTTTTCACTGTATTTTACTGTACATACTAATTAAAGGTTCTAATCGATCGAGTTTAAAGAGTTAATTTACGATTCTTATATCCAATATATAATGTTGTCTAGATCAGTACCAAATGGTGCTCTACTTAATAGAATTTAAATTAAGAGAAATATTTCAAAAACATGAATATTAGGAAACACAGTAATAAAAATAAAAATTAAAAAAAATATGCATTCCCAAAAGAAGATATCAACTACAATCGTATTGCTTATAATAATTATTATTATTATAATTATTATTTGATAGAATTAACTGCTTTGCCATTTTGTACCTATTGAGGGATCGAGGACAGCTTGCGCCGCCTGCTCTTCGCCCACCGGTGTTCTAAGCCAGGTTTTCTTCAGTTTCATCGCCAGCGGTGAGTCCTCGGCGGTTGCCACTGCATCATCAAGTGTGTGTATGAGTGTGTTTGTGTGTGTGAGATGTGTGTCGGGGTAATTTCGGGAAATGTTGATTTTACAAATATACATATGCATTTAATATACGATATATACAACAATTATACTTATAATGTGAGAGTGGTATGACAAGCGCGACTTAATTTAAATGTACTTAGACTAGCTGAAAGCTGAAAACACGTTCGCAGCGCCGTCAAAGTGAGGTTAAGTACGAAAAGTAATTTTACTAAAAGATGTCGCGTTTGCCCAGAAACAGAAAGCCCAACAAAATAAATACAAAACTTTTTGAATTTATTTTTAATACCCCGCCACACAAGCCACGAAGGGATGGTAACGGGTAGACTAGGCGGCCTCGTCATTTCGATGGCAATGGCAATGGTAGTGATGGTGGTGCGGTGCTGGGTGGTGGTGGGTGTTGGCAGTAGCTGCTTCTCTTTGCTTCTTGAGGAGTTTGAGCTAAAGCCAAACCCAGCAACCGAACGACCCCCCAGCTTGCCCCTAAAGGACTGTGGGTGCATTCGTGAATTTACAAGAGCGTAGGTGTATCGCGAAAGAAGAAGAAGCAGAATCAGCAGCAGCTAGGCAAAGGGGTGTGAGGATGCGCAACTGTTCGGTAGCCATAGATAGGACACAATCGCACAGTCTGGCAAGTGCGCACACGGGCCAGGGGCTGGGGGTTGCCAGATGGAGGCGTGTGCGTTTTGTTTGCTGGCAATGTCTGCCTCTGCTTCGCGTTTTTCGACATTTTTTTTTTAATTTTTTTTCCGTTCCGAATACTCTTACAGAAAGCATTTTACTTTGTGGAGCAACTCCTATGCAGTATTTGAGTTGTGCTTCGTACGGCGTTGAGCCTATGTGTCTGTTAGGGTATTTCAAATTCGTTATCGCAAGTAATAAAAGTCAACGGTTCTTTTTTTTTCTGCTTCTTCTTTTCTGCTTGAAACGTTGTCGTGGCCAGTTTTGAGCTTTTTGATTATTTATTTTCTTGTTTTTTTTCTTTCTTTTTTGTTTCACGACACGGCGTATAGAATGTATGTATGTTCCTTAGTTGAATGTTTTTGTTGCTGTGCTAATTTGTAATGAGTGATTAGCAGCTAGGCTGCAAAATTGGCAGCGCACGCCGCATCGCGGCAGCACCTCCAAAAAAGGAGCCGCTGAAAAACAGTCAGGCATTATTGAAAAGGGGCGGCAACAAAGGGGGTGTTACTGTTAATGGGCATTGTCGACGAAATGTTGCGTGGCAGGCGGTGGGCGGTGGGTGGCGGATGGAAAGCTGCGTTGGAAAACGCATTTTCGTTGGGTCACGTATCGAATTCGTGTGGGTCGCAACCAACCCCACCGATTGGGGGTTGTGTATGTGTGTGTGTGGGTAGTTATCTGTGTGTGTATGTATACTTTTTGGTAGAAAGATACAGCAAATGGCTCTGTCCATGTAGATAGCTGCTAGTTGGTTGTTGGGGTACGCTGGGTGTGTGTATGTATACATAAATGCAAAGCGCGGCTCCTTCGATGCTCTTGCAGTGTCAGGACTCATGAAAATTTTCGTGCACACTCGCATATACACCTACATAGAGGCATAGAGGTAGACAGCCAGTCTACCTATCGTTGCTGCTGCTGCTGCTGCTGTTGGTTGCCTAGTATTCCCACATTGAGGCAACCAAAAACGGCAACAACATCGAAGTACAGTGCAGCTCTACACACATTATGTTTATGTGCTGTTGCTGTTGTTGTTGTTGTTGTTGTTGTTGCTGCTGCTGCTGCTGCTACGGATGCTCGGATTCCGTTTACTCTTTGCTTTGGCTGTATGCTTTACAGTTGTTGTCATTGCGGTTCTTGTTGCTCTTGATGTTGGCTTTCATTATTTTTGTTGTTGTTGTTGTTGTCGCTCCTGCTGCTAAGTGGGTGTGCGTTAGTATGTGTGTGTGTACGTGTTGGGTGGGCTCCGCTTTGACACATTGCACACATTGGGCATATGCCGGCGTTAGTGAAAAGGGAGGTATTTGACTGAGGTGTAGGCGTGTAGCAGCTTCGGTTTTGGTTGCGGCGCATGGTGTATTTCCGTCTTCGAGTGAGCTTTGGTTTTTGTGGTGAAAAATGTGCTTAGGATCTGTATGGGGCTTTCTGACTTATTTGTAGGCCACGACGGCGACTCGTCGCAACATAACCTCACTTCGCTGACCAAAAACTTATGCATTTTACATACCCACATTATCATATAGACATATTAATATATATATTTATATATATATATATATATATATATATATATATATATATATGTGTGTATTGTCTTTATAAATGTTTTGTCTTGGCGTACTTACGTTGATGCTTATCGGCCAGCTGTACAAGCGGGTTGGGCAGATCACGACGCCGGTAGAAGCACATGACCTTCGCTTCCACATTGCCGGTTTGGTTTTTATTCAACTCCTCGATGCGGCGTATCAGGAAGGGACTATTCGGCGTTGTCTCAACGTAGACATAGTCTGCAAAATCGACCATTGGGGATTATTGAATTTCAGTTACGGTTTTCAAATTTAAATATGCAGTTCGGGCAGACATAATGAGAGGCCCAACAGCCTCACATGGAGGCGGCAAATCATTCATTAGGAAAACGAAATTGAAGCACAATCCTCCAATGAAGCCAAAAACACCAGGTAAAATGCATTCAAACACCCATACACTCGCAAATAACAGACTCATCATATATACGTACATTCGTACGTAGTCACACGCACACACACACACTCGCACACAAGCTAAACATATGAATATAGGCAGACGGCAGAAATTAGAGATGAGTACAATTTGGGCTATCTGTGACTAAACGAATGGGCCAAAGACTAAAGAGAAGTATTCAATATATTATATATATATAATAATATATATCAGTTAATACAATAAAAATTAACAAAATGTTCAAATTTATTGCCAGTAGTCGAACACACATATATGTACATATAAGCGAATCGAAAAATAAAAATGGCCCTAATCACTCTATTTATAGTTTTTGTTATATATATTTTATTCGGCTGGCTAATATGCGAGCTTATTAACACACTTAATAATCGATTAATTTTTTTGTTTACATAAAGTATTCGTTTATCGATAATAACAAAAACAAATGCTTCAAAAGCTTCAGGTCATATCGTTTTTATTGTGCTAACACCTAACTTTATTATAGGTAGTTATAAATTTTAAGTATCGATAATCCCATATACTCGTCTGTTCGTAAACTCTACGTTCACAATCTTCTGCTTCAAGTTTACAGTTTATAGTGGACACGCCGTTTAATTACGGCCACAGTACAGTGAAAAAGTATGCGCATTGCTCAATTAAATACAAATGTGGGCATCCATCCATCCATTCAACTCGCGCAACAGAAACAACAACGATGTCCACACACACACGCACATACAAACCTACACACACACATATATATACACAAACATGCATAAAGCGACGGTGCGGAACCTGTCGCAGAAACCGTTGCTTGGGTTTTGACCACGGCAACAGCAACAGCAGCGGCAGCAGCAGCAGCAGCAGAAGCAACGAAAGCCGATAGAAGAGAGAAAATGACACAAAAGAAAAGGAAAAAAGAGCAGCGATCAAGCGGTAAAACACGCCAGGCATATTATAAAAGGAAAATGTATCTTTTGCATTTGGCTGATGTAAAAAAGAGATGAAAAAGAAAGTGTCGCCATAGCCTGCGACGACATTTGGGCTGCTGTGTATACGTGTGCGTGTAGCTATTAAAAGTGACTAACAAAAAGTGCTGATGGAGACAAAGTCGAAGCCAACGCGTGCACTCAGAGACCAACACACGCACACAAGCATTATAAGAAAATGCCATAAAATTTTTAAATTTATTCATGCATTGGTTCATTTTTGTTGTATATTTAATATTCATTTTGATTGTTTTAATTAGCCATTTGCATTTTCGCATTTACAGTTCATTTGCATTTGATTTGGTCGAGCTGAAGAACAATACTATATCATAGGCAGGTGAAGACAACAATAACGTCATCGGTTAGGCAGACTCAGAAAGCAAGCAAGCGAACTAGCAAAATGAATGCGTAAAATTGGTTGTAATAAAAAAGGGAAAATTTACTCGAAGCATTAGATGCTGGGCCAAAGAAAAATTGCAAACTCATTAGCATAAGAAAACACGGCGATCCAATAGCAAAAACAAAGCAAGAGACACGTAAAAATCACAAATATACTTTCAACTACAAAAACACACGCAAGAACAATCACACACACACGCAAATATAGTCTCACATACATACATATACACATACACACATGCTGATCGGCAGGCGGATTTGTCAATGCAATTTCATTTCATCAGTAACCTCAACCCTAAAGCACAAGCCTACACACATACACACACCACATTAATACATACACACATATCAGTGCTAATGCTTATCGGGGCAACAGAAACATGTACTAAAAACACTTGCTGCAGCTGCGACAATTTGGTTGTCATACTACACATAACCCCTCTCCATGGCCGGTTACTCGATGTTCCATTGCCGCTTCGTTGATGTTGAAAAATCGTCTACGTTGTTAAAACTCGCGTCGGCAATTCGACACAATTTTGAGGAGTATGAAAACGCATTTCACATCATCATCATCATTGATAACAGCATTGAAGGTATTGGTGGTGAATATTTGGTAATATTTGATAATTAAATGCACTTTCATTATTTCCTTAATTTGGGAGTCTCATACACACATACACATTCACACAAATATACGCACATAAAACGACCAGGCGAAACAGTGAGACGGCGCCGATAACGAAAGATGATAGAAAAGCGAGTATGGAAAAAAATTTTCTCACCTCCGACTCGATACATATTTGTGGCCATTTTCACAAAACTTTCGCACCAAATTTCACATGTAAAATATTCTGCACTTATTCAGCACTGTTGTTCAATAGTTTTGTCTCAGATTTGCGCACATTTATTAGCATAAAATTTAAGTTGTTATGATTGCATTTGCATTCACATAAGACGCGTTTTTTTCGTCGCCATCTTAGAAACAACTCTAAAAAAAATACACACACACACACACACTATGACAGCGACGAGTAAACAGCTGCATCAGGGCTGCATTTGAAAATAGAGCTGCCAACTTGTTTTCATAATTTCTGTGTTTATTTGCTCAATAAATATTCAAAAAAATATATATGGGTTGCAATCTTTTAAATGAAAATAAATTAAGCATTCTGCTGTAGCTGTTTTCTGTTTTCATCAGTATAAATTTAACAGAAACAAAATTGTTATTGTTTGCATGCCCCATTTAAAGTATATGTGGCTACGTTGACAAGCTGCCTGCTACGCAACCAACTGTCAAGTCCGTGACGTGGCCTGGCCAAACGATTTTTCCAATAAGACCTGCTTGTGTTATAATTAATTTTAAATTAATAAACGCAGTGAAAGCGGTAAAAATAGATATATCAAAACGATGACTACCTATGAGGAGTTCATCCAGCAAAACGAGGATCGTGACGGCGTCCGCCTTACATGGAATGTTTGGCCATCAAGTCGCATCGATGCCAGCCGCCTGGTCGTCCCGCTTGCGTGTCTCTATCAACCCATCAAGGAGCGCCCCGACTTGCCACCGATACAATATGAGCCTGTGTTGTGCACGCGCAGCAATTGCCGTGCCATTTTGAATCCATTGTGCCAAGTCGATTATCGTGCCAAGCTCTGGGTGTGCAACTTTTGCTTTCAACGTAATCCCGTGAGTATTTCACTTGAACTTTAATATCTGTAGCTTAACACTTGGCATTTCAGTTTCCTCCACAATATGCAGCCATATCGGAGCAGCATCAGCCTGCCGAGCTGATACCTGGTTTCAGCACCATTGAGTACACCATTGCTAGGGCGGCCACAATGCCGCCCGTGTTCATATTCCTAGTGGATACCTGCATGGATGAGGAGGAGTTGGATGCTCTAAAGGACTCGCTGCAAATGTCGCTTAGTTTGCTGCCGCCCAACGCTCTAGTGGGCCTCATTACATTCGGCAAGATGATTCAGGTGCATGAACTAGGTGCTGATGGCTGCTCCAAGAGCTATGTGTTTCGCGGCACCAAGGATCTGACAGCCAAACAAGTGCATGATATGTTGGGCATTGGACGCGGTGGGGTGGCGCCAACGCCACATCAGCAACAACCAGGTCAGCCGGGTCAGATGCCCAATGCACCGGGTGTAGGGGGGGCCGGACAACATTTGCCACCCGCTCATCGCTTTCTGCAGCCGATTAGCCAGTGCGACACTGCACTGGGTGATCTGCTGAGCGAATTGCAACGCGATCCTTGGCCGGTGCCGCAGGGCAAGCGCTATCTGCGCTCCACGGGCGCTGCACTCTCGATTGCAGTTGGCCTGCTGGAGTGCACGTATCCGAATACGGGCGGTCGGATTATGACGTTTGTGGGTGGCCCTTGCTCCCAGGGCCCCGGCCAAGTGGTTGACGATGAGCTTAAGCATCCCATACGTTCCCATCATGACATACACAAGGACAATGCCAAATATATGAAGAAAGCGATAAAACATTATGATGCTTTGGCTTTGAGGGCCGCTACCAATGGCCATGGCATCGATATATACTCGTGCGCTCTTGATCAGACCGGCCTGATGGAGATGAAACAGTTGTGCAACTCCACTGGCGGTCACATGGTCATGGGCGACTCATTCAATTCGTCGCTGTTCAAGCAAACATTCCAGCGCGTGTTTGCGCGCGACTCACGAAACGATTTAAAGATGGCATTCAATGCCACGCTCGAGGTGAAGTGCTCGCGCGAGCTGAAAATCTCTGGTGGGATTGGCTCGTGTGTGTCGCTGAATGTGAAGAGCCCGTCGGTGTCGGATGTGGAGATCGGCATGGGCAATACAGTGCAGTGGAAATTGTGTACATTCAATCCCAGCTCCACTGTCGCCTTCTTCTTTGAGGTGGTCAATCAGCACGCGGCTCCCATACCGCAAGGCGGACGCGGCTGCATACAGTTCATCACACAATACCAGCATCCAAGCGGTCAGCGGCGCATACGGGTCACCACTCTGGCAAGAAAGTGAGAGCTCCAGCTCCAGCTAGCTTGACTATATATTTATTTAATTTGTTTACTGTTTTTAAGCTGGGCGGATGCCAACACCAATGTGCAGCACATCAGCGCAGGCTTTGATCAGGAGGCAGCTGCGGTGCTAATGGCTCGCATGGTTGTCTATCGAGCCGAGACAGACGAGGGACCGGACATCCTGCGCTGGGTGGATCGCCAGCTGATTCGCTTGGTAAGCTTAGCAGTAATCAATCGAAAATCAATTGTGTTAAGTCGATGTCTCTTGCAGTGCCAGAAGTTTGGCGAGTATTCCAAGGACGATCCGAACAGCTTCCGGCTGTCGCCCACTTTTAGCCTCTTTCCGCAGTTCATGTACCATTTGCGCCGTTCGCAGTTCCTGCAGGTCTTCAACAATTCGCCCGATGAGACCACATTCTATCGACACATGCTAATGCGCGAGGACCTCACACAGTCCTTGATCATGATACAGCCCATTCTTTATAGCTATTCGTTTAACGGGCCACCGGAGCCGGTGCTGCTTGATACCGCTTCCATTCAAGCGGATCGCATACTGCTGATGGACACCTTCTTCCAGATACTCATCTATCATGGCGAAACGATTGCCCAGTGGCGTGCGCTCAAATATCAGGATATGCCCGAGTATGAGAACTTTAAGCAGCTGCTGCAGGCGCCCGTCGATGATGCACAGGAGATTCTGCAGACACGATTCCCCATGCCCCGCTACATTGACACCGAGCATGGTGGCTCGCAGGCACGTTTCCTGCTCTCCAAGGTCAATCCCTCGCAGACGCACAACAATATGTACGCCTACGGCCAGGTACGTCAATTAGCTGCGACCGAAACATATTTCATAATCGATTTGTTGATTTTTAATCTATTGAAACATTACGTTTTCGTTTTCGTTTCGTTTTCGTTATACTTTTCTCATTGTGTACTCAACTGCCTTTTGCTCCTTCTTCTCCCCTCGTTGTTGTTCTTGTTGTTGTCAATCGCAGGCGCCAATTGGTCAGACGACGGTAGTAAAAAACAAACAATTCTTTTTTGTTTTAGTTAAATATATTTTCTATTTGGGTTTAGTTTCTAAGTTGCTTCTTCTACATCTCTGCTCCGCTTTTGGTGTTGGCGCTGCTCAAGCAAAACCCTTTTTAAAGAAATCAATCTGTAAACACTTTTTGCTAACTCAATCTCAAACTTTGTTAACAGGATGGCGGCGCTCCCGTGCTCACGGATGATGTCTCCCTGCAGCTGTTCATGGAGCACCTGAAGAAATTGGCCGTCTCCTCGACCACATAGAGAGCATCTGGAAATCAAGGCTTTTGCATAGATTTTGGCTAGACTTATTAGTTCTATATATATATATATTTTAACCACATCTATTTGTGCAGTTACCGCCTGATTAAACACAATAAACCAACCACATTCATACATATTTACACGTTTTTATTTTCAAGCTCAACTAAATAATAAGAAACCAAAAATCAAGTAAATAAATATTTTAGGCTGGCCATTAAAAAATGCATGAATTTCACTTTAGAGCGGAATGAAATCAACTAGCGTAAAAGCAATCAACAATAATATCTGCAGATTAATAATAGTTTCATAAATTACTAATACAATTGCATATGCCTCGGACTTGATAAATATATATATATATATCAAGTATATTAATTGGACTAAACACTATTTGGTTCACAGTGACTAAGACATCTGAAATTTTGTTTCTCTGCTTGTGTGGCACTAATTGAGGAATCGTATGGACATCTTTTGATCGACATCGGTGCGTTCCAGCGCCTTGCAAAAGTCCTCGAACGAGATCTTGCCTTGACAGCATAGATCCGCCTCCAATATGGTACGTTCCGCAATGCTGACCAATTGATCTTGGCTGATGTTCGCGCCGACCATCATGTGCAGAATCGATAGCAACTCGTCCCGGCTAATGACACCATCGTCATCCAGATCGTACATTTTGAACGCGAACTTCAGCTTCTCCTCGCGACTGTTCAACTTGCTCTGCTTGTTGTCCCGCAGCGGTCGGAAGTGGGCCAACACATTCATGAACTGGCGAAAGTTCACGCGATCATCGGAGCTCTCCGCGAAGAAGGAGTGCACAATGCGTTCACAGAGCGGATTGATTGCCAGCTCGGGTATGCGCATCAGATCCTCGCGAGAGAGTGTGCCGCAGTCGTTGCGATCCAGTGACGTGAAACGCGAATACAGGCGCTCAATTTGATTGGGTGTAACTGCAAAGAGTTGAAGCAATGAAAGCGTGAGAGGTTGGAGTCCAATCAATTGATAAGATATACAGTGACAACAGTTATTATCAGATATGAGCACCCGTTGGATATATACAGTTATAGCTAAACGCCTTATCACACGAATTACACCTACTCGAACAACTGATAAACACACACAGTTACGTTCGTTTGTTTGTGTGCGTTTCTTGGAGGGGAAACATCAAAAGGCAGCGCGTAGCCTTTGCTCCAGTGGGTCGATGGGACAATTGTTGAGTGAATGACGTCATAAATTCAGTTTATGATACCTGCTTACATAAATGTATGGAGCATTTTGAGTGCATTCAAGAAGAACAGTTACACGTTCATTCACACTCAAGTTGATCGCTCTCTCCCAACTGGTGGGAGTAGAGCTGCAATATGCTAATTGATTTTGGACTATGGAATATAATTGTTGCGAATGGGTAAATCTATAATTAGTTTTGCCACTTAACTGCTAAATTTTTGAGCACAAAGAAAAGCTTTTAGCAATTGCGTATTTGTTTTGAGATGTTTTTGGAAATTTACAGATGCGTTATCCAGGTCCAAGGTTACGCTAATTACTGGCTTAGCTTTGTGGACCTATCTTTGTCTTATTCTATACTTACAGCCAGTTTCATTTTGTATCTGTGCAATTTCCTCGTGCCGCAGAAAGAGAGAAGATTTATTGCCCATTATTGATGGCTTATTTAAACCAATGAGACCGACACAAACACAAAATTTCTACTGAATTGAATGGTATGTAGTGTGACCGAGTTTTGCATGTACGTAATTGCTTATATGCAGACTTCAGCATTGCCAGATTCAATTCGGCCTACTGATCAATTGTGGCGGCATACCGATAGGCAATACATTATTTTTGGTTGGCGTATAAACAATTTTTTTTTGCAAAAGATAACAATTGTTTGATTTCACGAATGCAAATGGATAAATTAAATCAAACTTTAACAGCAGTTAAGAACTTACGCTCAAATGTGCGCCAGTGCTTTGAGCATCTGGCCGATGGCACCGATGGCGAAGGCGTCGAGGAAAGCCGCAATAAATTTGTGCACGATTTTCAGGAAAGATTTGGAGCTATCAACTCGCAATTACGGTGAGAATATAAAAATGTAGTTATTTTACTCTTAGTTTATGGAATTTGAATGTTTTCAGTGAAGTGGAGCAGCTCATCAATGGGTTACAGGTGCCGCCGACAGCCTACCATTTGGGAAACACCACATTTCTGGCACAGGAAACATCGCAGGAACGACAAGCGCTCTACCCTCAGCTGGTAAACAGCTATAAATGGATTGATAAGGTTCACGATCATAGCATGCTTGCGTTCAACAACCTCAATCAAAATACGCTGCGTCGTTCCTACAACTATTGCTCACAGAAGCGACAGCGCTTGCCCTTCTCCTCCTTCAACAACGATCCGGAGTGAGTGTCAACAAATATTGAAATAATTTACATTTATTTACATGTTTTTATTGCACAGTCACATTGATAAGCTGCTGAGTGATATTAATCATCCGCCGCACACATCCTATAAAGTATTCCATCCATTTGGCTCCAACGCTGTGGCCATCGTCACCATCAGCAATGTGCTCAAGGCGGCAATTGTCTTTAAGGGCGTGCTCATCGAATGGGTGACCATTAAAGGCTACGATGAGACACTGGAGCACGATGACCTGTGGGCTGAGTCGCGCTATGAGGTATTTCGCAAGGTGCAGGAGCACGCCCATTCGGCCATGCTCCACTTCTTCTCGCCCACATTGCCCGATCTGGCAGTAAAGAGCTATGTAACTTGGCTCAACAGTCACATCAAACTCTTTCTGGAGCCGTGCAAGCGCTGCGGCAAATATATTGCTAATGGTTTGCCGCCCACGTGGCGCGACTTACGCACGCTCGAGCCGTTCCACGAAGATTGTCGCAATAGCTAAAAACTACACAAATACATATGTATATATATTTATAACATATTGATAAGCATAACTTTTATACTTCATTTATTTCAAAAAACAAAAAAATTATATGTATGTATTTTGAATGCAAGCGCCGCGTCGCGCGACTGAATAACTACAACGGTTTAATGCAGGTTATAATGGCCAGTTGAGGTGGCATTGGTGGGTGTTCCTACGGGCACACCATGCTGCAGACACATGCGCTCAAAGTTCTGACGCAATGTGGCACGCAGCTGTTCGCGTTGACGCTGTACTTGCTCGCGCTGGTATTGATAGGCCAGCACCACCTCTTGGGGAATGTAACAACAGTTCTCATCGTCCTTATCGTCAAAAAAGTCCTGCAATTGAATAACAATTAAAATAAGGGAGTCTAGAGCTTGATATGAACACTGCTACTAACCCACATCTGCAGCAATGAGAACTTGTCGTCCGATTGTGTCTGCTGACCATAGACCGAATCGGAGACATAACTGTTGGGTGCCGTAACATCATCAACTGAGTCTTCCGCTTCATCTACCACCATTATGTCATAATGATGATGATTGCACAGTCCGTCCGAGCAAGAAACTTCGGAGCCTTCCAGAGACGAGACTGCGCTTGAGATGCGCGAATTGGCATGAGATGCGTGTGGATCGCTGCCATAGCCAGAGTCGCGCACATCCTGCTCGCAGGGACAATTGGGCATGGGTGCTAAGCAGTCATTGCATTTTGTAGCCTTGGACACGACGTCCAGGTGCTCATCAACACACAACAACTTTTTAGCTTTTTTGCTAACAGATTTTTGCTTCTTTTTCTTCGGTTGCTTCTTCGATTTCGATTTCGTTGGTTTGTCACTTGGCGTCGGCGGCTTTGGCTCTGGCTCTGCATCTGCATCAGCATCAGCATCAGCGTCCGCACAGAGTATAACAATACCGTCGTCGTCGGCATCATCTACAACAGCATCCACAGTTGTTTCAGTGTCTGCTTCAGCCTCACCAATTACGCCGTCCTCTTCTTCCTCGTAGTCCGTTTCGGCAACGTCGTTCGCATTGTTATCGTTTTCACACAGACGATGCATATTCTTTTTCTCATCCTTCTTCTTCTTCTTCTTGAGCTTCTTCTGCTCGCGCTTCAGTTCCTTAGCTTTCTCAGCACGACTGATCTCCTGATAGAGCAGCTCCAAGTTGCTAATACCCTGTTTCTGCTCCACACGCTCATGAAAGCTGCGACAGAGCGCATGTACACCCACTGCGGCCAGCACTTGGCAGGCGCGCTCCTCTTCTCGCAGACTAACATAAATGCGACGCAAGCGCTCGTACATGATCATGCCGACGCATGTGAGCACTTCCTCCTGTGCAATTTCCAGCGTTTTCGCATGGCGTTCGCGCAGCTTCGAGTAGCTTCCATTTACCTCCGGTTCGGCACGCTTGATTAGCGCGTCAAGGAACTCAATTTTATTCGTGCTCACATGGATGTGTTCGTCGGCGACACATTTGCGTATGTGCGCATACAGCTGCGCCGCATAGCCCTTCTCCTTGGTGGATACCTCGCCAATGAGTATTTTATAGGCACGCTCGATCTGTAAAAGCAGTCATATTACCGAAAGTGTTTATTGAAGATAATTTGGCCATGTGGTTACTTACCTTTGTGCGACAGCCGGCACAAAACTTGTGCTTTTTCAGATACTTGTCGAGCACATCGTGCAATTCCTTCATCTCAATTATGGTCACCTCCGTGCGACAACTACTTTTCATCGCTGACCACACTTCACGCCATGTTTCCGAAAATGGTTTGGCACGGAACGTGTCTAACGAATGCAGCACACAGCGCGTTTTGTTGCGCAGCTTATTATCGAGCAGATTGTTCAGCACCTCGTGATGCCGATATAACAGTGTGCCAAGTGCTTGCGGCGTCTTCAATTTTTCCTCCGTTATACCCAGGGTACAATTGTCTCGCAGCTCAAGCGGATCAACCGTTCGATGTCCAGACTCAGCTAGCTGGTAAAACAAACGCTCCACCCGTCGCCGACATCCCACACACTGAACGCACTGATTGAGCACCGAAATGAAGCCGGTGCTATCAATCACAAGCGATTGCTTGCGTTCCGTCTCTGTGAGCAGATTAAATTTTCGTGAGAATTCCTCCAGTTCGCGACCCCGTATCTGTGGGCTGTCAATGACAAGTCCTTTGCTGTTCAGGTCCATTAGCATCTAGTGATCACGTAGAAAGAGAATGATTAAAATACGGACCAATTAAAGAAAGTAAGAGAACAGTGCTTGCAAAAAAATAAACCACACACACAGTTACGCACACAAAGAGAAAGAAAAATGCATTTGAAACCTGTTTTTGTTATTTTTTTCTTTTTGTCGGTGTTGCCACTTCAGCAACATGGCGACCCTATGTAAGGTGCAGCGGGGAGTCGGGCAGGTGTAGAGAATCGCCGAACTGTCTCTAAGCGGCTGTTTATTATTGCAGACTTCTAATACCATACAGAAACATCTTAACATGAAGTTTAATTAAACAAACTTGTTCATTTATGGGTGCAGTCAATGAGCATATATATATATATATATGTTTATGTACATGTATGTGTTTACTACGCACATAGGCATACAGATGCACGCGTACGTGTTATGAAAGTTTGACAATGTGTACACATACAAACACAACACCATTGCACACATACGATACAAAAATGCATAAGTATGCGGGATTTGTGAGGGGGTCATCAAATTGTTAACTTTTATGACATTTAACAGCAGTAGTTATTTTACATGAGCCTAATTTTGATGCTGTACGGATTTGCCACTTACCATTAGCTTATCGCCTGCCACCAAAGGTAAATGCCTTTTGCCCACATAGTTAGAATCATCTTCATCAGTATTATATACTCTAGTTAGTCTCGCCATGTTCTTTCCAAGACCAACGATGGCAGTTTCAGGCACTTTTTCGACGCACTTTGTAGCAACAAAACACAGCACAACGTTTGAAGCGTATTTTTAATAATATATTATACAATAATATTGTGTTCTTTACACCGTAAATCAACTTGAAAAATGATTTTTCTATGATTTCAAACACGTATGTAGGGTTCAGCAAGTCGTCCGGTCGCCATTAATAAATAGTGTTGCGTAACGAGAGACATTTGATATTTTTGCAGCACAGACACCAATGCAACATTGCGTTTTGACGTTGCCAGACCTCAGTAAAAGTCAGTCAGACTCAACAAAATGAGTTTTCTTTAGCGCGTTTTGTTGCTCGTCTTGCCTGGTTGCAAAGTTGCGTTTGAGTAATTTCCGTATAGCAACGCGTGCTTTTTATTTTGTTGTTCAATCTGGTCTTGCATTAATATACTGTGACAAGATGTCGCATCACTATGTGGTGACTGCACAAAAGCCCACAGCGGTTGTTGCCTGCCTCACGGGTAAGTCAACTATGGCGAAATGAATTGCAGCATGCATATTGTAGTTAACTTTTAACCGGCATTATTTATATGACTTACACAGTATTTTGTTAAATTGCATGTTATATTTTTAATATATTTCTCAGGAAATTTCACATCGCCGACAGACTTGAATTTGATTATTGCCCGCAATAATCAGGTGGAAATTGATTTGGTTACACCTGAAGGTTTGCGCCCTCTAAAGGAAATCAACATCAATGGCAAAATTACGGTCATGCGACATTTTCGTCCGCCAGACAGCAACAAGGATTTGCTATTTATATTGACGCGACGCTTTAATGTCATGATTCTCGAGGCACGCATGGTGGGTGATACCATAACCGTGGTAACAAAAGCGAACGGTAATGTCTCCGATTCCGTGGGCATTCTTTCTGAAGGTGGTTTTATTGCCGCAATTGATCCCAAAGCACGCGTTATTGGCATGTGCCTCTATCAGGGCCTATTCACGATTATACCATTGGACAAGGATGCCAGCGAGTTGAAGGCGACAAGCTTACGGTAAGTTGGCTAAGTCCGCTAATAGAATTATATCTTATTTGGTTGGTTCTTATGTTGCAGCATGGATGAGCTGGTCGTTTATGATGTGGAGTTTCTTCACGGCTGCCTAAATCCTACAGTCATTGTTATACATAAGGATAACGATGGTCGCCATGTGAAATCACATGAAATTAATTTGCGAGACAAAGAATTCATGAAGCTCGCCTGGAAGCAGGATAATGTGGAAACAGAAGCTACCATGCTTATACCTGTGCCCTCACCCATTGGTGGAGTCATTGTCATTGGACGCGAATCCATTGTCTATCATGATGGCAGCAATTATCATGCCGTGGCGCCGCTAACCTTCCGGCAAAGCACCATCAATTGCTATGCACGTGTGGACAGCAAGGGATTACGTTATCTGCTTGGTAATATGGACGGACAGCTCTATATGCTGTTCCTGGGCACCACCGAAACCAGCAAGGGCATTACCGTCAAGGACATTAAAGTGGAACAGCTTGGCGAGATTTCGATACCAGAGTGCATCACTTATCTGGATAATGGATTCTTGTACATTGGCAGTCGCCATGGCGATTCGCAGCTTGTGCGACTTAGCTCGGAATCTATTGATGGTTCCTATGTAATACCAGTGGAGAACTTTACGAATCTGGCTCCCATTTTGGACATAGCTGTCGTGGATTTGGATCGTCAGGGGCAGGGTCAGATAATTACGTGCTCTGGCAGCTTCAAGGATGGGTCGCTTCGCATTATTCGCATTGGTATTGGCATACAGGAGCATGCCTGCATCGATTTGCCCGGCATTAAGGGCATGTGGTCTCTTAAAGTGGGCATCGATGATAGCGTCTATGAGAACACGCTCGTGTTGGCCTTCGTGGGGCATACACGCATTCTAACTTTGTCCGGCGAGGAGGTAGAGGAAACAGAGATACCCGGTTTTGCGAGCGATCTACAATCGTTTCTCTGCGCCAACGTGGACTACGACCAGGTGCGTAAATAACTCTTAAATGCTAAATGTTATACATTTGTTTTAAATTCCATGTTATCTAAAAGCTTATTCAAGTAACTGCGGAGAGTGTCCGTTTGGTCAAGAGCTCTACCAAAGCGCTCGTTGGTGAGTGGAAACCAGAGGGTGATCGTTCCATTGGTGTCGTCTCCTGCAACAGCACGCAGATTGTTGCTGCTTCGGCGCGTGAGATATTCTACATTGCCATTGAGGATGGCAGTCTTGTGGAGAAGTGTCGCAAAACTTTGGCCTATGAGGTGGCATGCTTGGATGTAACTCCGCTGGATGAGAAGCAAACTAAGTCCGAATTGGTTGCTGTTGGCCTGTGGACAGACATATCGGCGGTTATATTGTCGCTACCCAATTTGGAGACAATTTATACCGAAAAGCTAAGCGGCGGTAATTCATTTATTTATTTCACACTCCAGTCCCCTAATCCTGTCTCACTTTTTTGTTTACTTCTTTATTTGTGTATGTAAACAGAGATAATACCGCGCTCTATATTGATGACCACCTTCGAGGACATACACTATCTATTGTGCGCTCTAGGCGACGGATCCATGTACTATTTCATTCTGGATCGGACTACTGGTTTTCTGACAGACAAGAAGAAAGTAACGCTAGGCACTCAGCCTACCACATTGCGCACGTTCCGCTCGTTTGCGACTACGAATGTGTTTGCCTGCTCGGATCGTCCGACCGTGATTTATTCATCCAATCACAAGCTGGTGTTCTCCAATGTTAATCTGAAGGAGGTGAATCATATGTGCTCGCTCAATGCTCAAGCATATCCGGATAGCTTGGCACTGGCCACCAAAAACTCTGTCATCCTGGGCACTATTGATGAAATTCAGAAACTGCACATACGAACTGTGCCGCTGGGTGAGGGACCGCGTCGCATTGCCTACCAGGAGGCTTCGCAGACCTTTGCCGTGTCCACTCTGCGCATCGATGTGCACGGTCGTGGCGGTGCGAAGCCGTTGCGCAACAGCGCTTCTACCCAAGCTCAAAATATCACCTGTAGCTCCAATATGCTGCCCAAACCGGGTGGCGGCAATTCAACGGCGGCTAATGCAGAAGTTGGCCAAGAGATTGATGTACACAATTTGCTGGTTATTGATCAGAATACGTTCGAGGTATTGCATTCACATCAGTTTGTGCCGCCGGAGACGATCTCGGCATTGATGTCCGCCAAGCTGGGTGATGATCCGAATACATACTACGTGGTGGCTACATCTCTCGTCTTTCCTGACGAGCCTGAACCTAAAGTGGGACGCATCATTATTTTCCACTATCATGAGAATAAGCTGACCCAAGTGGCTGAGACAAAAGTCGATGGCACTTGCTATGCTCTGGTGGAGTTCAATGGCAAAGTTCTAGCTGGCATTGGCAGCTTTGTGCGTCTGTACGAGTGGACAAATGAGAAGGAACTGCGCATGGAGTGCAACATACAGAACATGATTGCAGCATTATTCTTGAAGGCCAAGGGTGACTTCATTCTAGTCGGAGATCTAATGCGCTCCATTACACTGCTGCAGCATAAGCAAATGGAGGGCATCTTTGTGGAGATAGCACGAGATTGCGAGCCGAAATGGATGCGTGCCGTCGAGATCTTGGACGATGACACTTTCCTTGGTTGCGAGACACACGATAATTTGTTTGTTTGTCAAAAGGACAGGTGAGCTGGGTCGATAATCAATTAACACTGATTTTAAACGCATTTGCTTTGCTTTTGAAGCGCTGCTACAACGGATGAGGAGCGCCAGTTACTACCGGAGTTGGCACGGTTCCATCTAGGCGATACAATTAATGTATTCAGGCATGGCTCGCTGGTTATGCAGAATGTTGGGGAACGTACCACGCCCATTAATGGCTGTGTACTCTATGGCACCTGCAATGGTGCAATTGGCATTGTCACTCAAATACCGCAGGACTTTTACGATTTCCTGCACGGGCTCGAAGAACGGCTGAAGAAGATCATCAAATCGGTGGGCAAAATAGATCACACCTATTATCGAAACTACCAAATTAATACCAAGGTGGAACCCAGCGAGGGCTTTATCGATGGGGACCTCATTGAGAGCTTCTTGGACTTAAATCGAGACAAGATGCGTGAAGCTGTCAATGGCCTAGAGGTGTGTAGAAATTCCCTTTCACTATCATAAAAATAATATAAATATTAATAAATTTAATTTATTCTTTATTGCAGTTGACGCTGAACGGAGAACGTAAGAGTGCAGATGTGGAGGATGTCATCAAGATTGTGGAGGATTTGACACGCATGCATTGAATCATAGATTGTGCTGTATTTAATTCATATACTTATTGGCGATTGATGAAACTGTTTGTTTTCGATACCATGTATCCCCGTGCCCCATTCAATGCAAATCTCTCAATTGTCTATTAATAGAATTTTGTGTCTGTAATCGGTACACTAACAGTTGAACACTGTTTAACATTCATTATATAGCAAAAGCAAAAACAAAAACAAATATAACTATGGTTTTTGACGAGCTTTCAAAGTTGCGTTATTTAAATAATGTGCTTAACTATAAATATAATTAAATTGCTTGTCAAAAATGATAACTATTTTGGCTGAATCTCTATATATATAAATTAATTAACAAATACTCTTGCAGTGCTATGTAGTAAAGTTCCTACCTACTTATATAACTTACCTTTCAATCAAATGATTCTAAGTGGAGCAAATAGTGTTGGAACAACTTAAAACTCGTCTATGCTTTTTACATAGGAACAAAATCTCAATTGCATCATACTTCTATTTTATATAGTTGTTGGAATATAGAACATATCTACCATATGTTTTCTGCAAGGGTATGTGGTGTTTCGGCATACCGAAAATCCTTTTTACTATAGTTTTTTTAAGTTTTTCTCAAAAGACTTTTCGGCTTTTCAACACTTTTGAATATTGAAATTGAATTAATTGAGGAATATTTTGTATTATAATGATTTATTTTGAATGATTTTAATATAAATATATTGTTAATCTCAAATTTTAAGGGCAAATAATGAACCAAGATAATTGGAATATATAATAAAACTGATGATCCTAGTATTTTAATGCAAATAATGTGGCATAAACTTATATATATATATATATATGTATGATTGGCATATACATATATTTAAACAGTAATGCAAGAATAATAATAAATTATTTTATGATTCGGTTCAGCTCAAATCAATGCCTTCGCTTCTGGTTTAACATCAGCTGTTCAACATTTTCCGACTCATAATAAATACAAAAGTGAGCTTTTCAGTTGAACCGGTTCGGTTCAGGCTTCGGATTTTATACAGCACTTGTCGTAAGCTGCGTTTGCGCAGCGTGCTCACACACTTTACGAACTTCCAATCAAAACACGGCACAGTCTCTAGCAGAACATCTCACACACACGCACACAATTATGCTGAATGTGAATGTGTTCAGTTCCGGAACAGGCAAGCGCTGCTCTGTGCGTTGCTCACGTGCGGCTCGCAAACGTGAGCTATAATCAGTTGTATGAGGGGTAGCGGAGTGCGAGTGCGGAGTGTGTGGCGGCATTGGCGTTTCATTCATTAATACACGCACACGAACACACACGCATACATACAAGCTGCCAGCCACTGGAATGCTGCATCCACCACCAATTTCCAACGCCCGCAGGCAAACAGTTGTTTTTACTTATGCGCGTGTGAGTGTGTGTGTGCGTGTGTGTGTGTCTGTTTGAGTGGTGTTTGTGCTTGTATGCGTGTGCGCACTCGATGCGCCTCCACACGCTTGGGCAGCGCCTGCTGCCTGCGCTGCTTGCTGCGCTGCTCGCTGCGACGGCTGCTGCGTCGGCTGCTGTCTCCCCCTGGTTACTGCAGCTGAGCGCTCGGTCCATTTGAGTAGTTACTCATTCGTTCGCCGCCTGCTCGCTGGTTCAGCTGCGCTCAAGCGCCCGTCGTAGTCGTTGTCGTTGTCACAAGCGTCCTGGCCGCTCGTTCGTGATTTACACAAGCACCCACATACACACACCTACACAAGCACACACACATAAACATACGCTTAACACTTAAAGTTCGCTTTAAAAATATTTAAATTAAAACTATTTACAACTATTTGGCATGTAACACAAGATGTTGCCAACTGCTCAAGTGCCATAAAATAAAAATAAAAATAAAAAATAAAATAAATAAAAAAGAAATAAATAATAATAACACAAAAAAGGAAAAAAGTTTCGCGCCCATAAAAAAGTTTTTTGTTTCTTCATAATTTGTGTTAAGCATAAAACTCGCTCGGCCGCAACGCATTTTCGTTAATTTTCGCAATAACTAAGCGAAAATGTGCTAGCAACAATCACAATTAACATTCTATTTGACTAGCATTTTATATATATTTTGTATATATATTTAACTGCTCAGTTTTGGTTTTTTATCTGGATTAACAACGGCGGCCATTTTATAAAAATTACCCAGCGGCAAAACGGATAGCTGCCCCAAGGTGAGAACGCGTCAGCCTAGACAACATTTGCATATTGATAAGCGTACACATAACTGTTACCCTTTGGTATCCATTTGCCGTCGGCATTGAATGACTCAAAACTCTATTCGATACAGCCTTTCTTTCTCTTACAAAATAAAATGCAAGTCGGAGCACTGAAGTCGACTGCATAATACTCGCTCGCAGTCAACAAGCAGAATAACTTTAAGCAAATTGGGAGTTTCATATGACTGCTATGGATTATATAGCTTATAGAGTTATTTGTGAAGGGTTTTAAGTAATAAATCTAACAAGTTGGGTTATTCAAGTTCCACTTTGATTTGCTACTTTTCGGGTCGATCTCAGAGAAAGTCAATTGCTTTGTGTTTCCAGCTGTAAAACCGTAGAAAATGCAGTTTATCCGATTCGTCAGGCTTCAATGCGCGTAGCTATATAATATTGATATTTTAAGTTTACACGTTATGCATATACAAGTCAGATTACGTAGTATCAGGTATTTTCTCTGAACAAATTCTTATCAATCGTTCAAAACCAATATACTCCTTTTTGCACAACTTGAACGAGTACAAATATGAACAAGTGTAATTCAATGCGAATTGTTGTAGGCGACCAAGCACATAGGGTGCATTTGAAATACATTTGTATTTGCGCTGCGGTACTCAGCGGGAACGAACCTCGAGCCATTGACATCATCATCATCAGCTTCTCACAGAGAGTCTGCGCCGACTGCTCAGCTCTGTAATCGGATTCCTTGGCTGCGTTGGCGTTTGGTGACGACGCCGTTAAAAGACCAAGAATCAGAAATTATTGTTTAGCAACAATAAAATGCCTCGTCCTACCCCCGAAAAAAAGCAAGGAAAATGAAAAGAAAAAAAAAACAAAAACCAAACTGAACACCATAAAGCGCAACGCGCGACTGCCAAATGCAAATATTAAAAACAACAACAAAACGTTTTATAATAACCAAAAGGGAAAAACAGCAAATCGAATTGCAGTCAAGAGACTCCCAAAGACGACGCTCCCCGTCCCTGCCCCTGCCACTCCACTTCGTTTCGTCTGCTCTACTCGAGTACTCCTACTCGGCGACTGCAACGCCAACTGCGACTCAAAACTCAGACGCAGCCTGCACGGACCATGTCGGTCATCAGGCTAATTTTCTACGGAAACCGTTGGCAGCCCCATAAAATCATGCACATATATGACATACACACATATATATATATATATAAATACAATATATATACATATATAAATATATACATAAGTCAACGACACTTTTGATCTTTGTTAATGAACTTAATTTTATACACCTTTCATTTGTTGACGATCTTGACAATTGAATATGTCCACTTTCTATATGGTATATTCTATAAGGTCTGCTTGTAGATGATGATCTTGAACAATATTATTTTTATCATATTGCATCATATTCCATAAAGTTTTATAGTCTTATGGTGTCGATTTCGTAGCGGTTTCAATGAAATCTATAAAAATCTTTTATGTGTCGCTTTGAGTTTCTTATACTTTGATTGCAAAATTTGAGTTAGTTTTTAGACTAGATCAACTCTCAGCTCAAACTTAAACTGTTGCACTCTTAAATCTCTCAGATTTCAACAGTTTTGTTTAGAACTTAACAAATGATATTTGGATTGTACTATTAAAGCTAAATAATTTTTCTAAATTTAAATTTAAAAACACTTTTCTAGCGCTAAATGTGTTCTTCAATATACAGAATTTTGTGCAAATATTAGCAAAATCTTTATTTTTGGTCAATTTATTTAGTCTATACTTATTTTTTATATATATTTATATATTTATTTTATATTTGTTATTTTATATAGTTTTTGATAATTATATTTTGGTTGTTTTAATCAATCACATCACTACTCCCAAAATTGATATGATAATATAATATAATTTCTATAAATTAGCTTTGTGTTATATATATAAAATATATTTAAAAAAAATATATATATAATACATAAAAAATATATAAAATATATTTAAAAAAATATATATAATATGTAAAAAATATATAAAATATATTAAAGTAAATATATATTGTTCTTTGAATATATAAGATATAGATAAAATCTATTTTGGGTTATTCTCAAAAAGAATGTGGAATTGTAAGCTTTAGTTCGAATACAGTTTAAGGTTTGATTCTACAATTGAAAGGTTACTAACAAAATAAGTTCCGTCAAATTGATAAAGCTAAATTTCGGATTAAATACAGCATGATATTGAAAATATAGAATGCAATTGAATTTCTTTTCTATATATGACAAACTTATGACGTAGTTTGTTGAAGATTTATCTAGTTGCAACTCGAAGTAAATATTAAATATAAAATATGAAATATATTATTATAATATATTTTCTTTCAATGGTTTATAAATACCAGAAAGTCCTTTAAGGTTACAAATAACAAAGTTATTTTTAAAAAATCGTATATATGTATTATAATATACCATTCTTAGTTATATAGTTATTTAGTTTGCTAGAGAGAAGCTTTACTAATATATTTTATATTTTTATTTCTATCGAGAATTCAGTCGAGCTGACAATTTTTTCTCTTTAACAAATATATATATATATCTTATATAGAGCTCTGATTGTAGCCGACTTTAAAGATACGTCACTCAAGGCGTTTTCTTAAGATATATGCTTTGTGCCATCCATGCTTCTTTGTTCGCATTGCAGTATATAAATCTTGTGAAATATATATATATATATATATATATATATATATACTTTGCGCTGTGTGTATTTAATGTTGAATATGCAAATTGCGCATAGCTAATTTGCATTTATGACAACTACAATGAAGAGGAAAAGAAAAAGTATTAACTAATAATCTGGCAAGAGGTGACTGAAAAGCTGTGCCACAAGACGCGACAACGACGCTTGAAGATATGCGAGAAATTTACAATAATACTTCCAAGAAGGCAGAGTCGAGCCGACGCAAATATGCAACGATCATAAAGAGGGCACGGCGGGGGCATGGGGCAGTTGAGGGTGGTG